AACGTTTAATCGACGGGGTTAGGGATGTGCAACTTCATCGTGAACTCCGGAAATTTTCAGTCGATAACCCTGATATTACCCTTGAAAGTTTTAGGGACTCAGTGTTGACGTGGACGGAGGATGGTAATCGATTTCGGGCTAGCGCTTGTATTAGGAGCCAGGAAGACACCAAGATCTTTTGGTTGCAACCAAGCCATCTGATATGGAGGGAATGAACAAATATTTTCTATAATTCTTTCATACCACCGTCAATTAGAGAATGGAACAAACTAAGTGCGGACACAAAAAATTCCACATCTCTAAATATTTTCAATTCGAAACTTATGGCTCAAGATTCAACACCACCAACAATGTTTTCGTTTGGATCCCGCACAAACCAAATTATTCATTGTAAACTGCGTCTCTCTTGCAGCAATCTAAACGGACATAAATGTTTACGTCATATTACTGATAATCCATGCTGCAAATGTGGTCATCACTTCGAAGATACTGAACATTTTTTTATTGAATTGCGCCTTACATTCAGATGCCCAAAATAATACAATTAATAATTTACCGACTCCATCAAAACACTACTGTCTTACTGCACGGAATTGGCGACATAGAAACCTCACTCAATATTTTTAAAATTGTCCACTCGTTTTTCGAAATCACCAGTCGCTTCAAGGGACAACTATAACGCACTTATTGTAACTACATTTTCACATTTACATTATTCGCCTATTTCTAAAATGTAAATCCATTCCATAGACAGCTGTAACACAATCACTGTAATCATATTTTCATGTGTACATTGATTATTTATTTCTAAACTGTAAATACATGTATCTATATCTGACAGGGAGAGGGGTTTAATATAGGCTATGCTTGTTCCCCAATCCCTATTCAGATACAAATCTGAATAAAAATATTGCTTAAAGGGACAATAACACTCTTGCTGGCTTGAAAGCTCCAGAAAATAAATAATATCTCTATCTAAGTACTAGATGTTTAAGTGTCCTACCTGTTGTGTAAATTATCCATTACATCCTATTTTACTTGTCCAGAGGGTTCCAAAATATTTTTAAATCGAAGTTTTATTTAAAAAGGTTTACGTTAGACGTTTCAAACCATTCTGTTGAATTTTTCAAAATTTTTAAATAAGGTGTGTTAAGATGAAATTTGTATCATTGACCAGAATAAAGATTGGGACATATTATTCAGTTACACCAAGAGTGGTATTGAGCCTTTAAAAAAGGAATGAACGAAATGGTTACCTTATTGAAAATCCAACAGGAAATGCTTACCAGACAACAAGCACAGCTGGACAGATTTGAACGGAGTGGTGCTACCAGACCGACTTTTTCTAGGGACCCTCAAGACTGCAATACAGCAGTATACGATGTTTCAAGTGCGGGGGCGTCGGTCACAAGATAAACCAATGTCCATCATCAGAAATTCCTGGTAGTAGGCAGTATGAGGAAGCATCCTACGCAAGAGGAAACAGCTCTCAAAATTATAGACGTGGCGAATTAACACCATACTCAGAGAACACCTACCGAGATCAGAGAAGTTCTTTTGTCCCATCTTTTCAGCGGTCCTTTCTACCTCCAAATCAGGCACCCACCGGTCAAGGAAGGTCGTCGCAAAATTCGGGAAACTAACCCCTTCCCCTACTGTGAGTCGAGTAGTGGGAAGTAAGGATACAGAGAGGGATTTAGAAGACTCCAATTTAACCAAATTCGAAATAGCAGAAAACGCGATAGGGAACTGTCCAGAAGTAAACGCATTTTTTTTATCGAGGGAAAGCCACTTCGGTCTTTAGTCGATACAGGCTCTCAGGTCTCTACTATTACAGAAACATTTTTCAACAACTTACTTGAAGGAAAGCCCCGCTTACATGATATTACCAAGTGGGTGAAGGTCACGGGTGCAGAATGCGGATGTGGTATCGCATAAAGTATTTCCGGATTCGAAACCGCCGATCTTGTAAAGATGCAGTGCGAAGATCCGCTTTTAGGCAGACTATTGTATTGGTGTAGGCAAGGGATTAAACCTAACTCTCGGCAACTCCGGTTTGAGAGTAGGGCAGTGAAACAGCTGATAGGAAAGTGGGAACAGTTTGCCTTTAAGAACCAAGTTTTGAATAAACTAGTTAACGAATCAATGTTAGGGGAGATCTCTCAACTTCTTCTACCGCTTAAACTACAGGCTATTGAATTTACATGATGCTGCTGGTCATCAGGGGATAGAAAGGACCACAGCATTAGTTCGTAAACGCTTTTACTGGCCAGGGATGGTAGATGTGATTAAAGAGTATGTTCAGAAGTGTGAACGTTGTATACTGTCCAAATCACCCATGCCAAAGATTAAACCATCAATAGGGAGTCTATCAACATCTTCAGATCCTTGATATTGATTTTACACTTTTAGAAAAATCGTCATCAGGAAAAGAAAAGGTTCTGGTGATGACCGATTTGTTCACCAAATTTACACAAGCCGTTCCAACCAAAGACCAGAAAGCGAGGACCGTGGCCAAAGTTCTTGTTCACGATTGGTTTTACAAATTTGGTATACCCAACAGATTACACAGTGATAACGGTAGGAATTTCGAAGGGAAAGTCATCCAGGAATTATGTGGCCTTTATAATATAAAAAAAAGTAGAACAACTCCGTATCACGCCCAAGGCAACGGACAATGCGAACGGTTCAACAGGACTATGCATAATCTGTTGAAATCACTGTCACCGGAGAAGAAATCGCATTGGCCGGATTACTTACAAGAACTTGTTTATATGTATAATATCACTCCCCATGCGTCAACAGGTTATTCTCCCTACTATTTACTAAAATTGGAAGGGAACCCACCTTACCAATAGATGCTATATTTAAACTGAGAGAGGACGAACATTTATCTGTCAGGGGTTGCATTACTGGGTGGGTCGCTGATCATCAAAAGAAACTAGCCGAGGCAATCGAACGCTCCAAAGTTATTTTAAAACAGAAAGCCGATAAGCGGCAAGAAATATACAATCGCAATACAAGAGAAGCACCGGTAGATAACGGAACCATAGTGCTATTCAAAAGTCATCCCAGTGGGCGTAATAAAATTCAGGATGAATGGGACCCCACGCCATATGTGATCGTTGATAGATTTAGTAACAATGTTTATTCTGTAAAACTAGCTGATAATAGTGGGAAAATCCGAAATGTTACTCGTACGGAGTTGCGTGATACCGGTCAAATCATTCAAAACGATTCCTCGTCGTCGGATGGGGATAGTTGGGAAATTATAGAAATGTCGTTGCTAGATGTGAATAGTGATAAGGATGTGCATAGTGAAATAGTAAGTGATGTACCTTCAGAAACCGATAATTCTAATTTCGCTGAGTTAGACCACTCTTCTGAGATAACAACGGTAAGGCGCTCTTCAAGAGCTGCGGTGGGCAAACACCCTAACCCCCATAAACTGCCCAAATCTGTTATACAGCATAGTGTTCATGTTCATAAAGAAACGACTGTATAAATTTGTAAAAATGTGATATTTTTAGATTAAATTTGTATAAAAAATAAGGAAAAAAATGATTGTAGAAGTTAACTGTATGGTTTTGTAAATTGTTATATTTTTAGATTAAGTTGTGCGAAAATATAAAAACATGATTTTAGAAGATGACATGAGTTGTGTATTAAGCTAATGGTTGGGATCTTATATCGAGCATTGATGAGGACATCTATGCCCTGCTCGCAGCGCCATATGTAACCTGTCAATAGATATATTGTTTCCAATTCGTGTTTCCATAGACCAAGATAGCAATCTGCTTCCATAGTAATTGTTCAACTCCCTCGGATTTAATTATGTACGTGTACGTCAATTATTTAGGAAAGTTATTTTACGACTTAGTCAGGTTTACATGTATGTTATATATATTATAATTATGTCCATTTAAATTTATGTTATATTATAATTATGTTCATTTAAATTTCGCGCATTGTGAACTATACGGTGTCATGTGACCAGTGTATCCAATGAACATTTGTCAGTAGGGAAGCTCAACTAATTAGTATTCAGTGGGTCTGAAGAGCTGGAGGGTGGTACGCCATATTTCAACCTCGAAGGTAGTTTTACGATCTTATTTTTCTGTCATTATATTCAGCGGTTTATTATTTAATTAGGTATAATGATGCATTATATATCGTAGAATGTGTATGTCAATCAATAATTCGTTTCCAAATCTATACATATTATACTACCAATAGACTTATAATATATTCTGTTTGAACCCGGTGATACACGGTAAATTAAAGGGGTAGTATTGTCATATTCTTACCACTGATAGATCAATTAATAAGTGTGTTCAGGTTATTTACTTGATAAGCTGTTGGTCGAATGAACATTTCTTTTTAGGGTTCCATTGAATGGTTGGTACCGTAGTTGGTGTTGCTTCTGTGTTGCCTTACTTAGGGTAAGAAGTTACATTAGATCATTAGATAATTATGTATTTGTATAGTGTATGTAGATGAAGGGTGAATTGTACATAAATTTTATCGACTAATCGAGTATTATCTGTACATGTATGTGTTTTAAACCATTTTTATTTAAATGATATATTTGTATTTTTCAGAGACTGTTGTCTCTAGTTACACTTTCTAGTTGAGCCCCCTTGTACTCCCTAAAATCGGTCCCTACGAACTGGATTCGCCATGTTAAGTCCACGTTCACATATTGGACGAAGGGGGGGTAACTGTCAGAAAGTTTCTGAATTTTCAGCTTCTCGGTTCAGAATTTACCAATTTACTCTGTACCTGTTAGAGCAGTATAGTAGGTTTTCTAAATTAAAACGAATTACTAGTCGATATGAATTGACACTAACACATGTATTTGTTATTATGCAATCAAACGGTATATTAAATTTTATGCCAGATATATAAGTTTCACCGCCCTGATACTGATAGGCTACATATAAAAGTCATTGAACCGTTTGTATATGATTATGGGCAGTACGCCAAAACATGAGGTGAAGCGGGCACATACCTGGTCGATCCATTTCCTGGTCTGATTTTCTATGCCTGCTGAAAATGCCTTGTTTCTTTTTGGATTTAGCCATTTTCAAGCCATAGACCCCGCCTATCTCACCTAGTTTCTGGTCTCAATTTCTCCCATTGTCCATTGTAAGTTGTGATTGTTCTGACTGACTTACATGTACTCCAGGTCCAGGCTGATATATACAGACATCTATTTTCATGCAGTCAATTTTCACTTAAAGGAGCTAAGTCCCTAATATTTGGGACCTAGAAATTGACACAAATGGGTCGCAATGCATACAATAATGTAATATGAATGTATATTAATGGATTTACTTTAAATCGTTTCTGTTTTTACTGTAATTTCTAATCAGTAAGGTTCGGCAACATACGCCAGTATTCTCGATCGAATTTCAATCTCTAGCTTCTGGTTATTCCAGTCTACGCCGATAGTATTTATTGGGCATGCTCTTGTGGAATATGCCTAGCCTCTTTTTTCGAGTCCCTTATTACACATAGCGCTGAACGCATTATGGTACACGATTTGTGTACCAATTGTAAAATGTTTATTTTGTGTTAAATATTGGATATCAGAGAGCCATCTTTTCCCGGTCAGATCACAACATCAATGTTGATTTAAACCGACAAATAAATTGTGTTTTCAATGTCAAAGATTTTGGATGATATTGAGTTAAAGACTTAGCTACTTTAAACATACATTATGCAAGAGCTAAATCTGCCAATTGCAAGTCTTTCTTTAGACATTTATTAACATAAAAAGCCCTTAATCAACTCTCGATGACATCTTATGTGTCAGATTCTCACTGGATTTGCATCCAATCTGCTGTTAAACGCACATTGATGATTAAATCCAAAAATGGATATTCGAGAGATTCGAGACTATGTATTTTATTGTACCGACTTTAATGATGATCGAGGCTAGGCCTAATATTCAATCACTGCTGGCTCGGTTCAGAGTGGAGCAGTCTAACTGGAATTTACAGCATATTCCCTTTTACATTATCTAGTTTTTAACTATTATAGTAGGAACTGCCAGCTCTTTATCTAATCTTCCATAAGAAACTTTAATTGATTTATCCTGATGATCTTACTTCCAGATTATTTAAGGGGTGTAAAGCTCTAACTCAGTATTATCATGGACCTTATAATATTATAATGTCAATGGTATTATCCAAAGTCTTCGACACTACAAACACAAATTATTGGTCCATACTGATGTTGTTATCTTACCGTGAAAATGTGGGCTCCTAATATCAAATATTTAAGACACCGTGAACAATTTTAAAACCAGTACATGCCATCATATACTCTATGCTCTCTGGTGTTGATTTTTGAACCCATTCTGCTGGTTTTCCAGCCTGGGTGCAAAAGGAGGAGGGTTAAGCTTAAGGGCATGCAAAAGTTCTCTTGTTCTCTTGAAATTAACCAAGGTACGAAACAGCTCATGTGAGCAGTAAGAAAGAGCCAGGTTATGAAACAGCTTGAATTCAACAAAGCTATAAATAATAAATGTTGATCAGTGTGTAATGAAATGTCAAACCGTACTAACAATGTAGACTTGGCTAACCAGGCGCGAGTGACTGCCATTCAATTAGGGCTGGTCACATTTTTTGATGAACAATAATACTGATTACAAATTTACAATAAAAGTTTTAAAAAATGAATGGAACTCAATTCCACTCTGCTATGGCACTCCTATTATATTAATTGGCTTTTCAACTCAGTTTCGTACATTTTAGGTTCCAAAAATAGAGATTTAGCTCCTTTAAGTGTTAATTTATTGATACTGTAATGTTTGAATTATTTTATCATTGAAGGTCTGTTGTAAAGATGATGCAACCAATGTATCCTGGACAGGGACGGCCTGGTGGGACAACTGAATGTGTATCAAAAGTTGATGTAAGAATTGAATGTAAAAATTTAATGAATAAAGATACTACATCTAAGTCAGATCCTTGTGCAATTCTCTACATATCAAGAGCTGGTGGAGAATTAAAAGAGGTAAGGAGTTAAACTTCTTTTACGCATGAAATTTTTGTTTAAAAAGAATAAAAATAAGTTGGCCTGTTCTGTATTACAGTTAAATTTTGGCTTAAGGAGGCAAGTCTAAAACGCAATATCACCCAAAGTCTTCGACATTGCAAACAAGTCTTATTGGTCAGTTTAGATCAACATTGATGTTGTTATCTTACCGTGAAAAGATGGGCTTCTCATGATATCCAATATTTAAGACAAAATGAACATTTTAAAATTGGCACACGATTGTCGATTCACATGCGAGAATGCTTTCAAGCACTATTTGTAATAAAGTGACTCAATGAACAAGGCTAAACACATCCCACAAGAGAATACTACCGGTGTTGACTGGAATAACCAGACACCAAAGACTGCCATTAAAGTTTGACTCTTCTTGTATTTGGACGAACATAAGTGATTAGAAGTTACAGTTAAACACAAACGATTGAATGTAAATCCGTTTATATACATTCATATTACATTATTATATGCGTTGCAATCTGTTTGTGTCCATTTCTAGGTGCCAAAGAATACAGATTTAGCTCCTTTAACTGGGTTGACAGTGGAACACAAAATCGATTGTAGGCATTCTGAACATTGGCTTTATCTGTAGACATGAAATTTTCAATGAAAACAGACTATCATCCCACAAAATAAATCAGCACATTAAAATTTTATTTCAAAAGATTAAGCAAAAGTTTGCTAATTTTAGTTTAAGTTTTAGTTTAACTGTATGGACAGTGGAAAACAAATCGTGTAATTCTCAGCGAAGACAGATTGCCAGCACCCCAAATCAGTCAGCACATAAAATAATGTGTAATCAACAGAAACCAAAATCCTGCGTATAAATTGGTCTCATTAATGAACCCTTGGCAGTTGAAATTCAAATGCTGCTGTCCATCCAGTTTGCCACTCATAGTGTGCCTTAATTAGCCCGGTTGGTGCTGAAAAGTAGGTTGTTAAACCACATTTCTTTCATACTACATTATGTTTGTATTGTATGATCACTGTCTCAAAGGACGTTTTATTGCAATAAATCTTACACATTACAGATGGAATATCACTCAAATCTCAATTAGACCTACTTGTTCCTAAAACTCAGTATGCAGTATATTACATCAATAGTCCAAACATTGTGTCCACAGAAACTGTCCATCTGTTCTTCACAATGGTGTACTGGCAAGGCCGAAAGCAGTTAACTTATTAATTGGTTAACGTATAAATGAAATTAACAAGTTAATAGAAATGAATTAACGTATTATATGCCTATTCGGCTGAAAAATCATTATACAGATCCAACCATGGTGCAAAATATCGTCCAGAGATCACAGTGCCACTGTCACTTTAGTTATGTTTGCCGGATCGCAAGTCTCCGGTCGAAATATCTTGATCTCCAGTCTCCCACTCGGAATCAAGGGTCAAGGTCAAATGCACCAAATTCGATGTTTTTAAAATGTTTCCCGCCAAATGCCACCTAAATCCCAGATTTGGTGTCCCAAATAAAAATAATGATCAAGAATAAGGTTTTTTTTTACTCCCTGAAAGAGGTTGGGTATGAAAATGACCATGTTTCAGGAGCTTCGATAATTAACTCATAAATTAACTCGTTAATTTTAAAATTTTAACATGTAAAGCAGTTAAAGGAAATTTTAACACGTAAAGCAGTTAAAGGAAATTTTAACTTGGTCTCAGCCCTGCATACCGGTACTAACAGTTTGACTTTTGACATGATTTTAATCTTGTTGATATTGTTACAGGCTGGTAGAACAGAGAATGTGAAGAATTGTTTAGATCCACAATTTGCTGAAAGTATTACTGTAGATTATTATTTTGAAGAAGTTCAGAATGTAAAAATTGTGATTTATGATGTGGATAACAAAACACCTGAATTAAGCGATGATGATTTTCTTGGAGGCATTGAATGTACTCTAGGACAGGTAGGCATTTTTATTTTAGCTTGTGGTCCCTCTGGAGGTCACAATTATTATCCGATTTAAAAACACGTTTGATTATATCAGAGTTACACCGTAAGGAAGGTTGAGTTTGAATTTCGTGAAAATCAGACCAAAATTGCCGGACAAAATGGCCACCGTTTGTACGCGAATAGTGTAAAAATATGGTATATCAAGGTTGTGGACCCTGTAGAGGTCACAATTTTAATTCGATTTTGATGAAACTTGAAATGCATGTTCATAACCTAAAGATCTTGGTTCCTTTCAATATTTGCGCATATCGGATTGTAACTTCCTGAATTATGGCCGCTGATTGTCCGAAAAATCGCCATTTTTAGCTTGTGGCCCCTCTGGAGGTCACAATTATTATTCGATTTACAAAACCGTTTGATTATATCACCATTACACCGTAAGGAAGGTTGAGTTCGAATTTTATGAAAATCAGACCAAAATTGCTGGACAAAATGGCCACCGCTTATACGCGAATATTGTAAAAATATGGTATATCAAGGTTGTGGACCCTGTAGAGGTCACAATTTTAATTCGATTTTGATGAAACTTTTAATGCATGTTTATAACCTAAAGATCTTGGTTCCTTTCGATATTTGTGCATATCGTATGGCAACTTCCTGAATTATGGCCCATGATTGTGCAAAAAATCGCATTTATTAGCTTGTGGCCCCTCTGGGGGTCACAATTATCACCCGATTTCAAAAAACGTTTGATTATATCACCGTTACACTGTAAAGAAGGTTCAGTTTGACTTTTGTGAAAATTGGACCAAAAATGGCAAAATTGTTGAACAAAATGGCCGCCCCACGTACGCAAATAATGTAAACATCTGGTATATCAAGGTTGTGGACCCTCTGGAGGTCACAATTTTGTGCCGATTTTGATGAAACTTGAAATGCATGTTTATGACCCAAAGATCTTAGTTGCTTTCGATATTCGCGCACATTGGATCGAAACTTCATGAATTATGGCCACTAATAGTACGAAAAATCACATTTTTAGCTTGTGGGCACTTTAGAGGTCACAATTTTGATCTGATTTTGATGAAACTTAAAATGCATGTTTATAACCCAAAGATCTTGGTTCCTGTCGATATTTGCGCCTACAGGATTGTAACTTCCTGGATTATGGTCCCTGATTGGTCGAAAAATCGCATTTTTAGTTTGTGGATTCTCTAGAGGTCACAATTTTTTGCTTGATTTTAAATGCAAATTGTATATAAGTATGTAATTCAAAGGTTATGGACCCTCTAGAGGTCACAATTTTTATCCAATTTTGATGAAACTTAAAACATATCTTTATATTCCAAAAATCTCAGTCCCTTTTGATATTTGCGCATTTCAGACCCTAACTTTCTAGATTATGGCCCCTGATTGTACAAAAAATAATTTTTGTTTTTAGCTTGTTCTCTATCCATCTCTTGCAAAATGTGGGCGTATCCTGCCTGCCAGCCGCTGGGGTTTTTTTTAATGGCATATGTTACTTTAGAAATGATATTCCATGTACAAACTGTGTGCTTGAATGATATATTTGGATTATAAATATATCCAAATTAATTAATCTATCAAAAATTTGCTTCAAATCCCTTTCAAAACAGTATTCACAAGGAAATACCCCAAGCTACATCTATTAAAAATCTATTTGAAGAATCTGTGTTTGTCACACAACTTGGCTGTCACGAGGGAGAATTCATTGCATATAAAAGACGATGTTGTCTTTAATTGGACTGTCAATTAGTGACACCCTCTTATTTTTCTCCATGGGTGTTTTTCAGGGAATCCAGTATTTTGCTAGTAGGATTGGATGTTTCTACTTTTCCATATATACCAAAATTGCCGTACTTTTATTGGAAATAATCACCCGATAAATACTTTTGTGGGCATGCATCTTTAACTTTTGTTTGTAATTAAATAATAGAATGTTACAATCGTTACATGTATGTAGCAGTATTAATCATATTCAAGGATATTTTACAATAATGAAATGTGAGTTATGTCATAACCATTTGATAATAAACTATAATGTTTTTTCAGCTTGTTTCCAATAATCCTTACATTAAACCATTATTATTAAAAGATGGAAAAAAAGCTAAATCTAGTTCAGTAATTGTAAGTATAAGATTTTTGTATCCGAGTCAGTACTGTTATAATAAGTCTTATTTCCACAATCACTACAACTGTAAATATGAGATTTTCCACTGAAGAGTGTAACCATATTATGACAAAAGACTCATAACTTGTTTTTATACATCCTCACACTAGTCTGTTAGTCTGTCTATCACGATTACTTGTTTACAAACATTAGAGGTTACAATAATCTATCTTTTTGAAATTATTATGGGTTGTCTATCTCATTGAAAGGAAGAAGCCTAATGTTTTTCAATATCGGCAATCGCCTCCAGAGTTATGCCCTTTTGTTTTAAGAAATCTTATTATTAGTACTTTGTATATTTTTATTATTAATCTTTCTTTATAATTGTGCCTGTTCTGAGGAATTAATTACCCCAGAATATTAAACTATTAAAGATAATCCATAAGATCTTTGGATAATTATGCATTGATTGACAGACTTTCATTTTTGATATGACGTCAGAATTCCAAGATGGCTGTGTTGATGCCATACTCTATTCCTGATCCACAGTACACCTGTGCTTGTTTATGTACACAATTAATATTGTATTTATTACTATATCTTAAAGGTTCGAACTGAAGAAATAAAAGCAGGGGGTGGAGAAATTCTTAATGTAACATTAAGAGCTACTAAGTTGGAAAACAAGGTAAACTAGGGCCTTATTATTTGTTATTTAAAAATCTAAAAAATAAAAGGGCCTATGTCTAATAGACTGGTACTAAGGAGCTTTGATGTCTGATACAGCCCGTGCTAAATAGATTAGATGGATTGAAAATGTATGTGTCTAAATCAGAAATATATATATGTTTGTTGTTTTTTTTAGGATTTTATGGGTAAATCAGATCCATTTTTAGAAATATTGAGAGGTACAATGGATGGATCATGGCAGGTCGTCCATAGAACAGAGGTAGGTATTGTTTTTCTAACTAAATCACTTGTTTAATTATAGCATCTTTTCATCTTTTATAAGTAAAACTGATATTATTACCAGTAACTGTATCACCCAGAATTATTAGCTATCAGAGAGTCTGCAGTAAAATTTTTTTTACATGTGAATCTTTGGAAGCATGTGAAGAGAAAAAAGACTTTGTCCATGTAATGGAGCTCATAAAATATGAAATAAACCAAGGTTTGACGTCCTACTTTTCTGCACCAACCAGGCTAATGAAGACCTACTCTTCTTCAAACTCAAGCTATCAAGGGTTCTTTTGGGAGAACATGGATGGTCTGTTTTTTGCTCTCATCCAACCGAATAGGTGCTTTTTCTTCCGTGCCAGGCTTTCCATCCTGCAATTTTGAAAAGGGAAATCTAGACTGGAAAATTTTAAGGAGCTTTCTTGTACAACACAGGGATCAAGACAAGGACCTCAAGCATTTTAGTTATTCTCTTTTACTGATATGATATTGCTAATAAAATACCCAAATTTCTTTTATTTTTATTTTAGGTAGTTAAAAACGATCTGAATCCACATTGGAGGCCATTTTCTATTCATTTACAGAAACTTTGTGGAGGAGATAAGAAACAGAGTATTAGAGTAAGTCATGATATATATTTTTGATGGGATTTGTCTTGGATTATCAAAATCTCACGTTAGTCATTTTCCCGAAGCTACGACAACAAGTCTTACAAGTCTGAAATTCCTGATCTTTTAGGTACATTATCTCCTACTTTGTTAAATCAGAGGTTTTAATACATAATGGAACAGATACGTTTACAGCCATTGAAAGCTTTTTTTTTTTGAAAAGTAAGATGAGAAGTGATTCATATCATGATCATAGCGGAAAAATCAAAGAGGTATAGAGCTCAAAATGAGTGTCAAAAAATGTAGGGTATACGCAAAGGCTTTGATAAGATGTACGGAGTAAAAGCGAGATCAAGCCTTCTATATGCATGTTTGTATGATTTGCAGATGGATGTATATGATTGGGATAACGATGGGTCACATGATTTGATTGGTGGATTTACGACTAATGTAGAAGAAATGTTAAGTACAGGGAAAGAGGTATCGTTATGATATTTTTATATGTTTACAAAGATAAGATGAATTTAAAATTTCGCAACATTCGACATATTTAGGTATATTTTAATGAGGATTAAGTTATGAAAAACCAGATATTGTCCAAAATATGCAAATGACGTTTGGTGGCTTTATGGTTGTTTTGAAAAATGGAAAAGTATATTAGGATACATCCTCGTAACCCCAGGGATATCGTTCCATTCTACTCCACTAATTCCTGGGTCCATTCATGAATTCAAATTATCTGCTCTCGATGATTTCCTTGACCACGTAGGTTGTTTCTATGAACCAATCTTAGTATCATTGTTTATGTCCACCACAATACAGCAGCACAAGTACATTCAATTATGAGAAGCTTTGCAAGAAATTTAATATCAAAGACATGCACACAAAAAGATGTCCTAAAGTATTTTAACAAAGTATACAGCAATGATTCAATAATCTTAGGGGGTGCTCGATTGTCAGTCCGAAACGTCCCGAATTGACAGAATTGCAATCAAGTAATACAGAATTCAGTCCTGTCACAGTTCTGCCAGTCCCGACAGCTGAGGTGGTGTGAGTAGAATCGTGACGTATTTTAAGTAACAAATATGTTTCAGCCACCATGATTGGTTGAGATATTTTTTATGCAGTCGGCACGTGCGTGGTACTCTGAAATTCTCCTGTTTACTTGATTGATGCCATTTTCGGAATTGAGAGAATTTAATTTCAGAACGTTCAATCGAGTATCCCCAAAGTTAAAACAAAATGCAAGTTACCTCCCTTTGGTCAATAAAAATAACACAATCATTAAGTGTGGATAATTTTACTGTGTCTCCCCCGTGAATGGACCAATATCACTTAGAATACTGAGGGTGATTAGGATAAGGGTAAGTGGTAGATATATTCCAAATTTCTCTGTGGGTTTTTCTTTAACCCTAATTGTTTTCTACTTATTGTTCTTTATTTATGATTACATTTCAGCCCACATGGCCTTGTATAAATGAGAAAAAGAAATCAAAGAAGAAGAATTACACTGACTCAGGCATAGTTATTGCATCATCTTGTAAGGTATGTAAGTTAAGTATACACTAAATATATCATATTGGTATACCTTAATTTCTGTCATAAAACTTCAAGTTTGACAGCAACAGCGTATTATCCCCTTTTTGCTCCTAAAAATACTCATAATATATAATAAATAAATACATACCGCATAGCACATATATATTTAAAGACAGAACATTAACCCTGTGGTAATTATTAAAAACTTAAGATAAGCTATCAGTTTTTGGCTAATGGTTGGAAAAATGTGGTTTCACTTTTATGATCACCTAAGTTATTTGTAATTTGTTTCAAGGGAGAGCAATGAGAGCTGAAAATTACTAAAGGGGAAGGTGCAGGAAATGACTAACTTTGTAAATGAGAAAACCAGGTACACAATTTATACTGAAATATAGAGAAACCTGGAAACAAATTAATACTTACTTATACTCATATAATTTTTATACTTTCAGTTAACCAAAGAATATTCATTCTTAGATTACATATTTGGTGGTATGCAGATTAATTTTACCGTTGGGATAGATTTTACAGGATCAAATGGCAACCCACGGGAACCATCATCTTTACATTATATAAATCCAAATCAACCTAATGAATATATGCAAGCTATCAGAGCTGTGGGTTATGTTTGTCAAGATTATGATAGGTAAGCAAACATTTTCTCTACAGAGAAATCCAAGTAAAATATAATCCAGAAATCTTAAACAGCCACAGCTAACAGACAAACATAGGCTACATAATATACTCTTCAAAAAAAGTAGGGGATTTTGAAATGCAAATACCTATGCAGGTTGTCATATGATAAATAGCCATGGACATTTGACATGCTTTGAGAGTATGTTCACAGATGAAGAACTTATCGCCCCAACAGAACCACTGAGCTGCACATGCGCCATACACGTGGGAGGGGTTCATTGTCAAATTTGACACTTCAAGTAAGGGTTGATGAAAACTGCCGCGTGCTGGTTTATGTATCCATGTTTGCTTTCTTATCGATTCTTGCAAAAGAATTACTGTTTAGGGTATCTTTGCTTTAGTGTGTTACGTTTAATTTGATCGGGAGACGTGTTCATCAACGTCAACGGACAACACTGCAAGAATTGGCCGTGGCACTGCAAGAGGAGTGGGTCAGATGGCCCCAAATCGTGATTGGAAGGTTGATTAAGAGCATGCCTTGACGAATTGCTGAATGTCTGAAGACTTGTAGAGCAATTACTCATTATTAAGACAAAAATCAAAAACGTCCATTTTCACTTTTAACGGTGTATCTTTTTGCGAGTGAATGGGGCTGTCAGATAAACCGCCCATATGAACTGTTTATGTTCATGTGTAGGCCATTGGCCTGTTATTAACTTACACTGGTTACCTCTAATAAAAACAGCAGTGTATTTCCGCAGTTTTGTATTGTTTCTGAATATCCCCTACTTTTTTTTTTGTAGAGTATATATACTATTCAAAAAAAGTAGGGGATATTTGATTTTTAAGTGTTATTAAAGTCACCTAATGAAACTGACGAAGAAACAAATGACAAAATGAAATGAAGTTCACATTCATCGATTTATTCCAAATGATTGTTAGACTAAGTAAGGCACAGACTGACCATTATAAGGGTAAAATGATACCCGGGGTCAAACAGCAAAGTTACCACAGCATCACAACCAAGTCAGTAACGGGTAAATCCTCCTCTGTTTGCCAAACAAGCATTGATCCGACGTGGCATACTCCTAATGAGACGTCTAAGGTCATTTTGGTCCAGATTGTCCCATTCCTGTTGCAACGCAGCAGCAAGTTCTTGGACATTGGCAGGACGTTGTTGACGTTGATGACGTTGACGTAACCTCTGTCCAAGCATGTCCCAGACATGCTCGATGGGGGAGAGGTCGGGACTCAGTGCTGGCCAAGGTAATGTGGTGATGTTCTGTTGTTGGAGGTAACCTGTAACGATCCTGGCCCTGTGACATCTTGCGCTGTCATCCTGGAAGATGAAACGGCGGCCATGACGTCGTGCGAACGGCACAACATGGACTGCCAAGATGTTGTCCCGGTAGTACTGGCCTGTAACACGCCCTGCAACAACATGTAAAGCCGTTCTTCCAGCAACAGTGATGCCTCCCTACACCATAACAGAACCACCCCCAAATCGATCATGTCTGATGACGTTAACGTCTTGGAAGCGCTCGTTTCGACGACGCCACACCCTCCTACGTCTGTCCAAAAAATCAACAGTGAACCTTGACTCATCTGAAAACATCACATTGCTCCAGCGTCGATTATCCCAGTGTTGACGATCCCTACACCAACGACGTCTTGCCTGAATGTGATGATCTCTCAAACAAGGGATCACGCGAGGACGTCGGGCGCGAAGGTGACCCTATGCAGTCGATTCCGAATCGTCTGGCCACTCACTCTCACACCAGTGTCTGTTTGAAGACGAGCGCTGATCTGATTTGCTGTGATGACACGATTTCTCAAGGCCAAGGTACGGATAAATCGATCCTGGGCTTGAGTTGTCGCCCTTGGTCGACCTGAGCGTGGTCTGTCCTGTACAGATTGTGTATCACGGTATCTGGACCATAGCCTGCTTATGACAGACTGAGAAACATTCATCGTCCGCGCCACAACCGCCTGTGTTGTGCCGATCTGTAGCATGCCAAGGGCACGTAACCTTTCATTTTGGGTAAGCCGACGCATATCAAAATTTGTTTTCTGGTCACTAAAACAATTAAACTGATGTTTCCACCCTGGAATTCAATGCCACAATGACTGTAACATTCAAAGTCAGAGTCGTGCAAATCTTGGGTTGGACCCCCATGATGATCCCAAGCATCACCTGCATTCCATGCGGTAGCTATTGGTGCGTTTGGGCGTCACATGTAACTGGAAATGTTTCTTCTGTTAGGTTCTATAGTGACTTTTTTCGTAGTCATTTGCATATTTTAGTATTATGCCCCCAAAATCAAATATCCCCTACTTTTTTTGAATAGTATATATTAATTTTTTTTCAATCCTTTTGTTAAATATTTCTGACCTTTATGGTAAACTTTGGAATTCATAATAGAAAATAGGATAGACCACCAATATAAGTTTTAAAAAAGATAGATTAATAACTCAGCCTATAAAATTCTAGCAATATACTAAACCAAGGGGCATAACTCTATCCAAAATCTTGAAAATCTATAGGTAGACAACAAGACAACACATTTCTAAAAGATGTAAGCTTTCTTTTAGCCACTTTTGTGCCAACAAGAAATTTAAACGATGGACAGGAGTGTCGGTGATACATGACCACATTTATATGCGAGCATATAAAATCTAGAATATTATCTTTTCATAAAATAAATGTAAAAGACTGGTTACTTGAACATTTATATTTACAGTGACAAAATGTTTCCTGCTCTTGGATTTGGTGCTAAACTTCCTCCTAATTATGATCAAGTATATCATGAATTTGCTATTAATTTCAACCCACAAAACCCATATTGTTCAGGTAAGTTATAGAACAAACACCTTAAACGGAGGAGCTGAAAATTGTTATATCTCACATGTCCAAATACTACAACATACTTCATAGCAGTCGTTTGACTGACTAGCTATGGATTAAACATTATTATGAACAAACTAAACAATATTCTCTTTGTGTAAGGAAACTTTTATTTTACATCTTGATCTATAGCTTGTTGTAGCATCATCATTTGAATTTATAATGTTAACATATTTTCTCTTTGAATTCTGGTACATTCTGTTTAATTTTGCTAATATATCTTGAGGTTAGTTATTTATCTCTAGAATTAAGCAATAATATCTTGGGTTCTGCTATTATCACTATAACTATATGGTAGTAGGCCTACTATATCTTTAACTCTTGGTACTCTCTTGAATTATTGCTAACATCCCTTGATTTCAGCACAGTTTCTTGTTATATCTTGATTATCTTGATTTCTGCGATTATATCTTGAGTTCTGCTATTATCTTTTGAGGTTTGCTATTATAGCTTCAGTTCTGCTATTATATCTCAAGTTCTGTTATTATCTCTTGAGATTTGCTATTATATCTTGAGTTGTTATATTATCTTTTGAGTTTTACTATTATATCTTGAGCTTTGCTATTATCAATTGAGTTTTGTATTATCCCTTGAGGGGGGGTGGATGGCTGAATGGTTAGCATGTGCGTGCTGTATCATAAAGTCTGTCATTGAGTCAACTGGCGTGGTTTCGATTCCCCAGTTGTACGTGACAAGGAATAGGGTCGCCTGTTCAACCTCTTGGGTTTTCTCCAGGCCCTCCGGTTTCCTCCCACTGCTAAAGACCCCTACGCGCAAGCGAATTATGGAAATAAAATTGAACCATATGTTAGTCCTGAAATGACCTAGTTTGTGTCGAGTGGACATTAAACCCCATTTCTCTCTCTCTTGTATTATCCCTTGAGTTTTGCGATTATCTATTGAGTTCTGCGATTATCTTTTCAGATTTGCTATTATCTCTTGAGTTTTGCTATTATACCTTGAGTTCTGCTATGATCTCTTCAGTTTTGCTATTGTATCTTGAGTTTTGATATTATCTATTGGGTTTACTATTATAGCTTCAGTTATTATATCTAGAGTTCTGTTATTACTTCTTGAGGTTTGCTATTATATCTTGAGTTGTTATATTATCTTTTGAGTTTTGCTATTATCTATTGAGTTTTGCTATTATCTATTAAATTTTGTTATTATCTATTGAGTTTAGTTATTAACCATTTAAGTGCTGTTATTATCTATATGAATTATGTTATATACTTGTTTTTAATTGCTACCTATTTTTCGTATCATCTCGTGATTGCTATTATGAATGACTTATTATTGAACAGGAATTGAGGGTGTGGTACAAGCGTATATGAATTGTATAACACAAGTACAGTTATATGGACCAACTAATGCATCACCTATTATAAATCATGTTGCTAGATTTGCTGCTACAGCCCAACAAGAAGAACCAACTAAAGGAGCTCATGTAAGTTTTCAATTCCTATTGTCTGTAATCAATCACATTTTATATTATATGAATGATAACACTTTTTGTCTAGAAGAGTAGGTAGGGGTGGGGAGCTGTTGTTTAAAGTGATATGATGCAGATTATAGATCTGTTATCAATTCCCGGTTGTATGTGACAAGGAGTAGGGTCGCCTGTCCAACCTCGTGGGTTTTCTCCGGGTCCTCCGGTTTCCTCCCACTGCTAAAGAACCCTACGCGCAAGCGAATTATTGAAATAATATTGAACCATGTGTTAGTCCCGAAATGACCTAGTTTGTATAGAGTGGACGTTAAACCCCATTTCTCTCTCTCTCTGTTATCAATTCAGTCATAGTTCCTCTCTATGATCTTAGTGACAAGAAATATTGTCGTCTTGTTCATCTTGTGTTTTTTGTAAGATTCTAATACATGTATAGAAGTGGAACCCAATGCACAAATATTTACAAAATTGATTTTTATCCATATTCTATATTAAATTGATCCATAACCAAATATTTTGTTTTAGGTGTACTATGTATTGCTATTACTAACTGATGGTGTTCTATCAGACATGAGCGATACTCTATACAGTATAGTTAAAGCTTCAGCTTTACCGATGTCATTGATTATAGTAGGAGTAGGTGGTGCTGATTTTACTAATATGAATACATTAGATGGGGATAATGGGGTTTTAAAAGCACCCAATGGTCAACCTGTTTCAAGAGATATCGTGCAGTTTGTACCCTTCAGTCAGTTTAAACAGGTAGGCTTTACAGCTAAAATGTTTTGTGGGTACATAAATATAGAAAGATTGTAATATCTTGACACAATATTCAGTTACAGAATTGATACATAATTCTTAGTGCAAAATGTTATGAAAAGTATTACATGTAGAATGTCCACATAAAACCATTTGTTTTTGAGTCACTTTATAGCATTAACAGTCTAACAATCTTAAACTTTACATTGTTGAAAATCAAATTTTCAGAAGCAGATTCAAAATAATTAACCTGATAGATAATTGTTGAATGTCAAATATTTGGATACTTGAACATAAATTTAAAGAAACAAGTATTGAAGTCTGTAGTAATGACATTCTCTTTATGTTGAAAATTGATCTATCTTGTTATTAATTTTAGAAAAATCCATCTGAGTTAGCTCGTCAAGTATTGGCTGAAGTACCAAAGCAGGTGACACAGTATTTCAAACTAAGAGGCCTGATACCAAACGTAATGAAACCTAATCCACCTCCTGCTACTCAAGATTCTTAGATTTAGAGTCTCTGATGGGATTTTGTTTTCCTACACTTCTTCACCTCAGACTCAGAGATATGGAGAAGGCATTATAGTATATTACATGTTTTAGATTATATAGATTTGTTTTTACTTTGAAGCTTTCATTGCTATGAACTAGTTATTTTATTTTCTACTTCATTTAGCATCCATGTACATAACTTTACCTATCCACAGTCCATTTACAATTTATACCTGACCGTAAAATATATTACTAAAACTTTGCATATGATAACTGTGATAATTAAGGGCATAGTATAGCAAAATATAGACAAATAAAAAAAAGGGTCAGTAATCAAAAGTTATAGCCATTAGAATGTCAGTTATCTAAAAAAAAAAACCAAAAAACCCCAAATAACTCGTTTTTAATCCATGAACAATAAGATCAAGCTGGTAGGTAATGATGTTGTTTTGATTTTAATTGTCTATCTAAAGAATAGCTTTCATTGCCTTATGTTTTAAATATGAAAAATGCCTATTAGACTTTTGATGCATTGAGTGAGACTTTAACAGGGTTAATTTGATGATATATGCCCATAGCTTCTTCATATCAAAAGGAAAATCCTGAAATAAGGCTATTTCCAGCACAAGATAAATAATTTAACTATTTTGGAATTGTTTTATAAAACAATAATTAATAATGTAAAGGGTATTTTTTTATTATTTAAATATATAGGTTTATAAGTCTGTTGAATTTCTTTGTCTTTCATATGCATCTATAACTTTTTGATATATTAAATTTATCTGTTTTCTATAAAATTATAATAAAATTGTCTACATTTGTAGCATACAAGTGTTTATATAATCCTTTATCGATACCTGGTATATTTTTATATAATGCTATTACAATTTATTTCATTTGTTAAAATGTGGGATTTGGTGCCAAGTGGTCTGGGCTTTGTACATGACAGGGAGTAGGGTTGCCCGAGTAACCTCGTGGGTTTACTCTGGGTCTACCGCTTTTCTTCCGTAGTTCCGCTGTTAAAAAGCCTGACATGTAAGACCTATGTTAGTACCAGAATGAACTTATCTGTGTTAAAAAGATATTAAATCCCATTTCACTTTCTCTTTTTATTTGTTAAAGCATCTTACGATAATCAGATGTTTCTATTTATTTATACTAAGAACATTTTGAAAACAAACTTCTTTTGTTATTATAATAATATCGCTGTATATATATAATGCTGAATTATATTTAAACAATGCTCTGCTAGTTTATTAAAGATACATTATGGGAGATTAGATAAAGAGCTGGCAGTTCTCACTATAATAGTTAAGAACTATATAAAGGCAATTTGCTGAAAATTTCAGTCAAATTGATCCACTCTGAACTGAGATTTTAGCGATTGAATTTTGGGTCTAGCTTTGATCATCATTACTAAAGTCGGTACGATAAAAATAAAATAGTCTTGATTATGCAATTTTTGATTTAATTATCAATGACCGTTAAGCAGCAGAGAATATTCTAATCTGGATAAGTTAATTAACGTCTAATTAATAATTTAGATAAAATTTCAGGCCTAAAGAAAGATGTGCAATAGGCAGATTTAGCTCTTGCATAATGTATGTTTAAGTAAAGTAGTTGTATACATTTGTTATTTTTATTATAGTCTGTTATATTACACATAATGTTAGAGGATCTGTTATATTTGTATAATGCTTGATTATTATCAGTATAGTAATATTTTTTATGTTCTCTTAATGCTCGATTGTTTCTGTTTACTGTCCAACATTTAGTCCATTTTTGATATATTTTATTATGTCATTTTATTTTGAAACATATTTTGATGTTAGTTGGATAGATTTTATATATATGTTCGGTTTTTATTAAATAGACATGTTATACAACTATATATGCAGGGGGAATATGGGTTTCATTTCTAAAGGTTATCACACTAAACAACCAATTGGTCTTCTGTATTCCTTATTCAGTTTTATTATATTTTTAATCTTGTAATAATATGTTGATTTCTATCTTATATAAAGCTTTACTTTGAATGATAAAACTGATTAAGAATCTATGTATTAAAGATACATTATGTAAGATTTAAATAAAGAGCTAGCCATTCTTGCTATAATAGTTCGAAAAAAAAAATGTAAAATTAATAATTTGAAAATTTCATTTAAATTGCTCTATATTGCGCGCAAAGATATTAGCCTTTGAAGGTTTGACAAGACGTGTGCAATAATTTCAACCACCGTACTGGTTGTGCAAGCTAAGTCTTGCTCTTCCATTTTAGCTTCAATCAAAATATGGCTGAACTGTTCTAATCTATTTAATATCGGAGAAATCCGATGCCATCGAGAGTTGATTATGGCCTGGAAAAGTTAAATAATGTCTCATTAATAATTTAGAAAATATTTCAGGCCTAAAGAAAGTCCTGCAATAGGCAGATTAAGCTCATGCATAATGTGTGTTTCAACTGTTTATACAATTATTTGTTTTTGCTGGTTGACACTCTATCTTTTTATATAAAAAAAGCTGTTGGCTTCTGCAAATGTTTATTGTACATCTTCTGTTGGCTCTTTTCAAATTTATAAGAGACTGGCTTTCATATAAATTTAACTTTAAAAAATTAGTTTTTTTTCCTTTAAAATCTATTTTGATTAGCACCTTTAAGTTTCTGTCCTACAAGATTTGATTGTTGTCGTTGTCTCATGTTATTGTAATCCAATTATCAGATGAAAAATACAAAGTTAATGGACAGTTTCGACAAGATCAACTTGCCACATGAAACAAATTTATAATGAAAAGTGTATGTGTTATTGTGAAAATGGTAAGCCTAATGTGCCTTGTTCAACTGTAAAACCAGTGTTACCAGTGACCTTCTGCCGACATGTAATTGAGGAATTGGGCGAGGTTTATCTCAGTCACAATGTCAGAAATCAAGCCTATCCTTCTGCGTTAAAGTTTTGATTACATTATTTTGGCATATTGGGCTCAATCGTTTAAAGGAGCTAAATCGCTAATATTTGGGACGTAGAAATTGATACAAATGGGTCGCAATGCATATAATAATGTAATATGAATATATATATAAACTAATTTACTTTCCATTGTTTCTCTTTTTACTCTAATTTCTAATCAATTCTATTCGGCGAAATATGCCAGAAGTCTCAATCGAATGGCAATCTCTAGCGTCTGGTTATTCCAGTCTACACCGATAGTATTTATTGCGCATGCTCTCATCAATACGAATATGGCGTCATTGTTTGACATGACTTGTATATGTCTAGCCAAGTTCTTTGAGTCTGTTACAAATGGCACTGAAGCGCATTATGGTACACTATTCGTGTACCAATGGTAAAATATTTATTTTGTCTTAAATTAGTTAAATATTGGATAACAGAAGCCCAACTTTTTCCGGCAAGATCACAACATTAATCATTCAATGTTGATTTAAATTGACAAATAATTCATGTTTTCAATGTCGAAAACTTTGGATGATATTGAGTTAGAGACTTAGCCACTTTAAAGGAGCTAAATCGCTAATATTTGGAACCTAGAAATTGACACAAATGGGTCGCAACGCATATAATAATGTAATATGAATGTATATAAACTGATTTACATTCAATCTTTTCTGTTTCCACTGTAATTTCTAATCATTTATGTTCAGCGAAATACGCCAGAAGTCTCAATTGAATGGCAATCTCTTGTGCCTGGTTATTCCAGTCCACACCGATAGTATTTAATGCACAGGTATATATGCTCTCCAGATAAGAATATGGCATCACCGGTTGACTTGACATATGGAATATGCCTGGCCTCGTTTTTCAAGTCCCTTATTACAAATAACGCTGAAACGCATTATGGTACACGATTCGTGTACCAATGGTAAAATGTTTATTTTGTCTTAAATATTGGATATCAGAAGCCCATCTCTTCCCCGGTAAGATCACAACATCAATGTTGATTTAAATTGACAAATAATTCGTGTTTCCAATGTTGAAGATTTTGGATGATATTGAGTTAGAGACTTAGCTACTTTAATATAAAGTTTAGACTCCACAGAAAGTTAAAACAAAAATTCATATGGCAGGAAAATAATTATTAGTATTAATAAATTAAAAATGACAATTTGACAGAAAAAAACGGTACCGGTACTAAGCCTATATTATCAAACATCAATACAAATTATTGTGATATGAAATGAAATAGTTTTTGATTTGGGTGGATTTGGGTAAATCGTGCTACCGGTAATAGAGGTAGAGTCCGATAAGAATCCGTTAGTCCCAAGGAGTATATAATAATAATAATATATACTCCAAGCGAGTCCTAGGTTAATCTTTATCCATCTGGACTCAGATTTAGATTAGCAATTATTTGCCCATTGACTTCAATGTTAAATGACTGTAACATCACAGGCTGTAGCTTTTTGCTCAACATTCCGTTGGTTCCAATCTTTATAGGCACAATGGGGACAACATTTGGCAATCTCCTCATCATAATTTTGTAGGGGGTTGGCCGTTTAGATTTTTTGCTACACGGATTTGAAGTTGACAGGGGTGAAAAGCTCACTTCCGACACAATGATTGCTCTGCAGAAAGACACTTTACACCCCCTATCCCTCCGCTGTAATATCATCAGTATTACCCAAAACTGCTATGAAATTGCAAATTTGATCCCTTTTCTCCAATTCTAGACCAAAAAGTCAACCCAAAAATGCAGGAAGAGGGGAGAAAAAAATTAAGGGAAAAATTGTCTATTTATAACTCGCACTACATAATTACTAGTCTTAGTCCATCTGCTAGCCAACCAAGGGAGATAAGTACCAATATTGTCAGATCTAAATATTAAGGCCACCTGCATATACCGTCAAGGTCACGATATGTAAACAGGGTTAAGGCACCTGATTGATGCAGACGATTGTCAGTTAGGACATAGAAATATTTTTCTATGGTTAGGATTAGGGCTGAATTTCGGGTCACCTGCCCGTTTACATCTCGTGACCTTGACGAAATTTGCAGGTGACTTTAATATTTAGATACAGGCCTAAACCTCGATCCGTAGGTAAACGAAACAAGTTTTTGTTTCTTCTAATTTGATTATTGTCTATGACTTCCTTTGTATAATATAACAACACTTTACAGCACATTTATGTTGGAAGAATCACTGACGTCAATGATCGGAATTGTGAAATATCCTAGACTTTTTCATTTTGTGTAATTTCCCAATGTTATTGTTACTATATGTATATATATATATATATATATATATATAATGTCGATGTGTAACCCACATATTTCCACAGAATCAATGCCAATTGCGACAAAACATTGTTTAATTAACCTTTTGGATAAACAATAATTGTGTAATTTATTGTGCAAGGGGTGAAGATTGCGCCTCACAAAGCCATTATATTATTGGTTCAAAATTTGGATCTCGACCGGTCCTATGATATATTCATTACCACTGACCACAGTTTTGGCAGTTTATTAGATTGTATGTACAGCGCTAGACAAATTCAGTTTATAAGGTCCATGGTGTAATAATAATAATTTTTATTTCATTTACAAATAAAACACAAACTGAAACTTGGAAAAGAAATGCCAACTGATTCGAAATTTGATAATTTTTAATCATAATTTGGCATACGTAAATGTTTGTGCCGTGGCTCAATTCTATTTTTTTCCTGTCTTTTTTTCAGCATATTTTGATAAAAACAGTTATTATTATTAAAATTAACAACAATGGCTCAACCATATCCTAATATGAATCAGGTACATGGTGGAACAGCTGAATGTGTAACTAAAGTTGATATCAGAATTGAATGTAAAAATTTACTAAATAAAGATGTTATGTCTAAATCAGATCCCTGTGCTGTTCTTTACATGGCAAGATCTGGTGGACATTTATCAGAGGTAATTTATTAAGAGTATACCAAATACTTGTTTAAATTTATCAGAAATAAATATTCATTGATCCTGGTGAATTTACAATTCCCTGTATATTATATATATAAGTAGGCTACGTTGAAAGTACAAATAACCAGTATGACGATTTTCTTCAACATAAGAAGTACAAACACTTACATTGTACAAAAGTGGTACTGCATATTAACTTATTCTGGCGAACAATTTCTTTTTAAGGAAAACACAAAAATATTTGCTTACCAGTAGGTAGATTAGATATTGGTACTTTTATTTTTCATTTCAGATTGGAAGAACAGAAAATATAAAGAATTGTTTAGATCCCAAATTTTCTAAGAGCTTCACTGCCAATTATTATTTTGAAGAAGTTCAGAGGATTACAATTGCTGTTTATGATCTAGATAATAAAACACCTGAATTAGGTGATGATGACTTTCTAGGTCAAATTGAATGTACTATGGGTCAGGTAAGAGAATTATACCGAAGCCACATTAATTAGGGTTTCACACTATTGTTTTTGTTCGGAAATCACCGAAGTTGTCGTTTTTCGATATTTTGCCGTAATGTTATCAATAATTGTCTGATTGTAATATTTGATACATTTTGACATAGCCAGAGACAAGGCACATAGCTAAGGTTCTTTGGATTTTTTATTTTCGACGAATCTTCGGAGATATTAGGCGCCAAATTTTGAAAATTTAAATTTTTACGAAAAACTTTATTTTATTTATCGGTACCACTTTTTGAAAGCAAATATTATTTTTTTCAAATCTGGTATGACTGAAAGGGTTTGCCCTGTTAATGCGCAGAAATCATTTCGATTTAAAGGTGAAAAAAGGTGAAAAAATGAGCTATTCACAACCCATTCAGGCTTTTCATATTTTAAAATATTTCTTCGCAACTTTCATAAACTAGTAGCAATAATTCATACGAAGAGAATGTATGTGAAAATTAATTTGTAATATGAACAGTTGCCGAGAAATGGGCAATTTTGTATGAGTCACTTTTTACGCTAGTTTGCCTGTATAAGAGTCAATTATTATTCGATTTTCATAAAAGTGACACCATTTGATGCGTAATGTCAATTTTAACAAGGTCAAACCAATTTAACATTTTCAATGTCACCGGAAATGACGTAATTTGGACAAAAATTGTATTTATAACCTTCAAAACCAGTAATTTATTCAAATGAGTCTTATTTGTTATTTGTTTAAAATTTTGATATTTGACTCCAATCAACTAATAGAATGAACCCAAACGATCATATAGATATCACAAAATGGTTTCTAACTTGTTCAGTTGCGGAGAAATAGATGATTTTCAACAGGTAACTTTTCAAGGTTTTTGGTCCATAAAAGTGTCAATTATTATTCGATTTTCATAAAATTCCCCGTGTGTGATACCTAATGCCATTAACGATTTCATACAAGTAATTTAACCCTTTTAGTGTTACCGGAAGTAACGTGATTGTGGCAAAAACTGTATTTTTAGCCTTCAAAACAGATATTTTATTCAAATGAGTCTGATTTGTATTGTTTTTAAAATTATGATATTTGATTCCAATCAACAAATGGAATGAACCCACACGATCATACAAATACCAAAAAATGGTTTCTAACTTGTACGGTTGCAGAGAAATACACGATTTTCTACAAGTCACTTTTCAAGGATTTTGGTCTATAAAAGTGGCAAATATTATTCGATTTACATAAAATTTTCACCATGTGATGCCTTATGCTATTTCTGATTTCATGAAACTAATTTAACATTTTCATTATCACCGGAAGTAATGTAATGTTGTCAGGATCACTTACATGTAATGAATGTATACAATGCATTGATATTGCCGGATTTGGTTTATTCTGCGTACATTTTATGTGATGTGTGCAATGCTTAAATGGAAACCTGTTTAATGGTTTCATCGGTACCGGAAGCGACATGTGTTGTAGGGTAGCGGGGCACCGGTGAAACCCGTCATTACTGCATCGCAGTTCTAGTTGCTACTCTTCTGTTTAGGATTAACAAAAAGTATCTTGTTATTACCACTACGATATCTACATTATTTTATGGGTATAAGGGTATAAGTCAATGTGGAGTATAAGCCAAATTGTTGAATTTAGGAATTTGTCGACTCTCATTCATATAAGACAAATCATTGCCAACTGCCAACATCACCATTATGTCGTTCACGATAGTTGCTATACTTGATGCTGGTATTACAGGGTTGGGCACGTCCTCGTCTATTTTTTAACAGTGAATATATTTTTGTCATTTATTTTTTTCAGCTTGTTTCCAACACACCTTATATTAAACCATTGTTACTAAGAAATGGACAAAAAGCAGGAATGGGTACAATCATTGTAAGTACAATCAAATTAAAATTGGTTCTTGCAATACATTAATTTACTTTCTAATATTGTGGTGTACTGCCAGTGAGAGTTGAATTTATATCAACAAAAAAAACCAAAAACACTCGAATTGAAAATGAAAAGCATTCATCTATATAAATGCAGACGATTTGATTGCTCAGTAAGTTCACATTATCTTAACACCATCCACAACTTAGAAAATAGTCAGATGTCACTGGCAGTATAGAGTACAAACAAATTTAAACGAAATATAATTGATATCCAATTTTATTCCGATTGTTGTGTTTAATAGAACTGTATTTCTGTTAAATATCTACTGCATTTAGATAATCTGATTGTTCTATTACTACACTGTATATATATTTCTGTTAAACATTAAAGTTAGACAATCGGATTGTTTTTTTTACTACACTGTATATATATTTCTGTTAAACATTAAAGTTAGGCTGTAGTTCTGTTAAATATCTACCGTAATTAGATAATCCAATAAATCGCAAGCACAGAAACGGAATACAAATCACATTCCATAGAATATATTTTACTACATGTACTTCAACAAACATTTTCAAATGCCTGTTCTAAAACAGGATGCCCGTTTGTACTATTTCATTTTATTTTAAATCAACAATTTTAGCTTAGCCACCACTTTGCAAGTTTTGTTTCTTGAGTGTCTTTGCTTTCTTTATTTTCTACTTTTGTTTAACAGGGGGTCTTTGGTGCAGTTTACAGTGCATTTTGATTGATAATGAATTTGTAATTTTATCCATAAATAGTGTGTTATTTGATTATATGAAATGAAATTTAATGAAATGAAATGAAATGGAGTTTAACGTTCTACTGTTCTGGTCCGACTGGGCTAATGAAGACATCAGCGGCACTATGGCCTACTCTTATATTCCAACTGCCAAGGGAGCTTTTATGTGCAGTCCAATGTATACACGGGACCTCGGTTTTTATATCATCCGACTGGGCTAATGAAGACATCAGCGGCACTATGGCCTACTCTTATATTCCAACTGCCAAGGGAGCTTTTATGTGCAGTCCAATGTATACACGGGACCTCGGTTTTCATATCATCCGAATGACTAGACAGCTGTCCTTGTCAGGCCTTCTGTCCTGCACCACTGACAAGGGGAAACCACGTCGGAAAATCCTGATGAACTTTTTCAGCCAATGCAGGGATCGAACACGCAACCTCCAGATTAGCGAGCCAGTGTCTTGCCCACTTAGCCACCGTGGCTTCCTACTTGATTATATCCCAATTACTAAACGCCATTCAAAGAATGAATACCGGTATATAAGCTGTTTATATTTCAGGTAAGAACTGAAGAAATAAAAGAAGGTGGAGAAATTCTTCAAGCAACATTCAGAGCCACAAAGTTAGATAACAAAGTATGTACTTATGTCTTTATTATTTTATTGCCCCTGCATTTCTGTCAGTCTTTCTGTCAGATATTTTGGAACACATTAAACCTCTGCTTCTTTACTTTTTGAGATAGAATGTTAAGACTCGGTGTAGATGTTCATTATGTGAATGACTGAATGTCTTGACTGAGTTTGATGATCATCATTTTATTTCTCTATGCATGAAACAACTTCCTGTTTCTTCAAATCATAATTACGCATCTACCGTAGCAATGATCTCTGTGTTAGAATTATATTTGGAATGTGTTAAACCAGTTTTATCACATACTAGAAGAATGCCCAGCTTCGCTCGGGGATCATAACCCCGAAACCGGAAGTGGTAGACTAACGCCACCTGGCCTATGTTACTCCCCAGTCCGAGCTACCCCTATACCCCAAATTTCAGACTCGGGGCAGACCTAGTGTAGCCGCCAACCCCGAACAGACAGACAAACGACAGTCACAAATATTAGTATAGAAGATGTAATGGCTGACACCAACATTGTCCTTTAATATCTGAAAATATCGAAGCACCTGTGTCCTAAAAAATTGATTTAGAAAACCAACTGGAAAATTGGATTATGTGCCGGTTTTGTCTGTTGAAATCTCGCTGGAATAGACAGTCTCCTAGTGTTTTCTGATAATTAGTAAATAGGTTAGTACTCGTAATCAGTCTTTCATGTGTTGTAAATGTTCTTATTACTGACAAAAGAAAAAAATATGCGACAACACTTGTTGACAGGCCAGACGACTTAGCTGCTGTGGGCGTATGTTTTGTTGCCTGGCAACCTATCTTTTCTATATTAGATATTGTTTTTTTTCATTCATTTTTTATTATATCAAGGATTTTATGGGTAAATCTGATCCGTATTTAGAGATATTAAAAGAAACAATGGATGGTTCATGGCAGGTTGTACACAGAACAGAAGTAAGTCATAAAGTCTACAGACTACTTTCTTGCATTAATTGTTCATTTTGTGGTAAAAAGGAACCTCATTGAAATTAGTCCAATTACAGATTTCAGAATTATCTCCCCTTTTACAGGCCTTAACGAAAAGGAATGCAATTTTTCTCCTTGACACACCTGGATGTCAGTTGAGGTGCACTTTTTATCACTCGCCTCAATAGTCTAAATTGACTTTGCACAATGAAAATAATCGGGAAAAATACTGTTAAATCTCGACATTTTTTACTTAGAGACCGAGTAACATGCACTGATCTGCCTAACATAAGAGATTCTGGAGAGATTTCTTAGGGAGTGATTTTCCCTTTTTCCAATTCCAGGAGAGCTTTTTTTTTTCACTCTCCAGGAATTTATTCACCTGAAGGCTTGCATTTATCTTCAGATTAATGAACATGATACAGAATATGTTTATAGAATATTTTTCAAACTCAGTGGGATTCTTCATTATGATCTTTAATTTCGAATGCTGATACATGTACAGTAGAATCTGTGAGTGGCTGCTTAATACAGATTCTACTGTATAGATATTTACAGTCATATTTTGACTTTTAAATAGTTCACAATAAAATGCTTTAAAACATGTTGGTATTGTTCATATCCAACTTGTTTCAGTGCAAATCATAGAGTTATCTGGCCATTATATTTATTGTATCTTCTGTACACCATATACACCAGAAACTTTAAAACAGTTCTTTAAAAGTGGGTGGGGGGGTTGGATGGCTGAATGGTTAGTGTGCGCGCGCTGTATCATAAAGTCTATCATTGAGTCGACTGGCATGGTTTCAAATCCTCGGTTGTACGTGGCAAGGAGTAGGGTCGCCTGTCCAACCTCGTGGGTTTTCTCCGGGGCCTCTGGTTTCCTCCCACTGCTAAAGACCCCTACGCGCAAGCGAATTATGTAAATAAAATTAAACTATATGTTAGTCTCGAAATGACCTAGTTTGTGTCGAGTGGACGTTAAACCCCATTTCTCTCTCTCTCTCTTAAAAGTGGGTGAGATTGCCATGTAGTGTAAAAATCAGGAGAAGATAATTTTTAATTAGATAGCCTATCGTCATATACAAGTCATTATTCCTTGTGTAGTATCGTAAGTACAGGAAGACAACACCTCAGATAACAACTACTAGTACTGATAACAAGAACCATGCTATATATAGATTATGATCCTGTTGGTCTTGTTATTTCTTCCAACAATTTCTATGACAAGGAATGTGAAATTTCATTCTTGCATTTATGTTCATTTTACTTTTCAAATTAATGTCAGACGAAAATATTTTAAGAAAAATTGATTGCTTTCCTTCTTTTGACAGGTTGTCAAAAATAACCTTAACCCAAGTTGGAGGCCATTTTCTATTCCTTTACAAATCGTATGTGGAGGTGATAGGAAAAAGAGGATAAGGGTGAGTATAAAAATCTGTCTGTTTGTCTGTCACACCTTGTGGAGCACAATAACTCTGCTTCTAATTGAGCTAGAATTTTCAAACTTGGTGTACATGTCTTGACTGGGTTTAAGCAATTTTTTGCCAATGCTTTGGGAAATGATAACTTTGTTTCGAATTGAGTGAGAGTGATGAAACTTCATGTATGTTCGAAAATTGACATTTTCTACTCCGGTTAAGTAGAGTAGAAAGCAGTTTGATAAGTTGAGACACTGTGTCACAATATCTTTGATTCTAAAGTGAGGTTGATGAAACTTGGTGTATATTTCCATATATCAATACATTTACTGAGTTCAATGATGAGCATTTTCTGCTTAGGTTAAGCAGAGATAAGCAATTTGATTTCTCAATGCTTTAGTACACAACAAGTCTGCTTCTAATTGAGACATGTTCATTGTCTTGACTGAGTTCGATGATGATCATTTTCAGCTTAGGCTAAGGCATTTGTTTTCTCAATGATTTAGCGCAAGGTAACTTAGATTCTAATTGATTGAGTATAGTGACACGATTATATTTCTGACAATACAAAATATTTTCTTAATAATTTAGATTTATTGATTAATGCTTAATAGTTTCAATTCTTAAATATATTTCTTAAGTTAGTTCACCCACAGTATTCGATATTTGAATATTATGATTAATTTATATCAGATGGACGTATATGATTGGGATAGTGATGGTTCACATGATTTTATTGGAGGATTTATGACAAATATAGAAGAAATGACAACTCGAGGAAAAGAAGTAAATAATTATGGTTGATTACGTTTTTTTCATTCTTAAAGAGATAATTAAACATCGGATATATTGTTATTTCATTAATTCCTCTGCACACAGGACTCATAAACAGTGATACCTTGAAAAACCCCATGAGGTTAGGAAGATAATATTTATTACAATTATGAGATTGTAAATAGGAGGGCTGGCTGAAATGTTCTAAGTCTATCTGTAAAAAAAACATGTACAAAGTCGATGGTTTGCATTTAATTTTCTACATAGTCCCCCTCAAGGTGTATACACTTTTGCCAATGATATTGCAAGACGTGGATGCTGGTCAGAAAGAAATATTTTCAGCCACCCTAAAAAGTCGTTCACAGCCGACATGACATCTTCATACTAGGACAATGACGACCGGCTAGTTCCTTTTCAATTTTTGGAAACAAGCCTTTTTCATGGTTACAAATCTGGCCAAAATATTATCAGGATCTTGCAGAAACTTTTGTCATTTCTAACTAATTTCGGGCTTAGAACTTTTCAGCCAGCCGTTGTCAAATGTAAGAAATTTGTTGCACAAAACTCCCAACATAAATCATTGATTATATCTTATGTTATATTATTTTAATTTTAGCCTTCCTGGCCTTGTATAAATGAAAAGAAAAAAGCAAAAAAGAAAAAGTACACCGATTCAGGTGTGGTAGTTCTGACGTCTTGTAAGGTAAAGTCTTTTTAAATTTATTCAATAGATTGTGAGTGAACTGTGACCACAACAAAACCCCAAATAAATCTGGCCTGTACAAAAATTAATATTATGCCTTGTATTTGCAGATAACCAAAGATTATTCGTTCTTAGATTATATTTTTGGTGGTATGCAGATTAATTTTACTGTTGGAATAGATTTTACAGCATCAAATGGTAACCCACGGGAACCATCATCTTTACATTATATAAATCCAAATCAACCTAATGAATATGTACAAGCTATCAGAGCTGTGGGTTATGTTTGTCAAGATTATGATAGGTAAGAAACACCTGAATCAACCTAATGAATATATGCAAACTATCAGAGCTGTGGGTTATGTTTGTCAAGATTATGATAGGTAAGCAAACATTTTCTCTACAGAGAAATCCAAGTAAAATATAATCCAGAAATGTCTGAGGCTTTAATGGGAGACAACTCTTCTATTCCATTTTTTTTTGTGTTCTTCCCGACTCAGTGAAATAAAATGAAATGGGGTTTTAACATCCTACTGTTCTGCTCCGACTGAATAAAGACAGGCATACGCCATACAGTGTGCTATGAGGAACATTCTGCCCCGACTCAGTGCTACAGCCTACTTTTATAAATCAAATTCTTACTGCCAAGTGATCTTTTAGGTACACACCAATATGTACACGGGACATTGGTTTTTTGTCCCATCCAAATGACTAGACAGCTGTCCTTGTCAGGCCAGCTCTCTTACATCACTGACAAGGGGAAACCATGCCGGTAGGCTAAGCCACCATGGCTTAAGGAATATAAAAATATTATAAATATATTAAGTTTTATCATGCTATAATTTATTTATTTATAACAGTGATAAATTATTTCCTGTTCTTGGATTTGGTGCCAAAATTCCACCTCAGTATCAAGTTTCTCATGAGTTTGCTGTCAATTTTAATATGCAGAATCCATATTGTGCTGGTAGGTGTATTTTATTGACTTTCAATCATGAATTTGTGAATTATATACAATATGTTTGTAGATAAGAGAAATATAACTATTATGTTGTTTGTTAACAGGAATTGAGAGTGTGATATTAGTGCATATGATTATGTGTATTCATGTTGACTTAAAGGAATAAAGAACTTGAACTTGTGATATACGAGTATATGATTATGAAATGTCATCTTGTTCTATTCAGTAATTGCTATTGACAGTGTCCAAATCTACTTTCTTTGTTTCTCTGCATTGTACTTGATATTTCTTGCTTTGTGGGTTCCAGTTAAATGAAATAAAGTTTAATGTCCTACTTTTCTGCGCCCACCGGGCTAGTGAAGACGGTCCTGTGAGTAATATTTGGCCCTGGCGGTGGCGTTTCCAGCTACTCTTCATTGAATTCCAACTGCCAAGGCTTATCTTGCCCTTGTCAGGCTGCAAAAATCACAAGGAACGCCATAACTTGGATCAAACCCAGGTCCTCTTGGTTAATGAGCCAGTACCTCATTCACTTAGCCAATGCCCCTCCCCCCAAGATCCAAATCCTGTTGCATTATGCTTGAGAGAGGGCAATGCACGGTTGCAAGGTATGTTCACCTGTAGTTGGATGGTTTGTTCTCTCCCATTGTTTTAGGTTTGAGATGTGATCTAGCCATGTAATATGACTTATTATTGAACAGGAATTGAGGGTGTGGTACAAGCATATATGAATTGTATAACACAAGTACAGTTATATGGACCAACTAATGCATCACCTATTATAAATCATGTTGCTAGATTTGCTGCTACAGCTCAACAAGAAGAACCAACTAAAGGAGCTCATGTAAGTTTTAATTACATATATATTGATTAGACAATATTTCTCGACCATCCAGTCCAATTTTATCTCTGTCTATTTTTGTAAAAAACTTAACATATTTGTGAAATATGCAAGAAAAGATGTTAAATATAACAATTTTGTTTTATAATTAATTGTGCCGAGCGAGACTGTATCTTCTTTGTTTTGAAATAACAACAATTTGCATATATTATGTATCATCCAAAGCATAGGATATCCATCATTATTGGATGGAAAAGACTAATAAACTGTTTCTATTTGTTACTGATTGTATGTACACTTAAACAAACTGGCTGGAAGAAAGACTGGATAATTGAAATTGAAAGTTCACAACTGCACTGTAGATCATATGGCATGTTATCTATTTTAAGTCCAAGTTAGTATGTGACAGGAGTAGAGACGTCTCCCATGCGTTTTTTTAGATACTCTGGTTTTCTTACTCATCTAAAACACTCCTGAAAAGATTCTATTTAATTAAGATGAAAAAATATCTCATATTAGTACCAAAATTACATGGTTTGTGTTAATTGGACTATAAACTAGTATAAACCCCATTTCGCCCTCTCTCTATCTTTAGAATTATTCTACATAATAGACAAAAAGTGGGAATCTCAATTTCTATTGGTTTTAAATTTTCACATATTATATTTTTCAGGCCTACTATGTTTTATTATTATTAACTGATGGTGTTTTAACTGATATGGCTAATACTCTATACAGTATAGTTCAAGCATCTAAACTACCAATGTCTTTAATAATAGTAGGAGTAGGTAATGCTGATTTTCATGATATGGATACATTAGATGGTGATAATGGAGTATTAAGAGCACCCAATGGTCAGTCTGCTGTAAGAGACATTGTTCAGTTTGTACCATTTAGAGATTTTAAACGGGTAAGACATGTCACTGTACTTCATTTTATTTTGATAAAAGTAGGCAACATACACATTTTGTAATAAAATTACTATACTAGCTGTACACCTGACTTCACCAAGGGCTAAAGATCTGTGGGGATGGATCGGGCGACGAAGCATGATGGGTGAACATACATACAGACAGCCAAGATCTGCCTAAGCCCCAAGATCTGTGACCTTCACTTTCATAAATAATGGCCTAAAACATTCACCGAGTCATGCGTGTTAATTTGATACCACTTGTGGGGGTGGATCACGGCTACGAAGCATGATGGCCAAACATACACACAGACAGTATTGATTTAATTATATAGATTTGTGAAGGCCCATTTGCATCACTGTTTGGGACATTACAATTAACACTATATTAAAGGAGAAATCCCTGATACTTAGTGATTAAATCTGGTTAATTATATGTAAAAAAAATACAGCCTTTGAATATGATTTATTCTAGCTCAAACAAGGAGTTAAATTTTATTAATCAACAAGTTTCCAAACTGGCATCTACAGTAGTATCTGGATATGTTGTTGAGTTTATTAGGGCACTTATTATAAGCAATACACCTAATTTTTATAGCTGAGTTATGATAATTTGGTGATCTTTTGGAAGAACAGACTATTTTATGTTAAAACTTGGCATTCGATTGACTTGCTTAAAGCCAGTTGTATTAATTGATACCCTGTGGCATCCAGGACTATTCCTTTAAATTATAATAATGTATTTGATTGTTTCAGGCAAATCCTGCTGAATTGGCTCGTCATGTTTTAGCTGAAGTACCAAAACAAGTAACAGGTTATTATAAGATGAGAGGTATGATACCTAATGTAATGAAACCCAATCCTCCACCACCATCTTCATAATAAACATTTCCATTGAAAGGATAATACTGCATCTCAATAATCCAGCTATGTCAGTCTGCCAACAAATATTTGGAAAACGGTATTTCTTTCATTGGCTAGTCTATGGATGTTTTAATCATCATAATCATAGTGTGATAGGATGCTGCATATGAATTATTACTCATATATATGAGTTTGAATTTTGGTAAACTTGGACTACTGTACTGGATGTTATGAGGCTGGATTAGCGAGACTAGATAACACCAACAAATGTTTTCCAATTACTGTTGTAGTTTGTTATATAAATCCATGTTCTCTGCCTTATCCCCTTCCTCTACTTGTAGTTAATGAATGTTAATGAATATGTTTTCCAATTACTGTTGTAGTTTATTATATAAATCCATGTTGTCTGCCTTATTCCCGTCCTCTACTTGTTGTTAATGAATGTTAATACTCAGTACAAATTAGTTCAATTATCCAGCTAGTCGTGTCTATTATATGTTGGCATGAATTCAAATTAATCACCTAAAAGAGGAGTTTTGTTCCTGAAATTACATGTTATTTCTTGATATTGTGTTCAGTGTAGCTTTTCTACACTAAAATATGTTTGTGATGATATATGTCAGAAAGCTAAAGAATGAACCCATTTTGTGTTCTAAATATTATCTGTGGCATTAATAAACAAATGAAAACATATACTTAAGATATGGTTAACAATTCTTATAACTGCAACTAAGTAATTCTGTGCACATTTAACTGTATTTATACTGAAATTTTAATAGCCCAAACACATTTTGCATAGTGAGTTTATAAAGAAACTGCATTTTGAATAAAATTAATTTCTAGTTTCTGTTTTTGTTCAGATTTTTAATTATGTATGTTTTGTCTAATAAAATGCAGATTTGTATATATTATTTTACAATGTTGAGTATATATAATATTTTAATCAATTAAATAAATTATTAAAATCATTCTCAACATCTCAATAATTGTGTTAATACCTACTAGTCTGTTTGTATAGGAAGTAGAGAATTTATTCACTTTTGAACAGTAATAATATAGTCTAGAGTAAAGTAAAATTTCTAAATTGTCCAGTTTATGTGAATTTTATAGAACCAGGTGGTTGACACTAGATTCATCTTGAAACAAGCAATTTTGAAATATTTTAACAGGTTTTTTTTTCTTGTTGATTTTATCTAATTTTATTACTTTATTGTTTTGTTATATACAATATCAGGAATTTATACAGAATTTTAATATTTGTAAAATCGTCTATTTGTTATTGAAGCATTCTGTGTACATGTTCATTTAAGAAACATCTTGAAGATTGTAATAAGATTTTAAAAATATTACAATTACTATTTTTCTGTCTTGACTTAAATGTTTTATATGAAATATTTTATATATTTAATTTCTTTATAAAATTTTACAACTCTATGTTACATGTATATGAATAAACTTAAATATAATATTGTGTTTTTGTAAATAGACTTTTTTGACATACTATTCGGGCCTCTGAAAATTCTATCAATTGACACCATGGCTTTTTTAGCGCATTGGGCTTATTATTATCACTTCTGCTGTCAACAATAAATATTGACTACCATACTTTTGTGAATTCAAGATGTTCTTTGTAAGTAGAATATTGTGTATTTCTGACCTAGCTAAGAAATAAACAAATTGGACTGGTACAGGTGTCAACCAGGGTGTCAAGAGATGCTCACGAGCTAGAATCATGAACTTGAGTTGCCCATGGGCTGTCAAGTTGGATGAATATCTTTTAGAGTAGTCAACAGAGCAGAATCTTTATGGTAACTAGAACAGAGCTTTGGGTGTTCCGTCTTTATTAGCCCAGTCGGAGCAGATCAGTAGGACGTTAAACCTCATTTCATATCATTTCATTGCTTTGGGTGTTAAGGGGTGGAATTTTTAACTGGGGTACTCTAATTCCAGATTAAGCTTGCTTGACACCCTGAGAAATATTGAAGGAAGAATAGGGCTTGCAAGCTTCGTATAGTGATACAAGTAAACATTTTGCTGGTTAAAGTTTTTGAGTAAAGTGTACTCAAATTGTCTAACTAAGAAAACAAAACAAAAATATAAATGGTATAACCTCTTGTAGTGTATTCAATCTCGATGAAAAAGGCCCATTAAATGATTTCAGAGAAAATCATAGTTGGGGCTGGCTTGTCGTCGAATGTTGACCGATTTTCAGTTCATCATATCTTTGTAAATAAATAGACAGAACTCAATGACCATTAAATACCGCTCGAGTTATTCAATGGTCATTGAGATCATTTGTTTTTTCTATAACTACATGGCAAATCTCAAAATATACACTGTTCTATTTAGATTATCAAACAAACAAAAAAATCACCAATAACTTTAAAATTCATCATAGCTCTAGGTTCCGCCCTTTTTTCTTTCTTTTTTTACAAAAATTGTGGTTGACTAGACTGTGATGTCATTACAGTTTGACGTAATTCTGAAAGTGATGTCATTCTGGAAACGATATTTGCTTGTATTTGCATGAAGGCCTAGTTATAGAATAATGAACAAAATTGAACCATTTTTGGATTGACATTAGGCCTACTTTTAGAGATTCCACTTTCATAAAAGTATTGTGTTTAAGTGATTGCTCAATGACGTTCAGAAATTTTAAACATAAAAATTTAATTTAGCATTGAAGACATAGGTCTAAATTTACAAATTTTGATGCTGACCGTAATTCATAGTTCATTTCATACATTTAACAGTTTTGGTGGGTTTTTTTTTATTAACATTTATCCACATGACTAATTAAAAGTAGCGAGAAATAATGACTCATACACGTCTCCATGACAAGTGTTCAAAAACGAGTAACGCGTTCTGTGACTTAAATTCAGCATGAAATTAATTATTAGTGGCCTTAATCCATGGTGTGGCCCGCCAAGGGAGACAACTACCAACCCCTTTCCTTATTGTACGTAAACAAGTTTATTTCTAATTTAGTCATTTTGTTAATTAATTATATGTTATAAAGTAGCCGATTAAATACCTTTGCATAAAATTACAGAATTTTTGCAGTGAATAACGTATGCGTTGCACACAATCACTGGCGTCAATGGATGGCAGAATTGTGAAATAGTCGTCGACTAGGCGTAGGCAACTAGCCAACTATAAAATACAGAGACCTAGCTAACTTTCGACAGAATTAAGGAAAGTTAAAAACAAAGTACGGGTAAAATTAAATATTTAGCTTATGGGATAAACCAAAAACATGTAGATTATTGATGCACATATTAGGAACTTCACTAAAACGTAAAGTGGATAGCTACGTGATATCCCTCCAGCTGCTCCAGTAAGATAAGATAAGATAAGATAAGATTTTATTGTATCATAACACCCATTTCAGGCCGCATACAATTCATATACATGACATAAGTAACATGACAAAAAATAAATAGCAATATACATATATATATTTATAAGAATACTAAACATAAAATACATAGGTTCATGTTAAAAGTGAAAATATCTATCAGAAACATTACTTCAAAAATGTATAGATGTCAAAAGGATAAAAAAATAAAATGTGAAGTTTTGCCTTGTAATACCTTATTAGGTCGAGGCTTGATTTCTACGTTGAAATGCTTTATATATATAATGGCATACACTCACAGAAACTGAAGGGGGAGGGTCAAATAGTTTTTCAAACGTTATGGCCAAATTGTTGTTACTGAATGTAGCAGAAAGAATATTTAGCCTAAGAGATTGATAGTGTGGACATTCAATTAAGAAGTGAAATTCGGTTTCTGCTTTAGAGAGGGAACAGAGTGCACATAGTCTCATATCAGGGGGGACGTTCTTGTACCGGCCCCTCTCTATTTCTAGTTTATGGGAACTCAATCGTAGTGCGGTCATAGCAGACTTGAAGTTTTTATTGTGTACATGAAGCAAATAATTAGCTGGATAGTCTATAGTAGGTTTTACAGTGCCGTAAGTTCTAAGTTTTGAATTGCCAGAAATATATTCGGTTTTATAAATAGTATTGAATTGGGACCTTATGGCCGTTTGAATGTTAGATTTTGAAAGTTGCAAGGGAGATAAGTTGAACTGGTCCATGAGGGAGGATATTGCTGCTGACCATGATAATTTGGGATTTGATTTGCCTATTTCTACATCTTCCACATATGCGGCGGATAGTAAAGGATTTGTACGTTTTATGTCGGGTGTATTTAATCTTTTATAAAATAGCAACATTCGTTGGTAAATTTCAATTTGAATTGGGAAGATACCTAGTTCAGCCAATGATCCTATGTTTGATGATTTTTTGGGTTGGAGTAAAATGGATTTGCAAGTTTTTATTGTGATTTTATTATGCTCCACATAGTTCCATTTGTGTAAATTCACATTTCTGCTATGTACGTATTGTATTTTTTAAAAAAAATCACATTTTAGCTGAGAGTTAAATCAGTGGTTCATTTTGTTTGTGTCTAGGTATATAAAATGTAAAACAAAGCTTGACCTAAATAGTCATTTATTTAAATATTCTAGCCTTATCAAGCTGATTCTAATTCTGGTAATTTACGATTCCCCAATAACTGAATAAGTGTGTGTATGTGGATTTATTCTATAGACTCTATTTTCTTCTTTCTTTTTTTTTTTCAGAATATTTTGATATAGCAGATATTAAAATTAACAACAATGGCTCAACCATATCCCCATATGAATCAGGTACCTGGTGGAACAGCTGAATGTGTAACTAAAGTTGATATCAGAATTGAATGTAAAAATTTACTAAATAAAGATGTAACGTCTAAATCAGACCCCTGTGCTGTTCTTTACATGGCAAGATCTGGTGGAAATTTATCGGAGGTAATTTATAAAGAGTACTGAATATTTGCTTAAAATGAGCTCACATACACATCCATTTTTTTATCACTTGACAGAAATATTCACAACTTGAACAGATGAATGCTAAACAAGTCGAAGTGCACAGACGTACTGCATGTTAAATAAATGAATTTGGTTTTTAGAGTAATTACCAGTACGGTAGGTCTAGTTTTATTTTTTCCTTTCAGATTGGAAGAACAGAAAATATAAAGAATTGTTTAGATCCAAAATTTTCTAAAAGCTTTACTGCCAATTATTATTTTGAAGAAGTTCAGAAGATTACAATTGCTGTTTATGATTTAGATAATACAACCCCTAATTTAAGTGACGATGACTTTCTAGGCCAACTTGAATGTACCCTGGGTCAGGTAAGCAATGCTTTCTAAACTTACCACTCAGAATCTAATATAACTATCTTTAATTACTATGGTTCTTTAAAAATGCAGACATTTTAGCTCTTGGCCAGTGAAAGGACTGAATTCTTCAAATATTTTATTTTAATTGTGAATAAAGGCTCTGGTTATTACCACTACCTCATCTGCCATATTTTATGGATATAATTCAAATTGCTGAATTTAAGAGGTTTTCTTTTATCTTTGTCAGCCATTATACTCTGTACTTGCTTGACAGGATTGCTTGACATTAATTTTTAGAGCCAGCATGGAAGTCTTTGAGGTTTGTATTGGGTGGCCTGACAAGCCATCGTCTATGTTCTAAAAGTGAATATATTTTTGTAATTTATTTTTTTCAGCTTGTTTCCAACACACCTTATGTTAAACCTTTGTTACTAAAAAATGGACAAAAAGCAGGAATGGGTACTATCACTGTAAGTACAATTAAATTAAAACAAGGTGTTTTGTTTCATTTTTCTGATTCTAACACGACCTAGCAATCTAGCCTTCTGTTTGACATGTAGTGTACTGCCAGTGCAAGTTGAATTTATATCAAGGATAAGAATCATTCTTTATGTAAGTTTGGATTTTCAAATTCCACTAATTCAACTTTAAAAGCATCAGCACAGAAACGGAATGTTAATTTCATTCCATGTAATATTACTAGTAGTTCAAGCATTTTTATAAGCCAGTTTTATAATCAAGCCAGCTCATAATAGGGTCATGTTCCTGCGAGTTTTACAACATCTAGCCGTTGCTACATTAGTCTGAAATTCCGAAACTTTTACATAGTTATCTCTCTTTACCACAGACACGTGATACAAACACGTAAAGAAATAGATTCGTTTACAGCCGTTGAAAGGGTTTTTTTTTAGTTGAATACCTCAATGAAAACCAAAGAAAACAACCTTACTAGCAAAATGGAAGAACAAAAAATAAATTAGAAAGATTTGGACTAAATTTGAAGTGGGTTAACCAAAAAGCGAAAAGTTCCAGCAACCTTGACATTGAACAAACCCTGAACTTGGCAACTCGATTATCACAGCTAGACGTTTCAGTTGGAAAGCATGTGACTTGGTATTCGTGATGTCAGGAACCAATCGAAATTAGTGCCCAAAAGTGTAAGTTATTACACAAAGGCCTTGATAAGACATACAAAGTTAAAACGAGATCAGACCTTCTATTGAAGATGTAACGGGGTATTACTCATGGGTTCCATATCTGCCCTATATGCCGGTCATGACTAAGGGCTATGGAAAACTGGATCTGACCCATCAGTGATTTCATTTCATTACAACGGTTGTTTATATTGTTGAATACATCAGTTGTTTATATTGTTGAATACATCAGTTGTTTATATTGTTGAATACATCAGTGGTTTATATTGTTAAATACATGAACTGTTTGTATCATTTTATACATTAACTGTTTGTATTGTTTTATACATTAACTGTTTATACTGTTGAATACATCAGTTGTTTATATTGTTGAATACATCAACTGTTTATATTGTTGAATACATCAGTTGTTTATATTTCAGGTAAGAACTGAAGAAATAAAAGAAGGTGGAGAAATTCTCCAAGCAACATTCAGAGCCACAAAGTTAGATAACAAAGTATGTATTAATGTTTGGAATATATCAGATACAAATTTTTAGAGTGTGTCCCCTTTTACTATTGAAAATAGGAGCCATTAAATTTTCTTGTAGTAGGACCTGCCTCAACATCAATGCACATTTCTAGATATGTTGCATCTATAGTAAGAATATTTCCATTTTCTTTAAAGATTACCATGATTTTCTATCTCTAAAAGATGCATTATGTAAAAGTTAGATAAGAGTTGGCTGTTTTCGCTATAATAATAGATAATGAAAAGGGAATATGTTGAAAATTTGAGTCAATTACAGGTCCTTCATTCTGTTTTTGCCGTTAGAAAAACAATGTAGTCTCGATTGTCATTGCTACCATTGTTACGATAATAAACAAAGTCTTGATTATCTACTTTTTAATTAAAGCATTAACCAGTAATCAACTTAAATCCGTTGAAAGCAGCATTGATTATGGGCTTGGCATGTAAATAAATGTCTAATTAATGATTTATATAACATTTGAGGACAAATGAACTATCTGTATTAGGCAGATTTAGCTCTTACATAATGCATCTTTAATGGATTGCAGTTAAAAGGGATATGTTGTTTTCAGTGTTTCTCTATACTAAATATTATTATTTTTGTCAATTAATTGTGTGTATATTTTTTTCTCTAAGGATTTTATGGGTAAATCTGATCCGTATTTAGAGATATTAAAAGAAACAATGGATGGTTCATGGCAGGTTGTACATAGAACAGAGGTAAGTTATAAAACAGTTATTACTCTTTCCATTTGTGTATCTATATCTCCAATCTAATTACAGTTAAATGTAAAGTATTTTTCTTGTTATATGCCCATTTGAATCATAGAGACTATTGGATTTTAACACCTGTTTCACAGAGTTATTACATCATTCATATTTTAACTTTTAAAGCTTAGTACAGAATTCATAATGGATTTGATAACAAAGATTTCCGAATTAGAAAAACAACTTTGCTGTTTATATTAGGTCACATGTACTTCTTGACTAATCAAATAGTCTTTATCGTTAAATATTATTGTGAAATATAGGAAAGCATGTTATGTTAATGATTATGAGGGTTTTTTGGGGGTTGCATGATAGAAAGTCGGTGTAGTGCAAAAATCAAAAATAGTAATAGAAACAAAACTGTATTTTAATTATCCAAGGGTATAGTGTAGGAAGACAAAATAAGAACTACTCTGGTAACTAGAAATTTGCAAGATGGATCATAATACCCTTGGCCATATCAATTTCTCCAGATTTTTTCTATAAAATGTAAATTAGTAGGAAGGTAAAATTTCATTCTTGCATTTGTGTCCGTTCTAAAATTTAATAATATTAGATGAAAATGTTCAATCCAAAAATGATTTTGTCATTTATTGACAGGTTGTTAAAAATGAGCTTAACCCAAGTTGGAGGCCATTTTCTATTCCATTACAAATTTTATGTGGAGGTGACAGGAAAAAGAGAATTAGGGTGAGTATTATGGTTAGGATTATATATAACAAGTCTGTATACTTATTTGGTATTTTATTTTACAAAGATTAACTTAGAAAATAAAATGATAGATATTGAATAAAAAATTATAGATGTCTATTAAGCCTGCAGTAAATTCATTGGCAAGGTAGATAAACATTGTGTACTTATATATGACGTAGTTAGTGAAAATTAAAGACACCACAAGCTAATGTGTGATGTAATGTATATTAATTTACCCATCCTTCATGACCTATTATATTTGTGACAATAGAAAGTATTTTAATAGTTTATATTTATTACTTAATAAAAAGTGCAGGAGGACCGCACTACATGCAAAACCAAACCTACAAGACACACCTGCAGGTAAGACAAACTACATAGACATTGCAAGAAATAAACAACAAATATGAAATCAAGTGAATGGATCTGGGGGCCAGTCATAAGCGTCAACTGTGCTGTACAGATTTAAAACAGAGTAGTTTCAATTATTAAAATTGATATGTCTTTTTAAGTTGGTATAGAGTTTATGTAGAAGCATGTATCCAATACTTGAATATTGTGTTTTATTTATATTAGATGGACGTATATGATTGGGATAGCGATGGTTCACATGATTTAATTGGAGGATTTATAACAAATATAGAAGAAATGACAGCTCAAGGAAAAGAAGTAAATAATATTGTTTAATAATTCTTCATTCCAACATACAGTATATTATTGTTTCATTAAAGAGCTAAATCTGCCGATTGCAGCTTTTCATTTTAGTTTCAAATGTTATAGCAGGTTTTTATTTTAGTTTCAAATGTTATATAAACTATAGACATTTGATTTATTCACATGACAAGTTTATAATCAATTGGCTAGACTATTGGATGGCTGAGATTTAAATGGATTAAAACACCTGTGAGATTAAAAAATTTAACAATACTATGTCTAATCAAGACATAGCCTTGATTGTGAAGTACCGTGCTATGATAATAAACAATCTACGCTACCCTTTCAAACAGTCATAACTTCATAATAAATTAATTTGAATACAATTTTCAATATATTCATTTTTCATTATCTATTTTTGAATTATTATAGCAAGAATGGTCAACTCTTCATCTGAATCTTACATATTGCATCTTTCAATTGCCGGCACATGTGACTTATTACACTGTAATCGGAGTATTATTTAATCTTGTGTATTTAGCACTAATTTCTTTCGCATTCATTTAACATCAAATCTTTGTTTAAAAATTTGTAAAAAATCTTTTAAAATCACCCAAAAACATCTGATTTGTACATGTGTCAAGTTTAAAGCTGACTGATTAATTTTGATAATGATTGTCCAATTTACAAGTGTTTAATTTCTCGATCACTGTTAAATAATAAACAACCCAATTGATCATTTATGTATAATGATTAATTTTTGAACAGTGGTCAGGAAATTAAATACTTGTAAATTGGACATCCATTATCAAAATTAATCAGTCAGCTTTAAACTTGACACAAGTACAAATCAGATAATTTTTATGAATTTTTAAACAAAGATTTGATATCAAACGAATGTGAAAGAAATTAGTGCTAAATACACAAGATTAAATGATACCCTGGTTACAGTGTTAGCAGTAATACCTTGAAAAACCCATGAGGTTAGGCAGACGATATTAATTAATGTTACAATCATGAGATTGTTAATGTGATCAAATATAAACAAAATTTGAACATAATGATCCTAGAACCCAATATAACTCATTGATTGTATATTATGTAATCTTTATTTAAATTATTACTTTTTTCAATTGTAGCCGTCCTGGCCTTGCATAAATGAAAAGAAAAAAGCAAAAAAGAAAAAGTACACTGATTCAGGAGTGGTAATTTTGACATCTTGTAAGGTAAAGTCTTTTTGAATATATTTATTAGATTGTGAGTGAACAATGACTACAACAAACCCCAACTAAATCTGGCCTGTACAATAATTAATATTATGTCTTCTATTTGCAGATAACTAAAGATTATTCGTTCTTAGATTATATTTTTGGTGGTATGCAGATTAATTTTACTGTTGGGATAGATTTTACAGCATCAAATGGTAACCCACGGGAACCATCATCTTTACATTATATAAATCCAAATCAACCTAATGAATATATGCAAGCTATCAGAGCTGTCGGTTATGTTTGTCAAGATTATGATAGGTAAGAAACCCCTGAATCAACCTAATGAATATATGCAAGCTATCAGAGCTGTGGGTTATGTTTGTCAAGATTATGATAGGTAAGAAACACCTGAATCAACCTAATGAATATGTGCAAGCTATCAGAGCTGTGGGTTATGTTTGTCAAGATTATGATAGGTAAGAAACACCTGAATCAACCTAATGAATATATGCAAGCTATCAGAGCTGTGGGCTATGTTTGTCAAGATTATGATAGGTAAGAAAAGATAAAAATTCACACCTTTCATAAATGCATTTTCTCTTTTGAGGCAGAATTTAAAAGGGCTTTAATGGGAAACAACTCTTCTATCCTTTTTTTTATTTATTCTTATTGTCTCCCCTTAGACAACGAATTGCATGATGATTTAAGGAATATAAAATTTGATATAACTATTAAAGTTGTATCATGCTAACAAATTCATCAATTTCAGAGACTAAATTTGTTTTAATTAATTTGTTAATTATGTATTTATTATAGTGATAAATTATTTCCTGCTCTTGGATTTGGTGCCAAAGTTCCACCTCGGTATCAAGTTTCTCATGAATTTGCTATCAATTTTAATATGCAGAATCCATATTGTGCTGGTAGGTATATTATAATGACTTCAGAATTTTCAATCATGAATCCAGAATTATATACATTAACTTGTTTTGATGTTTGAACATAGAGAAATAGAACTATTATGTTTATACATATATTTATTTAGTCCTTTCTATTCACAATGGAACAGAGGGCCTTCACAGTAAATTACATTGATTTCAGTCCAATACTACTTCTCATTAATTTGGGTTGGCTACATTCCAAATCTACTTTCTTTGTTTCTTCCCATGGAATATCAACAGTCTTTAAATCAGTGACTTCAGTTTCTTCTCCTGGTCATACTCACTTTTACCTTTCATATGATGCTTGAAGTAGTACAAGGTGTGTTCAATCCATCACCACTTGTGTTATTTAATGGATTCACCTATGGTTGACCTGTTTGTTCCCTCACACGTTTTTTTCCTTTGAGATGTGATCTAGCCATGTAATATGACTTATTATTGAACAGGAATTGAGGGTGTGGTACAAGCGTATATGAATTGTATAACACAAGTACAGTTATATGGACCAACTAATGCATCACCTATTATAAATCATGTTGCTAGATTTGCTGCTACAGCCCAACAAGAAGAAACAACTAAAGGAGCTCATGTAAGTTTAAGATACACACATGGAGATGGAAATGTCATGGCTTTCTATTCTGATATTTTTGTTCAACTATTTATAAATTTCAAGATGGGAAAACAAATCAGAATTCTATTAAAGGTTAGACTTGATTTTCAGTCCAACCGAATCTCTGATATTGAATGGACATGTTCTTAGTGTTTATTTATTGCAACTCAATTAGAATTTGGTAACTTTGATCAAAAATTATTATACACAATCTTTCTGTGTACTGCCTCTCTCTGCTTCAACAATAATAATATCCCAGACAAGTATGAACGGTAGATCTTATGGCCTGTTAATATAAGTCATGGGTTCAATCCAAGATCAATGTGTTAATCCCGAAATGACATGAAAGTTGAACACCTCTCTCTCTCCAGAATTATTCTGCTGATAATTTTTATCTCAATTTTCATATTTTTCAGGCCTACTATGTTTTATTATTATTAACTGATGGTGTTTTAACTGATATGGCTAATACTCTCTACAGTATAGTTCAAGCATCTAAACTACCAATGTCTTTAATAATAGTAGGAGTAGGTAATGCTGATTTTCATGACATGGATACATTAGATGGTGATAATGGAGTATTAAGAGCACCCAATGGTCAGTCTGCTGTAAGAGACATTGTTCAGTTTGTACCATTTAGAGATTTTAAACGGGTAAGACATGTCACTGTACTATCTATACTTGTGAAGAACCATTTGAATCACTGTTTGGGACATTACAATTGAGACTATATTATACTTTAATATAATCAAAAAGTTTCCCCAGTGACAGCTGCGGTAGTGTCTGGACAACCATATCTATAAGCCGGCTGTAGTGTTTTTATTGCGTCACTTATTACACATAATGGTTAAGTATTTTAGGCTATCTTTTAGGTAAATAGGCTATTGATTTGCATTTTGATTTGCATTACTTAAAGCCAATTGTATTAATTGATACCCTATGACATCCAGGACTATTCCTTTAAATTATAATAATGTATTTGATTTTTTTAGGCAAATCCTGCTGAATTAGCTCGTCATGTTTTAGCTGAAGTACCAAAACAAGTAACAGGTTATTATAAGATGAGAGGTATGATACCTAATGTAATGAAACCCAATCCTCCACCACCATCAGCTTCTTCATAATAAACATCTCCATTGAAGGATATTACTGCATCTCAATAATCCAGCTATCTCAATTTTCCAACAAATATCTGGAACAACTTATATATACTTAAAGTTGAATTCTTACTGATGGTGCAAGACTTTCAACAGTTGGCAAAAAGGGTACATATATACAAGTTTGAAATGTCACACCACAGAAATCAGTCAAAGATGGACTTTCAAGTAGATTTCAAGTGAGTTTTATCTAACTAACTAGACATTATGAGAATGGTTTGATGAGACTAGATAATACCAACAAGTGTTTTACAATTATTGTTGTAATTTATAAATTAAATCCACGTTCTCTGCCTTATTCCTTCCCTCTTCTTGTTGGTAATGAATGTTTACTTTTCATATGATCTTCATTGTTATTTGCTTCACTAATATAGGGCTCTTATTATAGTATTCTTTGAAATAACTTACTTTGTTTTACTAATATTAACTTTTTCTACACTAACATATATTTTCCCTTGTATAAAAAGCTAAATAATGATATCATTTTGTATTCTAAATATTACCTGTAGCTTTATTAAAACATTTTAAAATTACACCCAGTATTATAAATAGTTTAGGGAAAATAAAAAGATAACAGGACTTGCTTTCATAAATATTTAACATCATTGTTAGTTTTTCTTTATGTATAGAATGTACATGTTATACTGCTAAATCACACATGCCTGGTGAGTTGAAAAAAAAATAATTAGTAATTTTTGCTTTTAAATCATGTATATGTTTTGTCTAATAAAATGTACATTTGTATATTATTTTATAGTGTGGACCACCATGCATAATATTTTAGTCAATTAAATTAATTATTAATATCATTCTTGATACCTCAACTTGCAACAATTGTGTTAATAGTTAGTACCTACTGGTCTGTTAATATAGGAAGTAGATTTTCAAGGCATTATATAGTAGTCAGTGTATATGCCATGGTATGTTTTATATAGTTTATACAGAATAGACCCAGCTCTATTAAATATTTCAGTAGTTAAGTAGACAAAAAGTTATATTTATGGTTTTTTTTAACTAATCTGGTTAAAACACAAATCCTATTTCGTTTTTTTATAGTTCAAAATTTCGTTTTACTTGTCTTTACTACACTAGGATCTGGAAGAGTTTTTATAGAACTCGCGTTCTGGATGATGTGAGGGATTAGCCAATGCAACGGCTAGTTTTTGCTGTGAGATGCACCGAACTGTAGGTAACCTACTAGAAACGTCAATGTTGATTGGTTAATCAAATGTCTGATGTCTTAGGGTCAAAAGCCGCTCATATGACCCCTGACGTGACCTTCCACTACAACCTTTCAGATCTTCATGTAGTAGAGTCCATCGAAAGTATAAAAAGTGGAACGAAATATAGATCTGTATTTTAATCAGGTGGTTGACATCTTGAAACACCCAAGTTAGAAATATTTTAAAACATTGTTTACTTGTTAATTTTTTAAATTTATTCGTTTTTTTTATACCAAAATACTTTCAGAAATTTATACAGAATTTTAATATTTGTAAACAAAATTCAAATTACTTTTTATACGCCCACATTGAAATGTGGTCGTATATTGTCGTGGCCCTCGTCCGTCCGGCGTCCACAATTGCTTGTGGACGCTCTAGAGGCTAAAGTTAATATCCGATTGACTTTAAATTTATATACAATGTTTTAGGCAATGAGACGAAGAAGCCTATTGATTTTCAGCGATTTCCGATAATTACTGCCAGAGTTATGGCCCTTGATCACTTCAAAAAATCTTGTGGACGCTCTAGAGGCCAAAGTTAATATCCGATTGACTTTAAATTTATACACAGTGTTTAAGGTCATGAGACAAAGAAGCCTATTGATTTTCAGCGATTTCCGATAATTACTGCCAGAGTTATGGCCCTTGACCACTTCGAAAAATCTTGAGACGAACAAGTATATTGATTTTCAATGAATTTTTATGACTTGGAACAGCTAAATTCATGATACAGTATTAAAAGTTTTGTATACAAAACGTTAGCATGGGGCAGAACTTTATAAAAACCAAACAAATTCTAATGGTTTTCTGAGATGTTGCTCTTAATCAGATTTTAGTGTATTATAAATGTTTCATTACCGAAAAAAGTAAAAATATGCGACAACTCTTGTTGACTGCCCGGACGATTTAGCTGCTGTGGGCGTATGTTTTGTTGCCTGGCAACCTATCTTTTTTTTTTATTAAAGTGTAGTAATTACACATTAATTCGTGTAAACATATTGAAGATTTATGTACTAAGATGTTTTAATAGATTTGGTTACTATTTTTCTGTCTTGACTTAAATGGGTTTTTTAAAAATATTTTATGATATTTTTAATTTCTTTATATAATTTTTAGAACTCTACGTTATATGAATAAACTTATAAATAATACTGTGTTTTTGTCAAGACTTTTTTGACATAATCTTAGATCTAGTTATCTGCAAATCAACCTCAAAACTGATGGTAACAGATGTGGATGTATATATGTAACCACAAATTATTAGATCACTTCAGTTTGTTTGTGAATCTCTCCTGTCAAAACTAGCCCCTACTAAAACTGAATTAGTATATAGGCAGTGCCGAAATATCAACTTGAGTCAATTCATAGAGGACATCAATATTGAAACTGTCTTACAAAAGAATTAGACTCTGTTGATGATACGCGGTCAGTTTTAAATCAAGCCCTTATTGGTACTTTAGGCAGACATCAGACCCTACATTTATAGTAAATGCAGGGGGACTGCACCACACACAATTACACAAAACAAATCTACAGACAAAACACAATACGCAGAAATCACTAACAAACGTACATATGTTAGAGGGCCGAAATCCCCTGACGAAGGTCAGGTTTAGAAGTGCACCATCAAACATAACCAGTACTCATCTGAGATAAGATCAACTAAGATTAGATATCTTCGTGATCTCATATCCAAGCTCAATAACTTTAAAACCCTGTTTCAAACTTTCAACAACCTTACAAAAGACTCTTCTGGAGATAAGTACCCATCATGTTTGGACAAAGATACTCTATCAGAGGTTTTCTCATTAGTAAGATAAACAAAATCCTTGATCTGATGTGCCTGAGACCAAACAACCGATCTCCTCACTTGACAGTGTAGATGACTCGAAGCGACTGACATTTAATCTAATTTCTCTAATAATGCAATCTGGACGCTAAACCAACATGGCATTTAAAGATATGTTTACCAAACCTGCTTCAGATATTATTCACTTTAATAAATGATTGCATCTCTAGCTGCCAGTTTCCAACTACATTCAAAACAGCCCATGTAAGACCATGTACAAAAGTTAAACCTTGATCCAGATTGTCTTAAAAACTACGGACCAGTATCAAATTTATCGTTTGTTTCGTAGGTCATCGAGAAAGTTATTGTTGAACAACTCAAAGAACATCTAACTCATGAGAATCTCTCAGTAATTATTGGAAATCCCTGGAAATTTATAGGCCTCATGATCTTAAACACTGGGTATAAATTTAATCAGATGATAAGTTTACAAACCCTCTACAGTGATCAAGGACCACAACCCTGGTAGTAATTATTGGGACCATTTTTAGACTGTTTATCCTTTTAAAGATGCAAAAATGCCTAGATCTGCACTTGCCATACTATAAACCTAGCACTTATCAGTTTAGCTTTATTAAAGATTAACACAGAAAGTATACATTTTTACTGTCTTTAATATTTAAAATATTCAATAATTTAAAATATAAATCTTACCAAAAAAACAATATTCAATAATTTAAAATAAAAATCTTAACAAAAAAACAATAGTAAAAGACCATGAAATAGGCTATAAAATTTTTTACATAAACTGTGTCACCATTGAAAACACCCAATGCTTTCCCATTTTGTCCACCTGAACCCACATATATTTCCTTTTAAGTCCCAAGAAACTACATTTTCATCGGGCTTGGCCGCATACTACATATTGGCGAGCTTCATAAGATACATCTTTGCCAGTTGTAAGCCCTTCCGACTACAAAACTATAATTTTCATTCATTAATTGGTCAATTTAGCTTCATGATGTGATGGTTTAAAAAATATTTTAAATTTAAAAGTAGTGAGAATTTGGGAAACAGCAAATAATAACATAAGGAATATAATCAATGACATAACTATAACATAATGACTGATACTAGTACCAATATCTAACCATGAACCAGTATCTTTTACCAAAAAATAAAAATGCTGAAAAAAAAAACATAATTAAACAAACTTCATTGGAAAATTTATATAGAAAATAACTTAGAATTAACTTGGAAGAATTACAAATATTAGTAGATTTACAAAGATGTGTCAAACAGACTTCTTAATATTGTGTACTTCCTGTATTTAAGAAGTTTTTTTACAGGTTGACAGTTAGAGTTGAGCATGTGAAACATTTAGCATATTAAAACAGATATGAATGAAAGTATATTTCTTTACATTTATCACAGACCTGTAAAAATTGTTCACAGTTTAGCATCATGCATTTTACATCATTACTACTAAGATCCGTTGTAGTGATAATACATGAAAATAGTAATATAACTTACCAGACCCATAAAATCACACATCAATAATACTAGTAGAAATAAAGTTCTAGTAGGTATTTTAGTTATAACATGAACTCCTCTAAATACACAAGTTACCACTAATAATGGTATTAAATTCTACAATATAAATAAAAAATAATCATGTAACAATATTTTATTCATTAATGCAAAACATATGCAGAACCTGTAAATACATATTTGCCTTTAACTGAGAAGGACTATAAAGCTAACAGTTTTATGATATTTTATTTCCACAATCATAGCTTGGCATCTATTCTGTATGTGACATTTTTTATAATAATGTTTCAGTGATGTTCAAACAGCAATTTGCATACATATTGGATACTATTTTGGCCTGAAACCAATGCTGTCACAAGTTTCACATCACTGTATCAAAGATACTGATGAAAACATATCTAGACCACATAAACTTACTTTTATCATCATCAGTGTTCCCATTGTAGCTGGTTTAAATACTGTTACAAAACAATAAATAGATGCTGGATCAAAACTAAAAAAAACCCAATATTGCATTAATCAATAATCTGATACATCATCACCGCAGGATTAAAGAAGTCATACAGAGTTTTGCCAAATGTAGGCGTTTAAAAAGCAAATTCTAATAAATATGTAAAGATAAGTCCTTTTTATTCCCAAACAACAAAACGTTACGAGATGAAACTGGGGTTTAAACAACTGTCAAACTAAAATATATTCAAATGTAAAAAAAGTTCATAAATTTGTTATTAATAAAAATATTATCCTGTGAAATCAAATATGACTAGACTTCTTTGATTTGGGTAAAAACTAAGTATTGAATTAATTAAGTTGGATGTGTGGATGACTTTGTGAAGTTGATTTCTATGTTTAAAATAAAATTTTAAGAAGTCCCCAGATAGAGACAATGTTGAGATATGATGGGTTATCTGTACAAAACATGAAGCCAAAAACTGAACAGAACATATAACATCAATAATCTAAATAGCATATCAGATCAACCCAACACAATACTTATTTTGGTATAAATCAAAGAGGATTAGCTTCTTTAACTATAGTTTTACTACCTGTTCATACTTGCAATATTTCCTGTACCAAAAAATCCTACGACTATTAAAAATATCTTACAGTAGTTAAGAAATAAAATATATTAAAATATCAATTAACCAGCAGTTGACAGGAAAGATATGCCCACATTTTGCAAGAAATGGATAAAGAACAAGCTAAAAAAAAAAGGTGATTTTTCGTACAATCAGGGGCCATAATCCAAGAAAGAAGTCATGGTCTGAAATGCATGAATATCGAAAGGGACTGAGATCTTTTGGATATAAAGATACATTTTAAGTTTCACCAAAATCAGACAAAGATTGTGACAACCTTCGTATTACATACTTTTACACAATTTGCGTACATGGAGCGGCCATTTTGTCGGGGTGGTTTCGTTTTGATTTTCCAGAAGTTCGAACTCAACCTTCATTATGGTGGAACAGTGATATATGTAAACCTTTTTTTTAAAATTAGATAAAAATTGTAACATACTCAAGCTAAAAATGTGATTTTTCGTACAATCAGGGGCCAAAAGTTATGACCTGATATGTGCAAATATCTTTTGGATATAAACATATATTTTAAGTTTCATCAAAATCGAATAAAAATTGTGACCTCTAGCAGGTGCACAGCCTTAGTATTAAATACTTTTACACTATTTGCGTTCAAGGAGCGGCCTTTTTGTCCGACAGTTTCGGGTGTAACGATGATATATATAAACGATTTTTAAAATCGGACAAAAATTGTGACCTCTAGAGGATCCACACGCTAAAATTACGATTTTTTCGTATAATTAGGGGTCATAATCCAGAAACTTACGGTCTGATGTGAGCAAATATCGAAAGGAACTGAGATCTTTGAGATATAAACACGTTTCAAAATCGTGACCTCTAGATGGTCCACAACCTTGATATTATATACTTTAACACTATTTGCGTACAGGGAGCGGCCATTTTGTCTGTTAGTGTCAGTCCGATTTTCACATATATTTGAACATATTTTTACATTGGATTAAAATTGAGATTACTAGTGGGACCACACGCTAAAAACGTGATTTTTCGTTCAATTAGGGGCCATAATCCAGGAAGTTGCAGTTCGATACGTTTGAATATCAAAAGGAACCAAGATCTTTGGGTTATAAACATATATTTCAAGTTTCATCAAACTCGGATAAAACTTGTGACCTCTAGAGTGTCCACAGGCTAAAAACGTGATTTTTCATACAACCATTAAGTGACAACAATATACGTCCACATAATATGTGGCTGTATAATAAAAAATATAGTTTATTAAATTCAAAAAGAAAACATATATATACATGTATTATAGAAAGGATACATAGAAGAAAGCTCGTCTAAGATCTGCTAACTCTAAACTTCTGCAAGCAGTACTATTGTGATGACTTATAAAATTAGTATTGTTGAACTGTATTTGATTTAAAATCTGAAAAAATATATCAAATATATATGTAAATTGTGTATTATGATGAAATGTGAGATATTTTAAATTTAAAAAGTCACATAATTTTCTTCAAGTAAAATTCTGCTTTCCAGACTACAAAGACAAGAATTGTGGTTTTGAAATTAATGCAACCCAAGGGGGGAGGGGGTGTCTTTGAGTAAACATAAATGTATTGATGTCTTGTTCACATTCATTTCTTGTTTTACGTACTTACTTTTTTCTGATTATTATTTAATGATTCATGCTCCATCTTCAACCAAAAATATAACAACATGGATAATGACAACAGGAAAAATCCTTCAAAACTTAACACAAGATAAGGAAATTAAGATGTATCTAAAACAGGGATGCTATTTCACCTGTTTTTTCCAGGTATTCTTTTTTACTCTTTATAAATGTTTTTGGGTGTTTTAATATTTTCACCATAAGTTCATATTTATAGCCCAATAGAGCATTTATAGCACCATAAAACCTGATATCCAGATAAATATGATACAAGAAAAGCCAACAAAGCCCATATAATTCGAACATCTAATATCTAATCTATCACAAACACCAACGGGTTGTGTTAGTAATTATAATAATTGCTCCCTCATTAGTAATTATTAGTAATGATTGCAATTCTCTCACAGTATTAGCAATTATGATTTCAACTCTCTCACAGTATTAGTAATTATGATTTCATCTCTCTCACAATATTACCTGGTAGCGATTTATGATTTTAACCTGCTCGTATAACAAAAAGCTCATCTTAGCTAGTAGTATCTACTAAAATGCCACTTCTACCACCATATATAAAATATCTTATTCCACTGTGTGATATTTTGAATATCACACCATAATGCTACCAAGTGGGAAGAGAATTATAATTGGTGAAGACAATGTTTTAATAGGGCCAAGTTTGTTAGGACTGTACATGTATGTTGAATCCTATATTATAAATAAGGATACGTAATACACATCAATTGATATAATGCTAGAAATGATAAACCAACACTGGTTAATCTCTCTTCTAAACTATTCTCTGATACTAGCGGTAGACATGGACATATCACTGGAAAAAAAAAAGAACTAGTCTGAAGAACCACACAAAAATGAAATAAAATATCTTATTGATTATTCTGCATTCCTTAATATTTTAAAAAATTTGGTGAGGATATAAAAAATCCAGCAGTTGCCAGGCAAGATACACCCACATTTTGCAAGAGTTGGATTGAGAACAAGCTAAAACAAAAACGTGATTTTTCATACAATCAGGGGTCATAATCCAGGAATTTAAGGTCTGAAATGCGCAAATATCGAAAGAGACTGAGATCTTTGGGATATAAAGATATATTTAAAGTTTCATAAAAATCAGACAAAAATTGTGACATCTATAGAGAGTCCACAACCTTTGTATTACATACTTTTACATAATTTGAGTACAAAGAGCGGTCATTTTGTCGGGCAGTTTCATTTCTATTTTCCCGAAATTGAAGTCAACCTTCATTATGGTGTAACAGTGATATAATTAAACGTTTTTTTAAAATCAGATAAAAATTGTGACCTCTAGAGGATCCACAAGCTAAAAATATGATTTTTCGTACAATCAGGGGCCATAATCCAGGAAGTTATAGTCTGATATGCATGAATATCTAAAGTAACTGTGATATTTGGGACAAAAACATATATATTAAGTTTGAAAAAAATCAAACAAAGATTGTGACCACAGCCTTGGTATTACAATAATTACATACTTTTACACTATTTGCATTGAAAAAGTGGCCATTTTGTCAGGCAGTTTCAGTCTGATTTTTACAGAATTCAAACTCAACCGTCATTAGGGTGTAACGGTAATACATTTAAACAAGCCATAAACACGATTTTTCGTACAATCAAGGGTCATAATTCAAAAAGTTACAATGCGGTATGCATGAATATCGAAAGGAAACAAGATCTTTGGGCTATAAACATGAAGTTCAAGTTTCGTTAAAATCGGATCAAAATTGTGATTTCTGGAGGGTCCACAACCTTGATATACCATATTATTTTTACACTATTTGCATACTAGGGACGCCCATTTTGTCCGGCTGTTTTGGACATTACGGTGTAACAGTGATATATTCAAACGTTTTTTTAAATCGAATAATAATAGTGACCTCTAGAGGGACTAAAAGCTAAAAACGTGATTTTTTCGTACAATCAGGGGTCATAATTCAGGAAGTTACGATCCAATATGCGCGAATATCGAAAGGTTATAAACATGAAGTTCAAGTTTCATCAAAATTGGATCAAAATTGTGACCTCTAGAATGTCCACAAGCTATAAACGTGAATTTTTTTTCGTACAATCAGGGGCCATAATCCATGAAGTTATTGTCTGATATATGCCAATATCTAAAGGAACTGAGATCTTTGGGAGATAGACCTATATTTCAAGTGTCTTCAAAATGGAATATAAATTGTAACCTGTAGACTGTCTACAACCAAATTGTGGATGGACAAACAGACAGGGGTGACAGCATAATACGTCCACACGAAAATGTGGGCGTATTAAAAATGTGATACTATTTGAACAATTTGGTTGTAATAATTGCTTAACAAATTTCTGTTTTTACAGTGTTTTATCATTAACAACAGGACAAACAAATCATGTATTTCTCTGAACTCTGTGATTAAGTTCATAACGTTAGTCATAGATTCAAGGCTCATGTGGATTTTCTCTAGGTTCCCCAGTTTCCTTCCTCTGCTAAAGACCCCTGCATGCCACTAAATCTTTAGCCCCAAAGGGTCTAGTTTGTGTTGAGTGGATATTAAATCACATTTCTCTCTCTTTTCAAACAAATTTGGTTTTTGGATGTATCTTAGAATGTTTCATACTCACCTAATAATAACCAGCTAAATATCTGACAATACAGAGGTAGACCATTACCACTCTTAATACTAGATTTAGTTATATATACAACACATGTAGCCACCAGGATAAATATGCACTGAAATACATGTTGATTTTAAAAATCTGTCACTATATATCTTTATATGAATTTAAGATTATTAGTCACCGTTCAGTCACTAGAATATCTCCTAGCCCTTTTCTCCTATTCCTCTCTAATTTTTGAAAACAAATCAAACTTGTGACCTGGTTGTGGCTCTTTCTGGTGAAATTGAATTAATCAGTTCAACCAGCGGCTGCCAGGCAGGATACGGCCACATTTTCGAGAGATGGATAGAGAACAAGCTAAAAATAAAGTGATTTTTCGTACAATCATGGGCTATAATTCAGGAAGTTACAGTCCAATATGTGCGAATATCGAAAGGAACCGAGATCTTTGGGTTATAAACTTACATTTCAAGTTTCAACAAAATTGGATAAAATTTGTGACCTCTATAGGGTCCACAACCTTGATATACCATATTTTTACGCTATTTGAGAACAAGGGGCGGCCATTTTGTCTGTCAGTTTTGGGCCGACTTTCAAGAAATTCAAATTCAGCCGTCCTAAGGGTGTAACGGTGTTATAATAATACGTTTTTTTAAATCAGATAAAAATTATGACCTCTATATAAGGGTCCACAAGCTAAAAACACAATTTTTTGTACAATCAGGGGCCATAATTCAGGAAGTTAAGGTCCGATATGCGTGAATATCGAAAGAAACCGAGATCTTTGGGTTATAAACTTACATTTCAAGTTTCAACAAAATCGGATAAAAATTGTGACCTCTATAGGGTCCACAACCTTGATATACCATATTTTTACGCTATTTGATAACGAACGGCGGCCATTTTGTCTGTCAGTTTTGGGCCGATTTTCACGAAATTCGAACTCAGCCGTCCTTAGGGTTTAACGGTGATATAATAATACATTTTTTTAAATCGGATAAAAATTATGACCTCTATAGGGTCCACAAGCTAAAAACGTGATTTTTCGTACAATCAGGGGCCATAATTCAGGAAGTTACGTTCCGATAGGCGCGAATATCGAAAGGAATCGAGGTCTTTGGGTTATAATCATACATTTCAAGTTTAAACTGAATCGGATAAAAATTTTGACCTCTACAGTGTTCACAAGCTAAAAACGTGATTTTTCGTACAATCAGGGGCCATAATCCATGAAGTTACAGTCCGATACATGGCAATATCGAAAGGAACCGAGATCTTAGGGTGATAAACCTATATTTCAAGTTTCATTGAAATCGGATAAAAATTGTGACCTGTAGACTGTTCACAAACAATTGTGGACGGACAGGGGCTACGACAATATACGTCCACATGAAAATGTGGGCATATAAAAATTTGATATTTTAGAGATATTTTAAAGATTAAACATATACAGTACCTCTATAATTAATATCCAATTAATCCTATTTCTTTTATATCTTTTATGTTCCCTGCAATGGAAAATACTTGAATTACATCTTTACATTCATTCAAATTTAGTATTCTAAATTCTAATATGAGAATTTTAAAGTATGTTAAATCACTGATATGATTATTTTATCCTCTTCCTTACTTGTTTGTTAAGTATCATATTATAATAATCATGATTAGAGATATTAAAGATTGCATACTTACCACCACACTATTACTACACCTAACATAAACTCCGCCAAACCAGATACCATACTGAAATATATTAAATATATAGAGAGAAATAGGGTATAATGGCCACTCAACACAAACTAGGTCATTTCGGGACTAACACATGGTTGAATTTTTTATTTCAATAATTCACTTGCGCGTAGGGTTCTTTAGCAGTGGGAGGAAACCGGGGGACCCAGAGAAAACCCACGAGGTTGGACAGGGGAATTGAAACCATGCCAGTTAACTCAATGACAGATCTTATAACATAGCTTGCATGTGCGATAAATTCGGCCATCCAATCTCCCTATATTAAATATCAGATATAAGTTTGTTGTACTGTTATGTACATAGAAAAGTGAAATGCAAGTGTGAACAATGTTATCCTTGAATAAACACCTCAGTACTCTTGAAATCCTGTGTTTAAACGGAAAACATACATCAAACAAAACACATTTTATAGATGTCAGAGATTTCAGACATATAAGAAGAGTTCTAAAATCATATTACTTAAATGGATTCTCAAAAACTTTCTTGCTGATATACTCTTGACCTTTTCAGTACGAGTTAACGATGGTCTCACTTAAACTCTAATTCAGTAGTGAAAAGGCAACACTTGTTTGGGATTTCTGGAAAGAACATGCAAAAATCTAACAAAGTTTTAAAACTAAGCTTGCCAGGCAATTTAATATATGCCCAGCAACAACATCATCACCTGTGTTGAAATATGTTGAAATAGACCTTACTTCTTATGATTTTTACCTCATGTTTTAAAACATATGCAAGGTTTTGAAATTAGGGTCCTATAGCCTACTCTAAAGTGAGTACAATGTGAAAATGGGCCAATAACCCTACTCTTAAAAGAGACTACAATAGGGAAATATCCTTTAATCATCAATGATAAGTCAGGGGCAATAACTGCGGAAGCACTTATGTGATAAACCTTAAAACTGACAGGAATCATCTTTATCCAAATAGGCCTACTAACCATTCCTATAATTTTCTCAACCCTTGTTTAGTATTGCATTCCCATGCTTTAAAAGTAAAAATATGATCATAAAGACAAAGCTTCGATTTACAATCTGAATACCATAATCAACAATATCAGAATTCTATCCTGTATTGCATTCACAAGATTTCATAACTTTGATTATAAAGAAGAGATTTATGACCCAATGAATAATATGTCTGAGCCTCCACAACCCACATTAAAATTGGGCAACATAAAACAAACGATTCTTTTAGATATTTAATAACAGACTATACATTAATGTTAAAAATATCTGTACCTATATATGTTATTATGATGGAAATGAAATACTTACACGACAGCTATATTAGAATTCCGACCAACCAATGGTAAAAGTGGAAATACAGCTACTAATAAACAACTAACACACCAACCAATTACACTTATCTAAAACATATAAATATTAATACATTCTAATGATATAACACTAATTGGCAGCAGATGTAAACCCCAATAAGTATGGTTGGGTTCCATCTTAATAAAGATCCATTATGGCCAGTTTAGTATGGTATATTAAAAAGTATGGAATAAAAATATCAATTTGCCAAGAAAGATAATTCTTTCAGCAAACAACATAACTGACTGTTATTACACAACCCTTTCTCTTTATTTCACAAAGTTTTTTTATTATATTAAATCATACATATCCATATACCTTGTTGAAAGTAATTGATGAATTAAAAAATGGCCACAGTGCCATACCAACCAGTCCAATAGATAACAATTCACGATAGAAAAAACCTAAAACCTGAAATATTAAACAATTATTTAAATCTATTCAATATACTCTGTCTATAATATAGAAATGCTCTAATTTTAGATATAAATGAGTATAAGCAGTGTAATCAACAGGATTTTACGTGCACTAAAGACAATCTTGGCTATCATCCATTCCAATCAAAGTACAAATTGATAATTAGAGAATTATTATTATATTTATGTGGGGATCATACCATTTTACAAAATTCAAAATAAATTGTAAATATCTTACTAGAATCTGTAAGCCTAATAAAGTGATAAAAATAGACAATGATAATGTTAATATTTCTTTTCTCCCCTTTATCGCATTTAAATGATGCATCACAAATTTTAATCTGAAAAAAAAAGAAGAAAAATTCATATTATTATTCATTATTTTCACTTGCATTTTGATTATCTAATTATCTGTGTCAAAATATAGTACTGACAAATTATGCTCTTCAAAAAATGTAGGGGATATTCAGAAACAATAAAAAACTGTGGAAATGCACTGCTGTTTTTATTAGAGGTAATTAGTGTATGTTAATAACAGGCCGACTGCCTACACATGAACATAAATAGGTTCATATGGGCAGCTTATCTGACAGCCCCATTTCACTCGCAAAGAGATACACCGTCAAAAGTGAAAATGGATGTTTTTGATTTTTGTCTTAATAATGAGTAATTGCTCCATCAATCCTCAGACATTCAGCAATTCGTCATGGCATGCTCCTAATTAACCGTCATATCACGATTTGGGGCAATCTGACCCACTCCTCTTGCAGTGCCACGGCCAATTCTTGCAGTATTGTCGGTTGACATTGACGTCGACAAACACGTCTCCCGATCAAATTAAACGTAACACATGAAAGCAAAGATACGCTAAACATTAAATCTTATGCAAGAACCGATAGGAAAGCAAACATGGATAGATAAACCAGCACGCGGCAGTTTTCATCAACCCTTTCTTGAAGTGTCAAATTTGACAATGAACCCCTCCCACATGTATGGCCCTATTGCATGTCGCATGTGCAGCTCAGTGGTTGGGGCGATAAGTTCTTTGTCTGTGGACATACTCTCAAAGCATGTCAAGTGACCAGACTATTTATCATATCACAATCTGCATAGGTATTTGCATTTCAATATCCCCCACTTTTTTTTTTTGAAGAGTATATAATTGATAGCATAATTAAAATGATATAGAACACATTGTCTTACCCTTTTGTAGCTTTACTCCATAATATTACTGGTAATAAACAATATAAATAGTATGTCCAAGGTGAATGTTGAACTGAAAAGAAAATTCATTAAAAAAAAATCCTAAAGCTGTAATTTCAACACTAGAGGGTTTAATGTGTTTTTTTAAATTAAAACTGATATAACATCAACATCTTTAGGTGTTCAGTTAGAAGAATCATCATGGGAATCAGATTCAACATATTTCCATGACTGTAATTTTTATAGAATTATGCTTTAAAAAAATCTATTTCACATCAGCATTGATTTAAATTAAAGAGAGAGAGAGAGAAATGGGATTTAACGTCCACTCAACACAAACTAGGTCATTTCGGGACTAACACAAGGTTCAATTTTATTTCAATAATTCACTTGCGTGTAGGTGTTTAGCAGTGGATGGAAACCGGAGGACCTGGAGAAAACCCACGAGGTTGGACAGGTGACCCTACTCCTTGTCACGTACAACCGGGGAATCGAAACCCCGCCAGTTGACTCAATGACAGGCCGTATGATACAGCGCACGTGCTAACCATTCGGCCATCCAATCCTCTTGATTTAAATTAAAGTTACCTAGTAATACTGTTAGCACCAATAATCCTAAAATAATAAAAAGTGTTGTCTGCTGCAAGTATGATCCTGTATTTAATTTTATTGTTGAGTTTTCTTGTAAAGCTAGTTGTAATATAAAAGCCATCCATCCTAAAAACCCAGATACAATACTAGCTCTGAAATAATACAACATACATATGATCATAAATTAATTAATAAATCAAGTTACTACCAAATAAGTCTGGCATATATGTTAGCCATCTTTGAACTCCATCAAGGCATTTACCTAATGTACGCCTACACCAAGTTTGAACATTCTAGCTCAATGAGAAAGAGAGTTATTATGTTTAAAAGTCTCGACCAATCAAATTGCATATCACTCTGCTTGCCCTGAGCAGAAAATGTTCATTATTGAACATAATCAAGGAATTGATGTAATGAAACTATACACCAAATTTCATCACTCTCACTTAATTAGACAGACAGATTTTAATAGTCCCCTGCTTTCTTCGAAAGGCAAGGGGACAATGATTAATTACTAGATATAGCTCACCCAAGAAATAATCTGTTATATGTTTGATAATAATTTAATCCTTCTAGAGTGATTTTAATCAGTAGGTCACCTTCTTTAATCTGAAAAATATTCATTATATACAGCTGTATCTTTAGACTACAGTCTTGTTTATGGAGAATTTATAGTTATCAAAACTCAAATCAGAGTCCTTTCCATAATATTCTAATTTTACAGCCACATAACTTTTAAGCTAATATAAAACAAATATTTTGAAAGCATATAGGCTTAAAAAACAATTGTTGCATATGTAAGAGCCTTCATTCAAACACTGTGTAAAATGTAAGTTTTCTGCCATATAGGAAGCAGGGTAATTTAACACTCAAATGTCTGTATGGCATGGAATTTATTGTATGTTTCAATCACTATTTGCTACTAGCATGCGATTAGGGCAATTCAGTAATTTGGTACCGAGTAGAGCTATGGTTCAAAATAAAGCCCATTTGGAGCACCAAGTTCCAATTTAGGTGACAAATTGTGCCAGAAAATGGAACCCGTGTTCTTCACAAGTTGAGAATTGAATATAAAACCTGGTTTACTATTATCAACAGTATAAATATACTCACTGCCTGCTGGTAGAGGCCATTTTTCATCAGAGATCTTAAATTCTTTAAAGCATCAAACTACAAATAAAAAATAAAATCCTAAAAGCATATCTTATAAAGCATCACATTACTGTATTTCAAGACACTAAATACAATTTTATAACACTTGATAAAATCTTAAATATGTACAAAAACAAATATGTACAAATTAAAAAACATAAATTACCGTTTTTGTTGGTGTCAATTCTCTGAAAAACAACCAAAGTAAACCATTATTAATTGCAGGTATGAAAGTACTAGTTATTATCATAGTTAAGTTCTAATTTCAAGATGCACATACGGCAGAAAATTATTTCTCATAAACAATCTACATACTTGTACGGTCTGAATGTCACAGATATTGAACTTTCTTTAACTTGATTCATTTTAACCTTAAAAAGAAAATACACCCATTAGATACATATCATTACATACACCATGTCATTACATACAACATATACCACAACACGTCCCATATACCATTACATACACCATGTCATTTTACATTCACCGTGTCATTACATATCCCATATATCATTACATACACCATAATCATTACATACACCATATCACTACATATCCCATATATCATTACATATCCCATACATCATTACATACACCATACATTATTACATACACCATACATCATTACATATCCTATATATCATTACACTGTACATACACCACATCATTACATACACCATACATCATTACATATCCCATACATCATTACATACACCACATATCATTACATACACCATATCTCATTACATACAGGACAGCAACAACGAGGATAAAAGCAATAATATATAGCATATGAAGCGACCAAAACCTTTTCCAAGCTCTCAAATCAAACAGAGCTATACTGTTATAGCCATTTAAAAATATGATTCTCACTTATTAAAGATGCATTATTCAAGAGATAAATGTGCCTATTGTAGGTTTTTCTTTAGGACTTAAATGGTATATAGATTACTAATTAGACATTTATTAACATGACAAGACCTTAATCAACTCTCTAGGCCATCGGGTGGCTCTGATTTTAAGTGGATTAGAATGGTTCGACCATTTAATGATTTAATTTAAAAACAGAGAAGCGAGGCTAAGTTTCGAATAACCAGTACCGTGGTTAAGATAATAAACAATCAATGCACACATCTTGTCAAAACTACAAACGAACCATTATAGCAAAAACATCTAGCACTTTATCTAAATCTTACATAATGTATCTTTAAGAAGTGATAGCCCAGCATTCTAGGCCAGGACTCTTGTTTAGATTATATTTGCCAGTTTTGACTGAAATTAACCAGTTGGAGAATTTACCAATCAATCAATGCATGTGCCATAAAATTAGGTATTTCAAAGAATTTAACTTAAAACAATATGAATTCATTTAAATTTTTTAGTTTTAACTTGCAAAAATACTTAAAATTTTTAGGTGATAGCTTGGTTAATGGCATTCATCTAGATTATCTAGTAAATACTCGTTCATTTAACTCTTAGAACCCAAAATGTCGCAAAACCGGCTTGACATTGTATCGCATATACCCGAAATGTCTGTTTTGCGGCTTGGGGCGTATTGTTTGAATCGCGGCCTGAACAATAATAATTTAGCCAATCAAAATACAGTTTACCGTTTGCTCCGGGTCTGTTGGTAACAGTGACTTCCTTCTAGATTGTTTACATTTAGATATTAGCAAATTATTCGATATAATATGTGTTCTAAACGATTAAATACAACGGATGCGCTAGCGCTTTTAAAATGAGCGATAATGACGACGATATTAATGGTTCGGATTACGGCAATGAGAGCGACTTTGAAAGTAAATATGATCCAGATTCTGACGAAATTAAATATTGTGATTAAATATCGTTGTTTCATCATTTCACACAATTTTAAACACATATAATATCAAATTCACACCTAACATTTAGTCCCAATCAAAATGACGTCATTTTTCCATATTCCTGCTGTAAAGTCAGGGTGGGGTGTGCCACACCCAAAATATTTTCAGGGTTCAAAGGGTTAAGCTAAAATTTGTAATAGATGCCTTATGCAAATATAAATCTGATTCCACTTACCTCATACTGAGCTAACATTTGAAGTGCATTAGTATATAAAGCCTCTGCTTTCTGCCAATCAGAGATATCCAAATAATCTTTAGGTAGGGTACCCTGAAATGATTAGACACATCCACATTTTCACAATTATCTAATCTGGTATGCTATCCAACTAAAATAAATTAGAATTTTGTCAAAGCTATGTTTCAAAAGCATTTAACAAATTTCAGAAAAGATCTTTCAATAGGCAAAATGGAACTTACCACGGAATTCATTGGAAATGGAGCACCTATTAAATATGTCATCAGTGGAGCTATATCAGCCTGTATAAAAGAAAAGGTCGTGTTTTGGGGGCTTTAATATACTGAACAGTCATAATTCATTTTACATCATCACAACAATAATAAAATGAGTGGCCATCTTGGCACATACACCCACTTGAAGTTTTCGGAAATGACAACCATCAAATAATATTTCTCATATAATAACTGGCTTGAACTAAGAGAGAAAATGTAATATTAAATCATTTACTATGACTGAAAAAAAATAAAGAGAGAAAATGAGAGAGAGAGAGAGAGAGAGAGAGAGAGAGATGGGGTTTAACGTCCACTCAACACAAACTAGGTCATTTCGGGACTAACATATGGTTTAATTTTATTTCAATAATTCGCTTGTGCGTAGGGGTCTTTAGCAGTGGGAGGAAACCGGAGGACCTGGAGAAAACCCACGAGGTTGAACAGGCGACCCTACTCCTTTTCACGTACAATCAGGGATTCGAAACCACGCTAGTTGACTCAATGACAGGCTTTATGATACAGCACGCACGTGCTAACCATTCGGCCATCCAACCCCTTGAAAACAATAAGACCAACAGAAAACTCTGTTGAGATTTAACATCATTATACATGACAATGTACATATTTCTGTTATCATACCTGTTCTACATCATTTCTTAACAGATGATTTAATTTCCAATCTATAAATAAAATATTACATACATAAATATTTTAACAGTACAATATCACAGATTTAAAGTCATTCAGACATACACTCTATTAATTTTTCTCTAATATCATAAGCCAAACCCTCAATGATATTTCCTTTCTATTAACAAACAACAGGCACAAGACAGCCTCTAACATTTTTTTTAATCATATAAATTATCGTTGTAAAGTCAGTGATAAATATATATACAGATAATAAAACATATTGGGGGTATTAAAACAACAGATTACCTTTACAGAAGTTATCAGTATAATGACCACATGTTTGTTCATGTACAGGTAGTTGTATACCAGCACCCCATGCAACTAATGGTGTTAATGTTTCACTAGGATCACCAGCACCATGAGATCCTTAAATAAAATACAATATTCTCTATATTAAACTCAATCATTCAGTCTACATTATCTGAGAGAGAGAGAGAGAGAGAGAGAGAGAGAGGTTTAACATCCACTCGACACAAACTAGGTCATTTTGGGACTAATATTTGGTTCAATTTTATTTCAATAATTCCCTTGTACGTAGGGGTCTTTAGCAGTCTTGACGACAACAGAGGACCTGGAGAAATTCAATGAGGTTGGACAGACAACCTTACTACGTGTCACGTACAACCGGGGAATCGATACCATGCCAGTTGACTAAATGACAGACCTTATGATACAGTGCACACGCGCAAACCATTCAGCCATCCACACCCCGCTGCATTATGTGTGACTTCTACTAAAGAAAAACATATCGAAATGTCAACATTTTCTGCACCCGAAATTAACCATTTTGTGCTGTATTAGAAAAATCCTAATTTCACACCATGTACATGTATGTTTAACCATGGACCATGTAAGGTCCATGGTTCAACTATGCGGAAAGATTGTTTGGCCGAAATGAAATGAAATGGATTCAGCGTCCTACTGTTCTGTACTGACTAATGAAGAATGGGTTTGGCTGAATATGTATATACCATAATGCTTTGCGGTTAAAAGTCACAATCTATTATTAGCTTATGAATAAAGTGCTATAGAGCTGATTCACATGTGTTTAAATATACCCTAATGTTTTTTATGACATTCTTTCCACATTGAGATATATCAATAACAAGAACAGCATCATATGAATTAACTCTTTGTAGACCAATAAATTTGTGCTGTTTATTCATACAAATAATAGCTAAAAAGTTTGAAGAATTATCAAGGTAAAAATAGGTATAGAATCATACCCCAATCAGTCATGCCATGATCAGATGTAAGAACATAAGCTGTTTGACCATCATCATCATAATAATCTTCTATTAATTCTTCCATCATCTTAACTCCTTTATCAACATGTTCTACATTCTGTAAATAAGCTCTGAAAAAAAAAGGCAACTAGAAATTTATAATTACTGATGTATAGATTTCTCAGTCGAAAATTGACTGGTTTATAAGTCATCAGGTTGGAGCTTTATAGTATAGACTTATTGATGACGTATCATATTTAGGTTTGATGAATATTCCCTTTCTAGACAAGGAAATGAGTATACCGGTATATATAAGTGTAAAATACTTACTGTGAATATGGTTTATGTGAATGACCATTTGTATCAATACCCAGTAGATGTAGAAAAAATACAATCTTATTCTGATGAAGTTTATCGTGTAAAGGTTTATCTAATTTAGATTTTGCAAAAAATTCCTGAAATAAACAATACAGATACTTTATATATCAATTTAAAGATTAGAGTTAGCGAGAGAGAGAGGGAGTGAGAAATGGGGTTTAACATCAACTCGACTCAAACTAGGTCATTTCGGGACTAACACATGGTTCAATTTTATTTCAATCATTCGCTTGCGCGTAGGGGTCTTTAGCAGTGGGAGGAAACCGGAGGACCCGGAGAAAACCCACGAGGTTGGACAGGGGAATTGAAACCATGCCAGTTAACTCAATGACAGACACCACACCATACCCACACCCCCGATTAGAGTTAGCAAAATAATATTCACAAATAATAAATGTGTTTATATACCTTCTTTTTTTTTATTAACATAGGTCTAGTTTGTGGTTTGGCATAAACTATGTATCCATTTGGATCATAAACTTTATGATACACTCTGATAAAATATCTACATGTAATTCACAGTCAAATGGAAAATACAGAATCTTGTTCCTTTGCAGTAATTGATACACAAATATCTAACAGTGTACCGAGATAACATCCAATATTAGATTTAATCAAACTATCTTTTAGTGTGACAACGCCTGGAAATAGGACACCTGTCACAGACATTGACATGATAAAATTCTGGATATGTCAGGCACAAAACCTCTGGTGTCTGTCATTCTGTTTGGAACAGATTTGTCTTTTTTATTGATATTATAAATACATGCCCACCACAAAGTTCAAATTGTTAGTAACTAGTTCATTAGTAACTGACATTTTGTAAAGTATAATTAATACTGTTATTTTTTGGCCTGAGTGTGACAAATTATTTTGCTTTACTGTATGTACATGTAGAGCCTACATATTCTATCTACTGACCGTAACTTTGTCAAAAACCCAGGTATCAAGTCTAGTTGAATCATGTCCACCAAAATCAACCCATTCAGCAGAATAACAGTTGATGAATACATGATCACCACTAGCCCCTTTAAATATAGAATATAAAACATAATTTAACACAGCTGGGGTATAATCAATGCTCAAAGCCACCTTTTTTAATTTAGCAGAAATGGATTTGACACATATACACTTATATATAAATGATATAATGGTATTTCAGTCAAATGTGCATACATTTTGTTGACTTCTGTAACAGTCAGGGCAGCAGCTTTATTGTCATATTTTTTTATGAGCATCGATCATGTCAACACAATTAAAGATAAATAGCAGCAATACATGTCATTTTCGTTATTTAAATTTAATAAATTAAGAGCTTAAATGTTAGATACCATCTTGAGCAGGATGTCCAGGGATAGAAATGAATTATGCTTCAGGTATTCAGGTACAAAAAAGACCATTAATGGTCACAAATTACATTATGATTTGAATAAATTTTGGACCAATGTGTTTTCTGGTATCGTCTAAAAAGCTATATTTTCCTTTTAATCTTGAATATTGTGTCTTTAAGGTAATGCATACAAATTAAGCCCCATAGTTAATATTATCAAATTAGCACAATTCCACAACACTTCATATAATATATATCATTGGTTGCAAGAAATTAATGCATTTACTGACAAAAGTCTACCATAACAATTCCATACTCCACACTAGCTACGCATTATTTTACCTTTAGAAAACATGGGGAGAACATCAGGACTTCCCCAGGCCCAGGTATATCGACTTTCGTTAAACACAGAATCAAAGTTAACTGGATTTTCTTTCCAACCTACAAAAAATATCAAGACAGAAAAAATGATTAATTGATAAAAATTGAAACTTTGTTGATTAAAAATCTAACTAAAAAATGTGTCTGATACATGTACAGTAAACAATATAATTTAAGGATCGAAAAGATCAATTACCTATATGTTCTTAGGTTTTAAAAGAAAGAAAAACTTTAAATAGCTTTAAACAATTTGATCAAATTGACCTTATTTCATCTAGCTTTTGAAAGATATCTATAAACATCATGACTTACCTTTAGCTACAGCACTGACATCTTCATAAAATCCAGCTATAAGAGCCACATGGCCAGGTCTTGTTTCAGTTGGTACTCTAGTGTGTGAAACTCCCCATGATCCTCTAGTTTCTATTATATTTCTATAATAAAACCATTTTTTTTTTTAAAATACTGTCATTAATATATAAATATATAATCAACAAACATTGAATATATGTCCAGGGAGAAATTTAGATGCATCATAAATAAAACTAATAAAAGGTTGTTCTCTCAACTTGAAGACATGTCACAAGTTTGCGTTGACCTACATATTCTTCCCCCTCCTCTCCAGGATCCATTTCTGTAGTTTAGTGCTTACAATGTCTGTGTAGTTTGTGTGTCTTGTTCGCAAGTTTGTCTTATTGGTTTTGTTTGCATGTAGCGTGTGGTCCTCCTTGACTTACATGCACTATTATGGTTTCTTTTACCCCCTAAAATGTAAATGTACATGTATATTGTTTACCTCAGATACGGTGCAATTGTTTTTCCATCTTTTTCAAGTTCATAAAATTTATCAGCTCTTAATCCATCTGCCACAAAGAGCACTAGTCGTTTAGCTGGAGGAGGTAACGTTGAGGAATAACTTGTCATACCATGTACCAATGGTGAAGTGAAATAAACATCAAATATTGAATAGAATAATATAACATGAACTACTAATCCAGTTACAATCAACTGCCATAATTTCATCTTAGACGACTGAAAAAGATAATTATAGAGATTACATCCAATCAATATAAACACTATACCATACAGGTATAACTTCCCTATAATCAAAAATTGCAGTGAGATACTAAAATCTTACCACTACTTTTGACACAAAAAAATTACGATTTTAAATTATAAATTACAAATTGGCATAAATCATTGTCATATGAGTTGAAATACATGTAACAGTGGATTTGGGTAAATCGTGCTATCCCCTTCAACTTGAATAACCACATTTAGCCTCAATTTTACCTTTAATCTTATATATTTCCTTAAATTAAGGCTTAATCTTTGAAAGGTGAACATATTCGTGGTTTTAAAAAGTTAAAGGAGAAAAACTCCTAAACTCTAAGGGAACTTTCTCAAATTGATAAATTATGGCTGAAAGCTGTTGTTATTTCATCGATTGTGAACAAACTACTTAATAATTATTATTAAAAACTTGCCGGTATGTTTGAAGTCACCTCACGTTAAATAAAATCCATTGAACAATTAAATATCCCAACGAATAAAAATGTTCTCTCTTGAAAAGTCAAGGTTTTTGCTTGTATTTTCCACAGTGTTCATTACACCATTGCACATGTCACGTGATGAGCTAAACCATCGTAAGATGTTGAAGGGGGGTAAAGGTTGACAGATTTTGACAATCACAGGTGTTGCAATCAAAACAATGTGCGACCTTTTCGATCGTTTGGGCAACAAAAATAGCAACTGAAGACAATAACATTAATTTGGAAACAATTGATTGTCAGTCTACTAAATTTTATTCACAATGAGTATATCACCGATTACACGGATACTCGTAAACATAATATTGCTTTTTACATCATCATCACCCCATAATTGTATATACCCTGTATATTATATATACTTTTATAAATTATATTACATCCCTGTCAATTATGGACAAGTTTATAATATAAATAAACAAACTTTATTTCATAATTTTAATTGATCATATTTCATAATGGGGTCTAATCCCAATGACCTGTGGTTATTAGTCCATTTTCAAAGTTTATGATTACCACAAAAATATGAAAAGAAGTTCACTGCTTCTCAATAATTTCCATATTTAATTCACGTTCCGACTGTTCATATCAATAATGTTACTGATTAAATTATCTTTTTTCTGTTTATTCGACATATACTGAAATCAAAACATTTTTTGATAAGAATAGTTCAGGATGTCTAAACACCATTTATCGTCTTTATAAAAATGTATTTAAAACAAAAAAATTACTTGTCAAAAGAGGCATGCAGATTGCTGTATTATTAGGTCATATGTGTTAATTATTCAGACCGTGGGAAAAACTTGTGCAAGTTTTGCGCTAAATTCAACCATTTTCACTGCATCTGTGTATTGACGTTCATCAGGAAATATTACAGATATTCAAGGGCCAGATTCAAGACCTGTAAAATGAATGTCATTCTTTTTGTTCTGCACCTGCGTTTAAAAGAAATAATGCCACCCAACTCTCTAATCAAATAATTAATACAAGACAGAAACAAAATAACAGACTACAGGCGTATCTATGTTTGTAAATGCTCGAACTTATTACTGAGTCCCAGAGCACTTTGAATTGTGGTGAGAGAGAGAGCAAGAGAGAGAGAGTTCAACATCCACGACACAAACTAGGTCATTTTGGGACTAACACATGCATGGTTCAATTTTATTTCAATAATTCAAGTGCGCGTAGGGGTCTTTAGTATTGGGAGGAAACCAGACGACTCGGAGAAAACCCACAAGGTTGAACATACAACCGGGGATATGAAACCACGCCAGTTGATGACTCTAATGGACTAATGACAGACCTTATGTTACAGCACACACGTGCTAACCATTCGGCCATCCAACCCTTGTCGTAAAATTATGATAGACAAGCCTTGCTGACACCCCCTTGTACGAAATGATCTATCCAGATAAGTGATGTAAATAGCTTCCATTTTTGTATTTCTCAATTAAGTCGATGTCCAAGTTTGTGATGACTTTAATTTTACAAGAGAGAACTTTTTTATTGGTTGGGATATTTAGTTGTAGGCTTCAATGGATTTTATTTAATAGCCATAATTAAGTAGTTTGTTCATAATCGAAGAAATCCGTTTAAAATTTACGACGGTTTAGACAGTGTGACGTGTCAGTCAGTAGTCAGTACTTAATTGTCAGTAGAGTAATTCTTACTGTAAACTGTATACGCAGTGACCCAATGTACAAAAATCGTAAATACAGTTCTTAAAAAAGACAGAATGACTGCACCCTACTGACATCCTACAGAAAAGGTTCCAAACGGATAATATTGCAGTGGTTTGACACAAAGTGCTAGTAACAAATAACGTATAGATTAAAGTTTACTATTAGTATTGTAAAAAGTCTTTTAACTCTTCAACTCATCGCAAACTCACTGGCAGATTTCAGGGTGCAAAGAATTTTCTTGCCAGAGTAACTTCCCTTCTTTCTGTAAGAGAATGTTTTCGATTGGATAGCTGCCACAATGAGAACAAGTTTAGTCCAATCGTAGACGCTGATACATCACAAATACCTTTTGTAACTTCAATAAAGAAAAGTTCAACAGGAAACGAAAGTTTATTTAAATCAATTTTATTCTGAAAAAAAAATGAATTAACCGTTCTAATAGTATGTAGAAACCTAAGTAGATCCATACAGAATTATTCAGATAATTATGGGTAAAATTGAGTGGGCCATGTGGGCAAATGAACAGGCCCTAGCCACCTCAGCAGGTATAAACGTTGTTTTAATGTTTTAGTCTTAGAAACTTTGAACAATTTAATGGTTAGAAATAATTGGTTGACAGATTCAGAAATCTCGCCCACATATATTTTCTTTGTGAAAGTTTTAGTACAGTTTTTAATTAATAATATGGTTGTTTTTCAGTTGTAATTCTTGGTGGTGTCATAGCTGTAGCTGGACAGTTTAAAAATTGGCAGTTTGGTGTATATGGAATGTATCCTTGAATAATACAAATAATATTAATAATTCAATTTTAGAATAATAATGTTGACTGAATTATAAAATTCTGTTTAATAATAAGTTTGACGTCTCAAAACTATAATATAATAATTTTGTTAGGCCTACGTCTATAGCTCAGTGAGTAAAACAATGGCTTGCTAACCTGGAGGCCCGGGCCCGTGTTGTCAGAGAAAGTTCATCAGGACTTTCCAGTGTGAATCCCCTTTATCAGTGGTGCAGGTTGGAGCATGGGCCTTGTTAGAAATGGTTCCACTACTGATGTCTTCCGCCTTACTCCAGCCACAGTAGTGGCTCATCCTACGGAGTTCCTTTGCGCAAGTTTTTTAGTCAAATGACTACAAAAAGGTTACTGGCCTATAGCTCCCTTAATTTACACATAAACTGACCCAAAACTGTACTGCACATAGCTTAACATATAATAAACCAATTCCTATTGAAATAAAGGTGAAGCCTTACCGCATAATTATATGATATGAAACCCAACTACTACGCGAAATTTCTCGACTACAGAACTTATTTCAACTGGCCAGTGGCATGACGGCTTTCACATTATAAGAAACATCGCTTTGAAAATGTAGAACGCATTACCACAAAGAAAAACTATTCAGTAACTATTTTAGTGGTCCAGTCTTCACTATTTGTGATAGAATTACTTATTTCAATACAATTGTGCATTTGAACCTATTTAAACTTGCGTAAGGAGTCTTAGACTGTATCAATTGTAGCGTTAAACACAGTTCAACGATACATAATTTTAGCTAGGGCCTTGTATTATATGGTCCATGGTTGGAGAGCCTGGCAAGGGACAACATATTGTCATGTGCATAGGACAAAAAAACCAAGGTCCTGTACGTGTGTACACATAGGCATGCATGTAATAGAACCCTTGACAGTTGGAATTTGATGTAGAGTAGTGCCGCTGTCGGAGCAAAAGTAGGACATTAAACTTCATTTTATTTCCAGTTTACCTTTTGACCATTGTATGTGAGCATTTGCATCCTTGAGGTTATATGCTTAATGATTTCCCCTTGTTCACGTAGTCAACATTTTTGTTACACTTTTTACAAGTTCTACTGTAAATATTTTTCCCTTCATAAAAGAAAAGAGTTGTTGGTGTATTAGTATTAATATTAGAGTATCCTAGAGGAGCACGGAAGAATGGTAAATGTTTAGAAAGAAAGTAAGTATTTGTTTTTAATTGATTTTCAAAAATAATAGAAAATTACTTAAAATTTGCATTTACGCTAACATATCAAACTTCTCACAGCTTACATGCTTAATGTGTGATTATTTAACATTGGATTAAGCAAACAGAATCAAAATACCAACGCTAGTAGATAACCTTCCAGCTTGAATTCAGTAGGATTTAAACTAGGCCCATCAGGCTTTTCTGCTACCAATAAAATATGGTGGTGTCTGTTACGCTCAAGCAGCATAGTACAATGAAAATACAACTGATCATAACTCTGTAAATACTGAATAGAATTGAGCCATTTTTGGACTGATATTCCTATTCGAGATTAAACGTTCACAGTTGTAGTTTGCTCAGGATTCATTTAGCGCTAAATGGGGCATCAAGTCCTTAAAGATGCATTATGTAAGAATTAGATTAAGAGCTTTATCCTATAACTACATGCAAATACAAGCAAATATCATTGAATACAGCCATTGAATAACCTATGATTTTCTAATTAATAGGCAGATTTAGATTTTGCATAATGCATCTTTAACCAGGTTTTAAGCAAATTTTTTAGAGAGATAAAAAATTTGTATCTCTATTTTAGCGGTTGGAACCTGTAATTGATCTATATTTTAATTTTGTTCAACATATTGAATTTCCAATCTTTATATTGAATAAATGATAAAGATAGCCCATGTACTTTTTCATTTTAGATTTCAAAGACCATTAACAAAATTTGTTCAATGTGGGGGATTACTGACAAGAAATTATTTTGTTCGTTTTGTTCTTTATCTAATGTAGGTTCAGTACTTATTCTTCTATGTCTAATGATCATAAGATCTGTTTGCACGATTGGTAGGGTGATCCGTGCAGTGAAAATTTTCCTACAGTAAGTTGGACTCGACACGGCGAATGTGCACGCTTCAGTGGCTTGTCTCGAAGTGATTTCTGGCTCAACACGCAGTATGATAATACACAGCGCTAGAGTCTATGAGACTATAAATAGCCATCGCACGTGCAATTCTCTACACATCTATCAACTATTACAGCCGTAAAAAATCTATTGTTGAGGATTCTAAATAGCAGTAATATTTAGATTTTTGGTTATTACAGCAGCTTTAGAAATTACTTTCGTTTTATTTTTTAAATTGCTTTATCATTAACTGTACGGTTAGGAGTGGCATCTTTTGGTTTAGTACAAATAATATCTCTGAAACAGCAGTAGTTTCATTTTACTTTTACAAGGTTCTTAAAACAATTGTTGAGTTGCCGAACGTGCGTGTTTCTAAATTCAATTTCTTGTTCCAGCCTTCTGTTATGTTTCGTTAAAAAGTAGACTTGATTATCCCGGCCTGTCAAACGGACGTAGAATGGTCGGTACACTGGTTAAGTGAGATTAATTTCAAAACAAGGGCACGTAACCTACTTTTTACTCACAAGTGCTGGATGTTATGGCCGACACTCATAAGTCATAATCCTCTTTTAGTGTATTATTTATGGATGGGTAAATGGTCATAGCTTATTAAATAAAACCTGACCGTTTATTTAGTGACTCTAAATGTGCGAAACTGAGTTAAGCCTTGATATATAAATAAATATTGTGGTGTAATTGTCGGGATATTTGGAGATATTTATTTATGGCGGGTCACCCTACCATTAGTGAACACACTTTCATTTTTATGCAGTATTTTAAAGCATCAAAATTTTTAAAGCATCAAAATCAAGGAAAGGCTGAAATATAATGTTTTAGCAACTGCCTGGCAGAAATTACATGTAAGACAGTTTTACATTTCCAATGGACACATACAGAGCAACAAATAATAATAAATTATTGACAGAAAATATGTTATTATTATTTATTAATATTTTCAGATTTACTGTACCATGTTGTTTTATTCTACCTACTTTATTAGGGGGAATGTGTTTCTTTATTACAAGTGCAATCTATTTTACAGTAAGTTTGGTTTTTCATTAGATTTATTAGAAATAGGAATTTTATTAGTTTTAAACACATGAAGTATCCAACATTCGATGACTGAAAGTGATATATTGTGTTGACATGAACATGGTTTTCAAATGGAAGAATGATTTTAATATAGAGAAATTTGAAGCCCCTCTAAAAGCAATCTGATTAAAATACAGATCTATATTTCGTTTCTTTTTTTTTTTAATATTTTCGATTGTCTACACTACATAAAGATCTGACCAGTTGTAGTGGAAGGTTTCGTCAGAGTTCATATGAGCGGCTTTTAACCCTATGACGTCAGACATTTGATTAACCAATCAGCATTGATGTTTCTAGTGGGTTACCCACAGTTCCGTGCACCTCACGCCAAAAACTCGCCCTAACAGACCATTTCATTAACTAATCCCTCACATCATCCAGAACACCAGTTATATAACAACTTTTCCAGATCCTAGTGTAGTAAGGACAAGTAAAACGAAATTTTGAACTATAAAAAACGAAACAAAATATGGGATCTGTGTTTTAATCTGATTGCTCTAAGAGTGTCTTACTGTTGAAAGCACTTTGGTTTCTGAATAAAAATCTGGTAAAAATAATCTTTGTATTTTTGTTATTTAATTATTCATATTTTAATATATCTTTACAGGCTGCAATAAAAGGTGAAGAATGGAAGCCTGTATTAGAAGATATCACAAAAAGAAAACAAGGACCAACAGTAATAGAACCACCCAGACATCCCCCACCTAGACACCCTCCACAGCAACAACCAAATGATAGTAGAGTCTAAATCTGTTACCTTAAAGATTGTTTATCATACAAAAATAGAGTCTAAATTTATTTATATTTTATAGAGACAGTTCTTTAAATGCAGATTTGGGTACATTACTCAACAGTTTGTCTTACAAGTCTAAAACATAACAAACTTCAAGATTTGATATTTGGTAACTCTATCTGTTGGCACATGGGTAGTTTTGTAAATCAATATGTTTGGACATTTATCTACTCAATAATTAGTGAGATTATTCCATTGGATGTTATAGAAGAGCATATCATATTTATATTGTGACATTCTTAAAATTTAGAAAAGGAAATATTGTGGAATAAATCATTTATTTTGGATAGTTAAATCATTGCATATAGGGAAGTCAGATTTCCATTTGGTAACATGCTTATGATTTTTAGCGATTTTACATTTATTGTTATTTTGGTGTGGCAAACAATAAATATAGATGTTGTATTTCTCAGGTTCAACATTTTGCCAAAATATATATATGTTCCATTGTAGCATATCCTTTTATTTTATGCCTTGTTTATAGTTTGTTCATTTAGTATTGTATATATTTAGTTAAAAAGTAGTTGCCCCAACCTTTCATTTTATTACATAGAAAATATTTTACTTTTTATAAATATGTATTACTTCACATTTATTATTTACCACAAAATATTGTGTAATTTAATTTTTTGAGATCATAAGATTTTTTTGGATTGGTGATATATAATTTATTTACACATTATTGGATTTATTAGAACTCATATTATTTTAAATCATATATTTTATATTGCATGGATTTATTTATACATTTTACTTCTAATTTTTCAGCTGGTCCTGAAATAATTGATAATTTATAACTATCTGATCATCATGAACAAATTTGCTGTCAGCCTCATTGTGTTCACATGGATATATATTTATTAATCTATGTTTATATGTAATTTCTCTGTAGAACAAATTTTTCAGTTAAAAAAATATACAGCATCAATTTCATTCTATTATGTAAATATATCCTCGCCTTTGAAACTGAATATAATTACAAAGTTTTTTCAGTAAAAATATAATATATTTGATTTAATGTCAAGTAATTTATTTGTTTATTAAGAAATTTTCAAAACTATTTGACTAATTTATATGACATCCCTGCTATGATAATGGGTCTGTCTGTCCATCTGTCAGACTTTTTGGGACACAATTACTCTCCCAATTGAGCTAGAATGTTCAACCTTGGTGTAGGGGTTTATTAGGTGAATGCCTTGATGCCATCAAAAGTATAAAAAAACGAAACGAAATATAGATCTGTATTTTAATAACTTGACTAAGTTGGATGATGCGAATTTTCTACTTAGACTAAGTAGCCATAAGCAATTTGATTGATAAAAAGATAAATGTGCAATTAATCAATATGTATCATCTATTTATTTTGGGATTTCAGTGGGGGACATCATCCTCACTGTTGGCTTGTTTAGTTCAATAGACACCTTCACAAAAGATAGAATTAAAACATAAAAAATAATGACAGGAATCACAAAAGCTGGACACACGTGAAACATATAATTTTCAAAATAGTAGCAGTTGGACCACTGTCGTATTAATAGGTCGCTTGTTATTCCGTTGGTCCCACCCATCCGCGACCCTTGTAGTGACGATATGCAAATGAAATGATGGCTCTTGTCAAAAAGTTTATGAACCTGGCTCAAAATATGAGATGCAAAACAATGCAAGCAAAACTAGAAGACTACCTTTAAGTTTTATAAATAGGCGGTCGCACAGAGCTGCATGCGGACGGACCCATACACGACTGAATTTTAGAACATGTATTATATAATGAACACAAGAATCATTAATACATGTATATTTATTTATGGGTTATTTTGTACAAATTGTGTTAAAGTTAACAGTCCTTGTAAAGTTTCTTCACCACTAGGAATAATTTGATCAGCAGGTAACAAGAAACCATACTGTCCTTGATCTCTTAATTCTACGCCATAAGAGTATTTTATACTGGCATTAGCATAGGTCCAATCAGCACTACTTCCACTAGCTACATCTACAAATAGTTAACGTCAAACAATAGATTAAAGATACATTATGGGAGATTTTTTATAGAGAGTTGGCCATTCTTGCTATAACAGTTCAAAAGTAGATGATGAAAGAAGAATATATTGATAAATTCAGTCAAATTACTTTATTCTGAACATAGTTATCATCGTTGTAATATTTGCCTAGAAATGGTAGCGAATTGTGTCTTCACCTTCGCTGATCGTTTGATTGACAGGCGTTAACTCCACCTACATATCTCGATTATCAAGTAAAGTTTTCAATGGCATACCGAAACGCTTTACAGCGGCCTCGCTAAGTACACTCTATCATTTAGCCTCGATCTAACTGACGTATTTTCATCAGGTTACCCCTTATTTGATTTAATCAATTAGTGAAATCCTATTTAAATCCGAGCTGTAGCCGAGCCATCCGTGGGTCTGCAGAGTTGATTTTGGTCTTGTTGTTTAAATAAAGATCTAATTTATAATTTCTATAACATCTGAAGCCTAAATTAAGACTTGCAATAATCAGATTTAGCTCTTGCATAATGCATGTTTAATTTCCTTATAATATAGCACAAAAACATGGAGGACCGATTAAGTGTTGCGGTTGGGTTAATAACCAAGTTGCGTATACAGATCAACGGTAAAATGAATCAAGTACTAAACTTTGCTATGACAGGGTTAAAATACCTCTAAAGACAATAGAGCGGGTGTTATTTGTTTGATGTCAAAAGATTTATGTGAACTCCTCAAATGAAAAGTGGTATCGGAGATTATAACCATTCCCGTGAACGTCGACGACGTCACTAAACGGGACGATGGTTTGGACCTAGATTTCTGAAAATGAAGCTGCTTCGATGAAGGTAATACTGGGACAAATGCCACCAGCTAAATGGTTTGAAGATGGAAGTTCAACCAAATTTATTTTTTCTGAATAACATCTTTCACAAAGCAATAACTTTACATGCATGCAAATCACGACTTGACTGGGATATTTGGTTATTATTGAAAATGTCATCGGGACAAATGAGTTTTTCGTTTTACTTTTAGCGTATCATTTCATTCTGGAAATCGTCATTTCCGAAAGGATCCGCGGGTAACCGAGCCAAACCATTTTAATTCTTGGAATAGCCACACAAAAAAGAAAGTCACCATCTCCATCCCCTTGGCAATATTTTATGTATAAAACGAGAAAGTAACTACATATTATATGTTTCAACAAATATCTGTTGTCCACCAGCAATTTTAAGAATATCATTTCAACAAATACCATATCCATGTACTTACATATAGTTGATGCAATTGGTCCGTATATATATTTAGTTCCGTGAACAGCTGTTAAAGCCTTTACTGTTGCTGCTGATGACGCTTCCTGAAAATAATGACACTGGTTATCAAGGTTTATATTCGGTGGATCGTCTTCATTAAAGTTGGCATAGAAAAGTAGGACATTACACTCCATTGTATTCATTAATTCACGCTCCGTGGGTCCATGTTGGGTTTTCAGGCTTGTGGGAAATCATTAGTTCTGTAATGTCTCAGTTTATTATAAGTTTTCATATTGGATCCAATCGTTTCTTAATACCCTCTCCTGTTTTAAAATTGCCGGATTATTTAACCTCCAAATAATATAATCATATATTAAACACCATTTCTTAAAATTATTATCAAAGGAAATTTGAAAACGGAAAAGAAAATTTGAAAAAGTTTGCATAAAATTATTCTGGTAAAATTTAGGAAATGAAATGGTTTTACCTGTTGCTCATAATCCTTGGGTTTTGCTTTTGTATATCCCCAGGGTGTCATCCACAATTGTGAGTAACTATGAAAATCAATGAATATTTTAAAGTAACCGCTCGGTTTTGATAAAATAAAATCAGCAACACCTTTAACTACTGGTTCGGAAAATGGTTTAGGTCCACAATAAACATCTGAACAAGGATTATGGCCACCGGAAGCTTCTGAAAAATTCAATAATACAATAGTGTAAACCAGGCTGTCCAATAAGTTTTATGAGAGAAGGAGATCGAGAGATATCTGACATTATAAACGAATATTTTTTTTCTAAATAATTATAGTTATAGTTACACCTAACTTACCTCCATTACACCAATGATTATCCCAGTTTCTGTTAGGATCTGATCCGTAGCATAATAAATGTTTTGTTCTTGTCTTTCTCCAATTACGATCCTTGAATAATTATAAAAAAAATATTTATTGTATGTACAGTAAGTATAAACAAAAGTAGAGTTTAAAATAAATTTGCCAGGGCGGTCTCCAATAGTCTGGAAGTAAAAAATACTGCAGAGGAGTACATTAAGTTTGATAACTTACCCCTGTCCACGTATATTTGTAACCATCCACATTAACAACAGGTACTATGTACCAATCAAATGCGTCTATAGCTTTTGTTATGTTCTCTACTTCACCATAACCTTCCAGTAACTGTAATATAACGGTATGGTAATTGTCCATTTACTGTCTGATTCATCGTAAATTTTAAACGGATTTCTTCGATTATGAACAAACTACTTAACGTTGGTTATTATAAACTTACCTGTGTGTTTGTAATCAACTCCCGTTCGATAAAATCCATTGCACAACTAATTATCACAACGATGAAAACAAGTTCTCTCTTGAAAAATTGAAATATCACAAACTTTTCCCAGAGAAAAATACCAATATGGAAGATGGTTACGTCACTCTGCGGAAGATATCATTTCGTATTAGGGGTGACAGCATAGGAAATTCAAGTACAATTACGACAAGAATCCATGACCACTCGGACCAAAGATCACTCGGTTCAAGACCAGTCGGACCAAGTGATAGACCACTCAGCCCAAACAAATAGACTACTCGGACCATACAAAAAGACTATTCGGACCCAACAGAAAGACGACTCGGACCAATAATAAAATGTTGTTTTAATAAATTGATAATTGCGTTTGTTTTAATATAATTACTCGAACCAATAATAAAGTGTTATTTTAATAAATTGATAATTGTGTTTATTTTAATATGACTACTCGAACCAATAATAAAGTGTTATTTGAATAAATTGCTAATTGTGTGTGTTTTAATATGACTACTCGAACTAATAATAACGTGTTGTTTGAATAAATTGATAATTGTATTCCAAATCGCAAAATATCGAGAACCACACTTGTAGTCACGTTTAAAAAGGGGCATATAAACGTCCGGTCTTCGTATTATTATGTGCTGTTTATATTGACGCATCAAGGGCGGATAACTTGAAAACGTGTCTCCCCCCCCCCCCATATATAGTAACCCAGGGGTTAGTGGGGTAGAACGGAATGAAACCACTGGGGATACCGCGAATGTGGAAAAAGTAAAATTAGGCTATCAGACAAGAACAGTATACCCGTATATGTAGAAACTGTCAAAAGTCTGGACATACCGAGTCTCATTGCAAGAGTAAAGAAAAATTAGATTGATATTTTTTTTTGGCACCATTATTAATTAATTTTAAAACTAATCGTTGATTTATTTACGTACACAAAATTGAACCAAACAACTCTAAATATAAGAATTCCGTATAAGAATTATTTGCTTCTTTGTATTGTGATTTAATAATAAATAAATAGCATATTGTCTAGCCTTATAATATAATTTAATTGGTCCGACTGGTCTTGTTTTGGTCCGACTGGTCTTAGTCCGAGTAGTCTTTGGTCCGAGTGGTCTGGATACCTACGACAATTGGCATTGAGTTTGAGCGTTCGCACACATAACTACCCGCATTCCTGTATTTAGTTACCGTCTTTTACATTCTAGTAAAATCTCTGCAAATTTTATAGCTTTACTTTTTGAAATATTTTGTTCTAATTATTTGATTAGCGACTCGGATGGGAGTATTTACTTTTGAACACTCATGCCGCACAAACATAACTATACATTCGTTTTACGGGCTTTATCACACTTCGGTCAAAACTGTCGAATCGAGAATTTATGTTCCGCTTCTTACGGGGTCATACGGGCTTAGTAGCATTATATACCCACCCGGGCACCCAATACGGCAATAGACACGCTGAGGGCTGCCGCAACACGCTTAAAGATGTTACTGAAGCGGTTATTATTCGATCGAAAGAATGCGTATAAAATTAAAAATACACTCAGAGAATTCGGAGTTAAGCTTCATGATCCTTGTTAAATTATTTATAACATAAAGAAGATAGGATATTTATAGTTTATTCATGACTTTATTTTTACGAGTATCCGTGCAATCAGTGATATTTTAATTGTGAAGAAAATTTGATAGACTGGCGATCAATGGTTTCCATATAAATCTCCTATGTAATTGCCTTCAATTGATATTTTTCGTCGCCCAAACCCATATACGATCAAAATGATCGCGCTGTCAAACTATCTTTCAATGTTAACCAACCCCCGCAACAGGTATATTGGATTCGACCAATACGTCACGAAGACATTGTTGACATCGACTCTGTCGAAATTACAAGTAAATTTTCAAATTTTTCAAGAAAGAAATTGTTCTCATCGTTGTGATAATTAGTTGTCTAATGGATTTTATCGAACGGGAGTTCATTACAAACACACAGGTGAGTTTATAATAACCAAAGTTAAGTAGTTTGTTCATAATCGAAGAAATCCGTTTAAAATTTACGATGAATCAGACAGTAGATACGTTTACAATACCGAGGATCCCTTTGCCCAGGCAGTTCATTGACATTAGTGAATTATTTTTCTTTTAATTTCAATTCATTTAATGGTCTTTTTCGAACGGAATTTTTAAAGGACAATATTGGTGCCAGTCATTATCACATATGTGATAGAACTGGTTAAACACGTTCCAAATATTATTTTATCACAGAGATCATTGGCTACGATAGATGAATAATCAATGTTTCAACAATAGGAATTGACGAACATAAAAGGAAAACACGAGTTATCCCTCTATGTAACTGGCTGAAGTGACGGGTGATAACAAGATAATGGGCGAATTTCTGCTCACTAAAAATTCTTTCGAAGACCAAAAGTTGTTATATGAGACTGTAAGAGTATATCTGACAATTCCAAAAAGTAATTGCATGTCATTACATAAGAGAACACGAGAAAAATAGAAACAGTCCGTACATTCACGGGTGTTTATTCATTCCATACTTATAAAAACATGGTAATGCACGGACTTTTTCTATTTTTCTTTCATGTTCTCTTATCTAGTGACAGTCAATTTTGTTTATGAATTATCAGATATCCTTTCACAGTCCCATACAACAACTTTTGGTCTTCGAAGGAATTATTATTGAGCAGAAATTCGCCTATTTATCTGTTATCACCCGTCATTTCATTCAGTTATATAAAGGGATAACTCGTGTTTTCCTTTTGCGTTCGTCACTTCCTATTGTTGAAACATTGATTACTCATCTATCGTAGCAATGATCTCTGTGATAAAATAATATTTGGAACGTGTTTAACCAGTTCTATCACATATGTGATAATGACTGGCACCAATATTGTCCTTTAAGTTTAGCCTTTTCTTAATATGGGACCAAGAGCTATCCACGAAAACATATTGATTTACTAATTTCGAAAGTTACAAAACCCAAAAGAAATTTGTCGCCTTACTTTTCCGGCCATGTAAATGACTGTTGCGGGTGATATCCATTCTCTAGCATGTATACCTCCTTCAATCCAGATACCTGCCTTATTACTACTACTGTTAGATCTAATCTATAAATATAATTTATGATTATGATAATATAGACTGTACAACGGAGACTTACCAGAAGGTTTCTATTTATAAAGTTAATCGGTGTGATCACATTTATATCAAATTATAAACAAATTAATGGACGTAACTTTATACCTGAATGGCTAACATTTCTCTTCCCTCGAACGATTTGACAATACTGACCATATCAGCAATATTGGGATATGTTTTCGTTATATCCTCAACCCATCCTTGAATCTGGAAACACAAATCACTAAAATATAACAAAATAAGAGCAATAAAACGGGTCATTAGAATATTTGGTGTTACAATGTTTTATCTTTCTTGGCTGTATAAATGGGTTTTTTAAAATAACATTTTAAAAATTCCATTCTGTTGAAGCTGCATATTATAAATAGCTAATATCTATTTTCACCAATATCGTCAAAGATACCTACCTCTTCCAGGGTGTGGTATTTTCCATAATCAAAATCAGCGTTAATATCACCACTTCCCTTGTTTGTTTCTAGCTGATAATTAATGCCTTCTTGTAAATCATTCATTAATACAACTGGATTCATCCCCAATCTTTCAAAACTGTCAATAACTGTACGTAACTCATCTTCATTGCCCGAAAGATCTAAAGGTATATCAATTCCTGCTGATCCACGCCAAATGTCTACCTTCAAATATAATAATTATTAAGAATTGGTAGTCACATTATGCACACTATTTTCTGAAAGGTTCTATTGTCATTTCGGATTCTTGGGGAAAACCATCTTCAATAGAAGGCATGATCTCGCTTTAACTACGTACATCTTATCAAGGTGTTGTGAAACTCGCATTCGTTGCTTCAGGAACATAGAAATTATCACAGGAATACTACTATGAGTTAATGTATCAATGATATTAAAACAATATAGACTTTATTCTTTTTCCGATAAATAATTTTTCACTTGGATCTAACAGGTGTAAGACAATAATAATGGTTTTGGTAATGCAGGTTAGGCCGTTAATAAAAAAAAATACTCTTAATAAGTGTTTTTTTCTGCATTTTTTAGATTAAAAAGAGTTAATTAATTTATTCTTTCATACAATGTCATGTTTATTTAAAGAACCGGTTAAAGCAGTGGTTCTCAACCTTTTTTTGCCAACGGCACACCTTAGAACACATGAAGAAGTAGTGGCACACCTGGCTAAATATATATAAAAATATCTGAATTTTGCAAAATAAAAACATGGTAAGTCAGACGGCATACAACCGTAGACAGAGATTAGTCATAGACACTTAGAATGACTCAAACTAAATAAAGAAAAAACACAGCTATGAACTTATCAGTGGATACTCAATTGGGGTCACGTATTTTTTCCCGTTTTCTTAGTGTGCCGTTCAAAATTTCGCGGCAGACTTAGGAAGATATCGCGACACACTGGTTGAGAATCACTGGGATACAGGTACACAGTGGAAGATATTTGACTCATCATCATCATCGATCAAAGACATTGGCAATTAAACATACATTATACAAGAGCTAAATCTGTCTATTGCAGGTCTTTCTTTAGGCCTGAAATGTTATCTAAATTATTAATTAGACATTAATTAACCTACCCAGACCATAATCAACTCTAGATGACAGCGCTAGCCTGCGATCTTTAGTGGATTGTGAGCCGATTTATTGCATAACTTTCCTTCGCGATTTAACGATTAAATGGATAATCGAGACTATGCTGTTTATCGTACTGACTTTAGTAATGATGATCAAGGCTAGCGGGAAATTTCAACCGCTTAGTTCTCGGTTCATGGTGGATCAATTTGAATGAAATTTTCAGCAAATTGCCTTTACATTATCTAGTTTTTAACTATTATAGTGAGAACTGCCAACTCGTTATCGAATCTCCCATAATGTATCTTTAAATAATGCATTAGGTGAATAAACTTACCTTTCCTGGGTTGAATTGAAATTTTTCCACATATTTGAATTGATCTTCGTTGTGGGGAATAAATCTGATAACCTTGTGTCTGGAAAATAAAATCGGGATATTATTGGTTTAATTCATAAATAGATTTGTGAATTCACCAAAACTGTATATGAAAAGGTCTTACCCACTATAGTTTACTTTTGTGGCAGCACAAAAGGTAACTAAACACAAAATTAGACAGAGGGCGTGTGTCCCCTCCATGGTTTGAATATAGATTAAGCCTGATAAATTTACGATATGAATTTTACCATCATAAGTATGTCACACCTTCATCACAAGATATACGTTATCTTGTATTTACTGTCATATGTTTCGCGTTTTATCTATAAGATTATGTAAGAGCTAAATCTTATTATTGCAGATCTTTCTTTTGTACGGTGGATGATTTAGGACACGCAAAAAAAAATATAATATCTCGAGCGCTCGAGATACTAAGTCGAGCGCTCGAGATAGTTAAGTCGAGTGCTCGTGATACTAAGTCGAGCGCTCGAGAAAATACAATCGAACACGTCTCAACCAATGTTTTAAGCTGTATAATTTTGTGCATTATTTAATGATAAACTTGCAGAATAAAGATATCCATTTGTTCGTTTTTACAGCCCACCCAAAGTTGCAGTGACGGAGCCCCCCCCCCCCCCCCACACACACACACACACAAACACACACACTAACACACACACACTCCATCCCATGCTCATCACCACCACTAAATATTTCCAGTTATATTTATCCCCTTCCAAGGGGGGAGTATAAGGCATGTTATTATAAGAATCAATATCGAGGTTACAGAGTTTTGCTAGGAGAGACTGACATTTTCTCTTATCTAGAAGCTCGGGTCTGATCCAAGGTTATATATTTCATATGTGTAGGAACTCTTCATTGCCTAATTTACCCTGGCGCAAGTGGCACGATCTTCAACATTCACCCCCCCCCCCCTTCGCGCCCAAAATCAATAGTTGCCACCTTGATGCCATAAGAAATACATAATAATATGCCAAGTTCCAAGCTGATCCATTCAGAATTGCGGCCTGTAAAATTGTGCGTGGCTCTGCCCCTGGGGGTCGGGACATCCAGTTGTCGTCTTTGGGCTATAAGGAATACATATGCCAAAATCCAAGACGATCCATTAAGAATCCTGGCCTGTAGGCAACACAGAGATACACAAAGAAAAAAATGGGTGTGGCGCTGATCCTGGGGACCAGGCAATCACCAAAAAAAAACCCAAAAAACAAAACAATAGGGGTCATCGTTAGGGTATAAGGAATAGGTATGCAAAGCTTCAAAAGGATCTGTTAAGAATTGTGCCCTGTAGGAGAAACACACACAAAAATTTGATGTGGCTCTGTCCCAGGGGGCCAGACATGCACCAAAAATAATAGAGGTCATCTTTAGGGTATAAGGAATAAGTATGAAAAGTTTTCAAGATGATCGATTAAGATTTGCGGCCTGTAGGGTGCGGGGATTGAATGTAGAAGCCCGGAAGATCGCGCCACTTGCGCCAGGGTCAATTAGGCAATGATCAGAATGAAATAAATAACCTTGAATCAGACCCGAGCTTCTAGATAAGAGAAAATGTCAGTCTCACCTAGGAAAACTCTGTAACCTCGATATATACAATTATTGATTCATATAATAACTTGCGATATATTCCCCACTTGGAAGTGAGTAAATATAACGTAAAATATTTAGTGGTGGTGATGAGTATGGGATGGAGTGGGTGGGTGTGTGTGGGTGTGTGTGTGTGTGTGGAGGGGGGGGGGGGTCCGCTCCGTCACTGCAGCTTTGGATGTTCTGTAAAAACGAACAAATGAATATCTTTATTCTGCAAGTTTATCATTAAATAATGCACAAAATTATACAGATTAAAACATCGGTTGACCCGTGTTCGATTGTATTATCTCGAGCGCTCAACTTAGTATCACGAGTGCTCGAATTAATTATCTCGAGCGCACGAATTAATTATCTCGAGTGCTCAAATTAACTATCTCGAGCGCTCGACTTAGTATCTGAAGCGTTCGACTTAGTATCTCGAGCGCTCGAGATATTTTTTTTTTTTTTTTGCGTGTCCTAAATCAGCCACCGTACTTTTGTCTATTAATTAGATATGTTTTCACATGACAAGGCCATACTCAACTCTCTAGAGCATCGGGTAGTTGTGATTTTGAACGGATTGTAACACGGTCGCTATTTAATAATTTAATTTAAAAATGGATAATCGAAACATTGTTTATTATCATAAGTTAACATCAATAAAAATCGTGGCTACACTATTTTTCAAACAGTCATATTTCACTCATTCATTATCTATTTTTAAACTATTATTGCAAGAACTGTCTGCTCTTTATCTAAATCCTACATAATGCATATCTAAGCATTCAAACTTTGAATTTAAATAGATTATGAAATCTAACGAACAGTAAAAAAAAAAAAAAAAATTGATGTGGGTATAAACTATGTGTGAGTTTCGGCTTGAGTGAAGTCAGTGTTTCTCGTTTCGCGCATACTTTGATATAATTATCTTCACACAAAGATGGTGAACATGACTAAAAACCTTTAATAACCCATCCACTAACACCTGGGTTAATCTATGGTGGGGGGGAGCACATTTTTAAGTTATCCACCCTTGATGATTGTGCTATTTTTATCGACCAATCCCATAAATCGTTAATTGAAAAGGAAGTTGGCAAAGGATAGTAACTCTCATCGGACAAGATTAGGAGTTAGCCTAAATGAGAGAAGTCCAAATTATTCTAAATGCGTATTTATAAACAAATTATATAATATTATATTAATGAAGACCGGACGTTCATATATATGTAGGTTCAAGAGTTTTATTGGAAGCGTTCGTTCGTTCGCGAAGTTTTACGTCCACGTGATATTGTAGAAAGTTTATTGTGAATACCTGGTGCTTTAGAAGTCATATCGCATTGTGAATCAAATTGCCAAGTACAATGTATCTGTTCAATAATAATAAACATAACAAAATGAAACATTTCAGACAAAGGACGAATAGTAATAATAATAACAAAAGTCAAACATATAAATGTCAAACATACATATTTGAAATCAGCGAAATATACTACAGATTTTGATAATACAATTAAATAGAAATGAATTAGAAATATATACATCATTTACATAAATCATTCAGTAAATGGACATGAATATGGTTATTTACCCTTATAAAAGTAAAGGCGAAACGACTGGTTTGTAAACTGTTTTTGATTGGTTCGTAGACTTTAGTGGTGTAGATCGGAATGACAACACTGGGGATACCGAGGATGGACTTGTCTGAGTCCATATCTGTCAATGTGTAGAGTTACTTCCCTTGGATTATGCAACAAACAAGATGGCTGCCCCCATGTACTCCAAAAATTATCTCAAAACGATTTTATTGTTATCAAGAGGTATTTAATTCAGTTTAGAACATTAATCTTCTTAATATTTAACAGGCATTGCATGAGTAGAACGAAGCTGATGTGATTTTTGTTAAATATAAAACTTCATAATTAAATTTCTGATAAAAATAAGGAAAGGTCCAATCTAGATTTTATTTTGGAGAATAAAACTGTTTAATTTGTGTAAAAAACCCTTGAAATCCTCTACCTTAGGGAAGAGAAACTAACTCAGTATACGTGTTCTGTTTTCAAACAATTTAAACCCGTCAGTCTGATATGTCACATGTGGAAATGGCGAGACCTGTGTCCCAAGCTGTATTACTACACAGTGTCTGGATAAAACCAGACTATGAGACTTTTATTTTATAAAAATAACATGGGCACATTAGCGCTATAACATGCAGGTGAAATTTACCTTTCGTTGTCAAGTACAGCATGTGTCTTGTGTGTCATGCACTGTATAGACCTCTAAAGGAACGGCAATAGATTGTCAGGTCACCCAAGGAAAAAATTGACCTGAAATCTTAATTTGTTGTTTAAATTTCATATGTACAATTTGTACATGGACTTTTATTTCTGAGACCCTGTTAAAATTGGGATGGTCCCTTTAAAGGAGCTAAATCGCTAATATTTGGGACCAAGAAATTAACACAGTTGGGTCGCACTGCATATAATAATGTAATATGAATGTATATAAACTGATGTACATGTACATTCAATTGTTTCCGTTTTTACAGTAATTTCAAATTACTGTCTGTTCCAGGTAATACTACGACTCGAAAATTGCTAGTCATTTCTTCAAATTTTAATTAAAATGGCTAAAACTTCGTGAAATACCTCAAATGGTCACCCCATTGCTTTCTTTCTTGTGAGAACTAAGTTCAGGTCAAGTTTTATAGTCTTTCTCCTTTGTAAAATCGAAGTTTGTTGACATCTTACTACTGGAAACAGCCATGTTTGGCCTAGTTATCTGGGCGAGCCTAAATGGACAAGGGGTGCTGGGTTTGCTTTAAGTCGTTTCACCCTACTTGGATGTATTGGTGGTTGTTTCGGTCCAGTAAAATATAACTCTTTTCAAAGAGTTATTTACTGAATCCCAGACCACGGTTGTTTGTCCCACTAACTTGAATAGTTAATTGCCCCCCGTCCGAAGGTTGTAATTTTTTTATATCGATATAAGCTACATGCAAATTTTAACCCGCTACCGTGCTGACATGTGATAGAATTGTGGAAGGAGGCTGCAAGACATACTCAAACGTAACTCGGTCCACAATGTCCATTGGTAATGGGGGTTTGCATTATTCAGTGGCTTAAAATTTGCCTTGAGAACTGTTGGAAATTTTAAACTTGAGCTAAGACTGGCATGTAGCGCAATTCCCAATGAAACCAAAAATAATACTACTATACTATTCAAAAAAAGTAGGGGATATTTGATTTTGGGGGCATAATACTAAAATATGCAAATGACTATGAAAAAAGTCACTATAGAACCTAACAGAAGAAACATTTCCAGTTACATGTGACGCCCAAACGCACCAATAGCTACCGCATGGAATGCAGGTGATGCTTGGGATCATCATGGGGGTCCAACCCAAGATTTGCACGACTCTGACTTTGAATGTTACAGTCATTGTGGCATTGAATTCCAGGGTGGAAACATCAGTTTAATTGTTTTAGTGACCAGAAAACAAATTTTGATATGCGTCGGCTTACCCAAAATGAAAGGTTACGTGCCCTTGGCATGCTACAGATCGGCACAACACAGGCGGTTGTGGCGCGGACGATGAATGTTTCTCAGTCTGTCATAAGCAGGCTATGGTCCAGATACCGTGATACACAATCTGTACAGGACAGATCACGCTCAGGTCGACCAAGGGCGACAACTCAAGCCCAGGATCGATTTATCCGTACCTTGGCCTTGAGAAATCGTGTCATCACAGCAAATCAGATCAGCGCTCGTCTTCAAATAGACACTGGTGTGAGAGTGAGTGGCCAGACGATTCGGAATCGACTGCATAGGGGTCACCTTCGCGCCCGACGTCCTCGCGTGATCCCTTGTTTGAGAGATCATCACATTCAGGCAAGACGTCGTTGGTGTAGGGATCGTCAACACTGGGATAATCGACGCTGGAGCAATGTGATGTTTTAAGATGAGTCAAGGTTCACTGTTGATTTTTTGGACAGACGTAGGAGGGTGTGGCGTCATCGAAACGAGCGCTTCCAAGACGTTAACGTCATCAGACATGATCGATTTGGGGGTGGTTCTGTTATGGTGTGGGGAGGCATCACTGTTGCTGGAAGAACGGCTTTACATGTTGTGGCAGGGCGTGTTACAGGCCAGTACTACCGGGACAACATCTTGGCAGTCCATGTTGTGCCGTTCGCACGACGTCATGGCCGCCGTTTCATCTTCCAGGATGACAACGCAAGATGTCACAGGGCCAGGATCGTTACAGGTTACCTCCAACAACAGAACATCACCACATTACCTTGGCCAGCACTGAGTTCCGACCTCTCCCCCATCGAGCATGTCTGGGACATGCTTGGACAGAGGTTACGTCAACGTCAACAACGTCCTGCCAATGTCCAAGAACTTGCTGCTGCGTTGCAACAGGAATGGGACAATCTGGACCAAAATGACCTTAGACGTCTCATTAGGAGTATGCCACGTCGGATCAATGCTTGTTTGGCAAACAGAGGAGGATTTACCAGTTACTGACTTGGTTGTGATGCTGTGGTAACTTTGCTGTTTGACCCCGGGTATCATTTTACCCTTATAATGGTCAGTCTGTGCCTTACTTAGTCTAACGATCATTTGAAATAAATCGATGAATGTGAACTTCATTTCATTTTGTCATTTGTTTCTTCGTCAGTTTCATTAGGTGACTTTAATAACACTTAAAAATCAAATATCCCCTACTTGTTTTGAATAGTATATTATAAAAGATCATTTAGACAGTTATTAAATCAATAACATGACATATGTGACTGTTATCTAAAGATTAAGATAGAGAGCTGATAGTTTAAATATTATAGTTTAAAAATAGATAATGATAAAGGAATATATTGACACTTCAGTCAAATTACATAATTCTGAACGAAGTTTTGATAAGAAAAGCGCAGTCTCGATTTCCATTGCTACCATTTTTACGATAATAACAATATTTTCGATTATCCATTTCACTCCATTAAAATTCACGACCATACGATACTTTAGAGGGTTGATTATGTAGGCCTACTGGTCATGAGAATAAATGTCTAATTAATAATTTAAATAACATTTAGGGCCTAAAGGAAGATATGCAATGGGCAAATGTGGCTCTTACATAATGCATCTTTAAAAGAAATTCACTTACATGTACATACGGCACGGGCCATTACTGTGTAGATTGTGGATGGTCGCTAATTGGTCAGGTCAAATGTATCTAATTTTGGTAAACTGTTTTTAACCGTCCTTAATTTGCGATCCGGCTTTGTAGAGCCCCGTACAGAGAATTTACGTGTATATTTAGAACGTAGGCAATATTTTTTTAAAAACTTTTCATTGGTTTATAATTCACTGTATTATGTTTCTCAAATAACTACAGTAATATAATTGTTTGACACATTCCTTGACATATCGCGTAATTTTTATCTTGAAATTGTGCATAACAATATTCCATTATTTAAGGGGCTATATTTTCCTAACATTCGTTTGTTTTATTTTTCTTTTCTACTACAACATAAGAAACAAATATGTTGTGCCTAAATCCATGGACCTTATAATACGTGGACTGGCAACGGCTTAATAACTTAACCAGAGATGTGTGCCGCGCTGTAATTTGAGACATGTCGCGGTAATTTGAGACGTGTCAATCACGACCAAACGAAAGTTGTTAACGAGTTATGTCCCTTCGCGGCGTCTGTAGTTACCTGGCATGCGTACTGCTCCATTATGAGTAAATGGCTTACAACACCTATAAATAAATTTGCGAGCCGTCGGATGTTTATATTTTATTGAATAATATGCCAATAAAATTAAACTTATTTTAAACAAAATTTCTTGCTTCTTCTATCTAAATAAACTGGGCAAAACTGTGGGATAATTTGGGTCAAATCAAATACAGGTTTATTCATGATTGTTGAACAGTACATGCATTGGTACGGTACTTGAAAATATCACAAAACAAAATAATTTTTTAAAAATGTTAATATTTGTTTTAAAAATAAGAATTTTGCCTAGTACCGTAGATAAGATATCAAAGTTTACAGAGAAAGGGATCATTAATTCCAAAAATAAATGTTTCACTGATTGAAAGCAAAAATAAAATGACATATTTTTTCATAAAATTGTCTAAAGTGTTATTTTCGTTGTTTTTAGGAAGTAATTAACTATATTCCACTTTTTTAAAAATCAATGATTTTTTTTCCAAAGCATGCCTTAGATTCACGTGTATCAGAATTATTTCAGAAAATATGAATTATAAGGTCCATGCTAAATCTAAAGATCTATATTTAAAGGAATACCGGTACGGTATGTGAAACTATTGTAAATCCAAAATTTTTTAAGATATCTTACAAATATTTTACACTTTATCCCAAAGTTTACTATTCCAATCCGATTAAAATACAAATCTGTATTTCGTTTCGTTTTTTATACTTCCGATGGCCTACATTACTTGAAGATCTGACAAGTAAAAGTTGAAGTTCACATCGGGGGTAAACAGTGCAGGGGCGGATCTAGGAATTTTGAAAGGGGGGGGGGGGCGCCGCAAAATGAGGGCACTGACCGAGGAGACGGGGCACGCCGCTGAGAGGGTTTTTTTTGCGGGGGGGTCCCCCAAGAAAATTATCCGTCATTTCCTTGTATCTGTAGCCACTCCAAGAGCTATTTGGCTGATATTTTTGTCTAAGTAAACTACATCAAGTTGAACTCATGCGCGTCGGTGATGGGCATGCACCAAATTTGTGAAGTACCTGTCTACCCTAATGCGAAATGCAAGCGCCCCATTTAACGCATGCGTAGTCGAAATGTTTATGTTCTGAGAAAGTGACAATGTCGAAATATATGAAATTTACAAGAGAATACTGGATTTTATCGGACTTCTAGTCATTTATTCTAAGGGAAGAAATCAAAGGGATGACAATTCCAGGTATGTCACAAAGTTTTAGCCATTGTAATTAAAAAATGAAGGCATGGCAAGCATTTTTCGAGTCGGAGTATCAGCTGGAACAGACAGTAGTTATGTTCCGTGAAATACGCCAGAAGTCTCAATCAAATGGCAATCTCTAGCGTCTGGTTATTCCAGTCTACACCGATAGTATTTATTGCGCATGCTCTCCAGATAAGAATATGCCATCGCCGTTTGACATGATTTGTGGAATATGTCTAGCCTCGTTCTTCGAGTCCCTTGTTACAAATGGCGCTGGAACGCATTATGGTACACAATTCGTGTACCAATAGTAAAATGTTTATTTTGTCTTGAATATTGGATATCAGAAGCCCATCTTTTCCCGGTAAGATCACAACATCACTGTTGATTTTAATTGATTTAAATTGACAAATAATTTATGTTTACGATGTCGAAGACTTTTAATGATATTGATAGAGACTTAGCTATTTTAAGTTACTGCTTGAACTGGCAGAAGAGTAGTAATGTAAAAATAAATGTGACTTGCAATTGCACAATAATTTTGATAATACCGCTGAGCTGGGCTGTAGAATTAGACCATGACTACATGTTTAGATTCTGATCTCGCTGTAAAATTTAAAATGACTACTAGTAGGCTAGTACTAAATTAAATTTCACTGTAAAACTGAAACTTGCAGGGTACCATTTTTTCTCAACATACTGATATCCTTCAAAATATGCAATGTCTACTAATTGATAATTGAGGGGGATCACGTGGCTAAGTGGGTAAGACGCTGGCTCGCTAGCCTAGAGGTCGGGTGTTCGATCCCTGCATTGGCCGAGAAAGTTTATTCAGATTTTCCGACGTGGTTTCCCCCTTGTCAGTGTTGCAGCATGAAGGGCCTGACAAGGACAGCTGTCTAGTCGTTCGGATGGTATGAAAAACCGAGGTTCCATGTACACATTGGCGTGCACGGAAAAGATCCCTTTGCAGTTGGAATTCGATATAAGAGTAGGCCGTATTATGTAAGACTTTTAGATTCTACCATATGTGTATTATGTAAATTCTCATTGATCTAAAGACATCTATTGGTTTTCAATATTTTTCTATAAAAACTACACAAGCTAGGCCCTTTTGTTACTAAATCACATTAGAACTTATACATGTAGGCTGCTGTGCAGTTATTAACTTATCCTTGTGAAATTTATATTTACAACACGATCCAGCATTCTTCCTCTTTGTTAGAAAATCCTGTTAATATCTTAGATAGGCTTGAGTTATAATGAGCTGATCTTTTTATTTGACATTTATGAGTAGGTTAATTCATAACTGTTTGAACAACTTACACATAGATTGTGGTGGGCATATGTTTAATTTCCTGGCAAACTATATTTTGATCATAATTCTGATGTATCTTTTAGTTAAATCTTTGAAATACATGTATAATCTCTGTGGGCTTAAGGTAGACTAAAACCAGTATGTAGTAATGCTGTGACATGACATTGTGAAGATATGTATCTTTAGTATGTGTCAGTTTTTAATTTACATAGATTTTTACAGTATGACAGGAAAAGGATTTTATGAAATTTGTGGCATTCTTTAGATATCTGACTTTATTATTTTGGTTTTGTGAACAACACTTGTTTTAGTATCTGTATATATTGAATATAAAAGAAAATGCTTTATTTTGTACATTATGTGTGATTCTGTATAATTGTAAAGCTGGCAGGATTCAACTTACTTAAAGCAGTGAACAGTTTTAACTCTTTTCTAATATGAAGTTGTATAATATAGGAACAAATAGTACTGCAATGAAAAATTTCCCTCCGACACAAACCTAAAGATTACATGATTAGCATTGTGTTAAGCATCAATACATTTTTATCATTTCAACAACCGATTATTTTGTAACTATTTATTTGATACCAAAAATCCTATCTTGATGTCATTTTGGATTTATTTTGCAGATTAAAGTATAGAGTAACCTTTTTATCATTATATCTACCTAGTTATCTCCATCTTGATTAAAATCATTTGTATCTGAAATTTAAAGTTTACGTTTCTCTACTAAGATGTTTCAGAAATGGCTTCCAGTATTTTTTTAAAGTTTGAATGCCATAAAATCATACACTATTTAAACTCTCTAATCCTGCCAGCTAAATAAACTTTGTTATTTCTATCTGTTTCAGATATTTGATAAATTGACTATTGCAGTCCACAGTCAGTTATCATCATTAGAAACATAACCATTGCCTACCTGTTACAGTAGTTAACATCAAAATGGATGTCAATGAAGAAACCGCCCTAAAGGAGGTGATTTCAGAACAACCTTTGAAGGAAATCATGAACTTTTTACAACACAAGGATGGGAAAGGCCTGAAAAAATTTGTTCTGGATCGTAAATTATCAGATGAGACAATTTATTGGGAAGTATGCTCAGAAGTTTGTCATCATATAACTGAGCACAACTGTATTAATAACAATATTTTGTTTGAAGCTTGTGAAATGTGTTTGAGATATATGGTAACCGAAGGAAATCCAAAGGAATTACTTCTGGCATTGTTAGAGCAATGCGAGTTTTTTGACGATGATATCAGATTTACTACTCTTATGTTCCTTATTCAGAAAACATTATTAAGGTTGCCAAACAAAAGATTTCACTCATTAGACCTCGCACTGGAAACGCTAACAGGGCATATTTTATCAAAACCAATCCCAGAGGACAATGCTCTAGAAAATGAAGAAAGGAAACTTCTTGCTATGGATGGAAGAGTTCAGCAAATAAACGATGTTCTCAAAGCATTCCTTGATTTTCTTAAGCCGTTTGTTGAAGAGGTATCATTGAAAAACTCATGCAACCTACATAATGAAAATATACAAGCCCAGATTCTTGTGTTAAAAATTCATCTGTTGAAGATCTTAAATCAGCCTGTAATATACCTTGATTTACATGTTGAATCCGACAGCTACGTTGGTAAAAGTGATAGTCGAGTCTGTGTTGAAAAGTTGATGAATTTATTCTCCCATTTGGAAACCAATTTCCAAAAAATGATGGAATTTGCAGTCAATAAGAAACCATTGATCATAAAGCTGGATGAAAATTTTCGAAAAACTGAAATGGAGATTGAAAATGAAGAAAATGAGAGACGTCTGAATAAAAAAGCCAAAAAAAATTCTGCAAAAGTTCCTAGTCTAAGATTCAGTGAAATCATACCAACTCATAGTCTCTGTTGTTTGTCTTATTTGATTCATTCTGAACAACTTGGCACTGATCAGTTACCATGTGTTTATTCAAAGTCTTATCTCTTTGAGTTTAATTTACCATTTATAGTAGACATGTTGAAAACTACAAAGTCACTTTTGCTTTTTAAAGGCTTGAAACTTTTGAAATCATTTGTTGGTATTTTACCCAGTGACAGTATATCTGGCTATAGACTAGACAATGACAATTATAGCAAAGTTATAAACAACCTTATTGAAATTATGATCAGATGTTCAATGAAAGATCTGCGACAAGAAGCGGTGCAACTTTTTACTGGTTTGATTAAGCTCTTCCAACATAATGGCCGCTATCAGTTATATCAGAACATTCTGAATAAGTGTAGTCATTCTGGGGTCAAAGGTTATGTGATTAATCTCATAAAAGATGAAATAAAAGACACACTCAAGGAAAATATACCCAATAAATCGTTCTTAGGACAACGTCTGAAACGGTTAATCAAGATAGCTACCACCTTACCTGACAAAGAAACAACTGATCTATTGGAACATTCTGACAGAATTATTACAGTTCTTAATTTATTACGATATCTTGTTATCCGTGATCCACCTAAACAAAACACTACAGGAATTTGGGAAGAATTGAAGAACATGGAAATAGATTTTTTGAAACCGTTGCGTGTTGGATTGGACATGTCTAAAGCTCACTACAATCTTGAACTTCAGAAATTCACAGATGAAAAGAAAAAGAAGAAAATGGTGCCAGATTTTGATGTGTCTGTGGGTGGTGTTCATCTTCCACCAGTTACGGAAAATCAAGAAATCCAAGTTATGCATTCAGCACTCAATACATTTGATATGATTGACAGTTTATTGACCAGACTTACAGAAATAATTGAGCAACAAACAATTTGAAAATTAATTGTTATGGCTTAGAAACTTGTGATACATTTTAAAGAAATAAGTTTTGAATTGAAACAAGATGAAACATCATGCTTCCTTTAATGATTCTGATAAACATTCTCTTATTTTATAATGTTGGTGCTAACTTTAGACTCTGGATGAAGTCTGTTTTTAACAATTATTTAGTTTACATGTGGTCTGAATCCGTCTTGTTAAAGAATAAGTGTTATGTCCCTTTATTTTCGGTAAACAATGTCTTGACAGGAAAAATTTTGAAATAGCAACACTGGTGTATGACTCTATCATGATAAAATGTCTACTACATGTATGACTTTACTAATTTGTTCCTGAAGAGAACTAAAATACTAGCAGCTTTGTAAAACATAAATTTCTGTTTGTTTTTCTAGTCTTATATGTTTTTTGTAATTGTTCCACAGGTTCTTCCAATTCCTGATCTTACTTTACATTACATTACTAATCTTGTTCCTGAAGAAAACTAAAAGTCTAGCAGCTTTAAAAATACACAGATTTAAAAATTTGTTTGTTTTTTATGGTCTTACCTGGTTTATTGAAATTGTTTCAAGGATACCTCTAATTCATGTTTTTCTTTTACTAAACATTAAAGAATCATTATGTGAGAGAACTGGTCTATTGCCAAGTGTGTTTCAGGCTTTAAATGTTATATAAATTATTATGTGAACATTTATTCACATGGCAAACCCATAATCAGCTCTCTAGACCATCGGATGGTTTAGATAAGGAGTTGATTTGATAGTGGGGTGGGGGTGGGTAAGTGGATGGCCGAATGGTTAGCACATGCGTGCTGTATCATACGATCTGTCATTTGAGTTAACTGGCGGGGTTTCGATTCCCCGGTTGTACGTGACAAGGAGTAGGGGTGCCTATTCAACCTCGTGGGTTTTCTCTGTGTCCTCCGTTTTCCTCCCACTGCTAAAGACCCCTACGTGCAAGCGAATTATTGAAATAAAATTGAACCATATGTTAGTCCCTAAATGACCTAGTTTGTGTTGAGTGGAGTTAAACCCCATTCTTTATCTCTCTCTCTCTCTCACTCTCTCTCTCTCTCTCTCTCTCTCTCTCTGATTTGACAGTGTCTGCCAAATCTGCATTTAAATGATAATATGGCCGGAGAAAGCTGCTGAAACAAGTGACAATCAATATTTCGCTGATTATCATGACAATGGTGCTTGACAAACGAGAACATCAATGGCAGGTGGAGTTTCCGTCTGTTCAATAAATTCAATTTTCATTATCTATTTTTAAACTATTAAAGCAAGAGCGGCCAGCTTTTTCTCTAAATCTTGCTTAATGTATCTTTAATCTTTGTCCTTTTGCTTAAACATCCAACTTTAAACAAGAAAGGAACTTCAAAAGACCACAACTACAAAGAATTGTGTAATAATATAAGATATTAATTGCGACTGTTTAATAAGTTGTTAATGAGTAATTAGGGTAGTTAACCTGATAATAATTTGATCTCGGTCACACACAATAAAAAGTGAGAGAGATAAGAGAGAGAGATTAGGGTCCACTGGACCCAAACTAGGTCATTTTGGGACTAACATATGGTTAATTTTATTTCAATAATTTGCTTGCGCGTAGGGGTCTTTAGCAGTGGGAGGAAACCGGAGGACCCAGAGAAAACCCACGAGGTTGGACAGCACAAAAGTCAATAAAAAGACAAGGCTTTTGTTTGATGTATACTTTAGATTATCCATCGCTCATTACAGCATCTGTCAGTCTTACAAATTACCCCAAAAAAGGTTGGCATTTTAACCTAATCAGACCATGTTAAATTCAGAAACATATTGGTCAAACTTTAAAATCGATTGATACTAAGTAATGGTTATCTGAAGTTATGTGGGTAATGATGCCTGGAAAGCGGCACTACGACCTATTCTTATTTTGATTGGGAACTTTCATGGACACAGGACCTCAGTTTTTGTACCATCCAAGTACTCTGTCCAACACCACTGACAAAGGGTTAACCAAACAGCCAACATGGGATGGAACAACGGACCTCCTTGTTAATCACTGACTGAGCCACCATGGCTTCAAGATGTTCCAAGTAGAAATTTCAATAAAATGTTAGTATAACTAATTGGCTATAAGTTTAGAGACATGTCTAAATATAAGCTCTTTGCTCATATGAACATGCAATATCATTAAACATACATTATGCAAGAGCTAAATCTGCCTATTGTAGGTCTTTCTTTAGGCCTGAAATGTTATATAAACTATTAATTAGACATTAATTAACGTATCAAGACCATAATCAACTCTCGATGTCAACGCTAGCCTGCGATAATTGTTAGATTATGATCCGATTTGCTGCATAACTTTCCTTCTCGATTTAATGATTAAATGGATAATCGAGACTATGATTTTTGTCGTACCGACTTCAGTAATGATGACGGAGGCTATGCAAAACTTTTGATCGCTTATTTCTCGGTTCATAGTGGATCAATTTGACTGGAATTTTCAGCAAATTGCCTTTACATTATGTAGTTTTTAACTATTATTGTGAGAACTGCCAACTCGTTATCTAATCTCCCATAATGTATCTTTAAGATTTGGATAGAATTTGAACTAACCTACTTTCTGTCACATCTATGTTCCACAAATGAGAGTTGTATTTATAATTGAACGAAACAAAAGCTCTAAAATACATGAATATGTTTGGGTTTAAAAATTCCCCACAGAACACAGCCCTGTACATTATTGCACTCAGATTGATTGGCCATTAAGTTCATATTCTGATTACAAACTTCAAAGAATATGTCATTGTTGTACAACGAAACTACTTTTATCATCTGATTTTAATCAGACTGGAATTTAATGAAATCTGGCGTAAGTTTTTAATGTCCTACTTTTCTGCTCCTGCAGTGTGCTATAACAAAATTGAATTCCAACCGTCAAATCTTCTTTATGTACACATGACCTCCGTTTTTCTGTCCCATCCGAACGACTAACTCAACCAACATCAGGATCAAACCCAGGACCTCCATGTTAGGTAACAAGTGCCTCACTTAGCCACCTCAGCTCTTAAATGAGACTGGAGTTATGTATTTATATTTCGAAAGTTCCATGAAAATTTGATGAATGTTATTTTTCAGGTATAAATCAAGCTTTTCAGTTACAATTTAGAAGTTTAAGTAAAACATGTAGAAATTTTGGTAATGAAGATAACACAACATATACAGATGAGTTCACAAATGAGTAAGTAAAAAAATGATGTTACATGTAAGGCCTACTGCACGTCAGGGCATGTGTCATGATTTAAGAATTTAAGACTGGTATGAAGGAGTGTCAAGTTTGTTGTATTCAGAAATCACATGTTCCTAATGAATAACACTACAGATTAACAATTCATGCTATTGAATAAATAAAGCTGATGGGGGCTTATGTACTGCCTGTTTCTGGATATATTGAGTTTTAAACTATGTTGATCTATGCTTTATTATAAGGATTTGACTTCCTCAAAAAAAAAAGATTGAATTTGACAATTGTGTCCTGTTTCTAGGTTTGTCTTGTGTTATTGTGTGTGGTGTGGTCCCCTGCGCTTACTATTAACTATTTTTTACCATATTAAACATACATTATGCAAGAGCTACATCTGCCTATTACAGGTCTTTCTTTAGACCTGAAATGTTTTCTGAATTATTAATTAGACATTAATTAACTGATCCAGGCCATAATCAACTCTTGATGGCATCAGATTTATTCGATATTAAATAGATTAGAACGGTTCAGCCATATTTTGATTTATTTTAAAAATGGAGGAGCGAGAGTTAGCTCCAGTATGGTGGTTGAAATTATTGCACACATCTTGTCAAACCTTCAAAGGCTAATATCTTTGCTCACAATAGAGTAATTTAAATGAAATTTTCACATTATTCATTTTACATTATTTATTTTCGAACTATTATAGCAAGAATGGCTAGCTCCTTATCTAAATCTTACATAATGTATCTTTAAGTTCAATTTTTTGCAATTGATAAGTTAAAATATTTTTCTTATTCCATTTTAAAATTATAAATTTTGGAGGATTAAATTTAAATAGATGACCTTGAAAAAACATATCTTTTAATGTAACCTTCTTATTAGAGCAGCAGGACGTTAAACCTCATTTCATTTATTTAATGTAAAAATATTTGACTTCAATCATAGACCTAAATACCTAAATATTAATATGACAAATATCCTGTTGACTCTTGTTTGACCAACATTTTTATATCAACCACTTGAATACGCAATAAAATTGGAATACGTTCTTGAGAGAATGTAAAACTAGGTGTGAATTAAAATAGGATATGATTCGACATTTCATTTTATTCATTGAATGTTTAATATCACGTTCAGGTACTCTATAATCAACAAATACAAGTGTAAACTCATTGTGAAAGAAAAAAGTTTATATTTGACATATAAATCACTGGAATCTTAGTACCAATGCAATGACATATTTAGTACCTCATCCCCACTTTTGGCCATCATTACAAATATATCATTACTGACCAACATATTATTAAAGGAGAAGTCCTATTTTTCACAGAGGGGGTGGATGGCCGAATGGTTAGCACGTACGCGCTGTATCATAAGGTCTGCCATTGAGTCAACTGGTGTTGTTTCGAATCCCCGGTTGTATGTGACAAGGAGTTGGGTCGCCTGTCCAACCTCGTGGGTTTTGTCCGGGTCCTCCAGTTTCCTCCCACTGCTAAAGACCCCTATGCGCAAGCGAATTATTGAAATAAAATTAAACCATATGTTAGTCCCGAAATGACCTAGTTTGTGTCTAGTGGATGTTAAACCCCATTTCTCTCTCTCTCCTATTTTTCAAAGGGTACCCAAAAAGAAAGTATACAAATCAAAAGCTAATATGTAAATAAAAAGCCTATAATTAACTTGTCTAAAAGTTTTATTGAGCCACTTTGTTAAAACTACATGTATAAAAAATTTATGTAGTGACCTGATCAACATATGTTGTTTGTGAATTTTAAGGTAATAATGATGCAGCATTAATCTGCAATACTGCGTTCTGATACATCAGATTGAATCTGTATTTAATGAAATATTACATTGTTTCAGAGAGAGGGAATCAAGAAAACAAAGGGAATCTGTTGAACAAGAAGAAGAAGATATTAGACAAAGAATATTAAAGGCTGCACTTCCCTTTGTAAATGTACATGGGTGGACCAATAAAACTTTAACTGCTGGTTAGATTTTTTTCATATATAATTAAAAATTGAAATTTAAATATGTCTGACTGTAGAATATGAAATTGGTGTATCTGTTTTGTCTCAATTTTTATACAGGCATTGATTGTTAATAAATTTTATTAGCTATTGGAACTTTCTGCTTTCACTTATGGTTAAGATTCTTGTCCAAATCTTAAATCAGTTCTTTTGATTAATTAATTGGACGATCAGTAAACTAAAGGTTGTGAATTAGATAATTTTAATTGAACAACTTTTATTTGTTTTAAGGTGCTGAAGCAGAAGGTTTACCATCTATATCTCATGGAATGTTTGAAAGAGGAGGCGCTGAATTAATTCATTATTTCTATTCTACAAGTAATGCTCAATTAGCTGAACATCTTGTCCAAAAAGTTTCTAAAGCCAAGGAACAGGGAGAAAAGTAGGTGATTTATGACTGAATAATTTCCAAGTTAGAGAGGTACAATATAAATTGTCTCTAAAGCGATAATAAATCTATGCAAACCAGAATAATTTGTCGTATTAAATCAGCTTTTAATCATACTAATAGTTGAATATGCATTTTAATTTAGAAATTTTAACAGTTTTTAAGCTCAAATACTTACAATCTTGTTGAATAATACCTATTGTTTTTCTCTCTATGACATCACTGTAAACAAACGTTAATTTGGTAGCTTACCAATTTAGAAATTAGAGTTTTCAAACATTGTACTTGAGACATGTGGAGGTTTTCAAGATTCAATAAGTTTAGATTTGCCAGGGCAGCGGCAATAAAATCTGTTCAATTTCTGTAAGTTAAATTGCTTTTACATGTTCTGCTAATTTGAAGGTGAACCCACAAGATAGAAACAATATTTTTTATCATTAGGTTGAAAACTAAACCATTTATACAAGATGCTGTAGAAATGCGACTTAGAATGATAACACCTTACATAGAGAAGTGGCCTCAGGTATGTTATTCATAAAATATTTCACAATCACCCACTAAATATATATACCTGTAGATTCATTATGCAAATGTACCAAAAACCTCTTTGTCAAAACTCTAAAGCAGGCATAAGGAAGCAATCTATTGAATTTCAGTGTGACCTTATTGCCAAAAGTCATTCGAATGGGACAAAACAAACCCTAAAGTCTGGTTTTGAAGAAGAGAAGGGTGAAAATGCAGCTGTATTGGCAAAATTCTTTCCCACTGAACCATACTAATAATCATTACAGTATGTTTGTCTCAGAATGACCTATATTAAGTATTGACGAGATGTTAAACCCTGCTCCATTTCATTAAATCAGAACCTTCTGGTCACTTTACATGTCATAGGTTTTCAGATTTAATGGTAGAATATTGGGCTGTACCAGTAGTCATAAAGACAAAGTTTATCAGATTATTCGATTGACCTTCCCAATTGGTGTTGATATCTTTGTATTTACCAAAGGTCTGTGTTATTAGTTCGATTGACTTATATTTTCAGGCTATGGCAATACAAACATTACCCCAGAATGCTCTAGAATCGTGGAAAAATTTGTCAAGATTAATGGATGACATCTGGTTTTATGCTGGTGATAAGTCTACTGATGTAAGTTTACTATTTTATTTTATTTGGTGGGTACTGTTTCAGAATGGTAAAATTATTATACTGCTGATAATTATCATTTATTGCCAAAAATGGGCAGTGTTTAAAAGTCATGACAAGCTTGTCTAGTTGTTGGGAAGCAGACGATGAAAGTGGTGTTGCCTGGTTCAGATTCGATGAAATACGGGCTCCACCCACCCATGTGTACACTGCAGTACATCTAAAGAACTCTTGACATTTGGAATTTGATCATAGGCAGATGCAGAACAGTCCAAGCAAAATTATCCTCCCTAGTATTGCACACATGACCATAGTTTAAAACTAACTGTCTGTGTGTCTCAAAATGACGGAAGTAAAATGTTGATGCGATGCTTATCTCCATTCCTATCCCATTCACAGGGGGTCTGGATCGGAAGGTCTGTCATTGAGTTAAGTGGAGTAATTTCGATTCCTCAGTTGTAGTGACAAGGAGTAGGTTCACCTGTCCAACCTCGTGCATTTTCTCCAAATCTTCCAGTTTCCTCCCCCTGCTAAAGACCCCTACGTGCAAGCGAATTATTGAAATAAGATTGAACCATATGTTAGTTCTATAATGACCTAATGTGTGTTAGTGGATGTTAAACCCCCTCTCTCTCTCTCTCTCTCTCTCTCTCTCTCTCTCTTTTTCTACTATTCACCTGGATACTGGGTACACATTTGTATGTAAACAAACTAAACTTGGACAGTCAGATTTTGGAAAAGCAGTGGTCTACACTGACATTACATAAGAAACATAATTATTACATTATAATTGAATGTTAGCCTCAAATTTTTGTAAGTAATTTGTTGGCAAGTTGTTTAACCCATTGCATTCTATCTAAAGACCAAGAATAAAGTATATTACTAACATGCACACTGTCAAGTAGGCTAAAAAAAGATACTAACCCTAACAATTTCTTTCTTTCTGAGCATGAAATTATATTTAATGTGACAATGTGTGGCTTTCTTTATAGTTTAATTGGTATACAAAAAGAGTATCATTAGCAGCTGTTTATAAAAGTACTGAGATCTATATGGTTCAAGATAACTCTGAAGATTTTACAAATACATGGGAATTCCTTGACAGACGACTTAATGACCTTGCTGTATTTGGGTCTCGAGTTAGAAATGTAAGTTTTAACTACTCATTGTGCATGCATAAGATACTGACATTGAAATCTCAATTTGATTAAAACTTCCCTTTTCATTGAAAAGTCAAAATGAATTTCAAAATTATGCATTTGTGTGTAAAATTATTAATTGTTACAAAATTTTATTTACAGACACAACAATTTGGAACTGCTTTGTCTGAAGGTTTATGGGGAGCTTTTATAATGGTGAGGATCTTTTGAATAAGATTATTACAAAAATAAATTTGTCATGGTATGGTGATCATTGGGGCAAAATAATGACATTAAACATACATTATGCAAGAGCTAAATCTGCCTATTGCAGCTCTTCCTTTAGGCCTGAAATGTTATATAAACTATTAATTAGACATTTATTAACATGAAAAGACCTTATTCAATTCTCGATGCCATCTAATGTGTCGGATTTTCACTGGATTTGAATCCGATCTGTTGCTCAATGTTCATTGTTGATTAAATCCAAAAAAAGGATAATCGAGACTATTTTTTATATCGTACTTTACATTATCTAGTTTTTAACTATTATAGTGAGAACTGTCAGCTCTTTATCTAATCTTCCATAATGTATCTTTAAGAGAATAAATTCAATAGGCCTTTTATAGTGAATTCCATTGAGCACATGCTACTCCTGTCTACAATCTACATTGTTAAACTCGCCCACCTACTCCTGTCTACATTGTTAAACCCGCCTACTATAGTCTACATTGTTAAACCACCTACTCCAGTCTACATTGTTAAACCCACCTACTCCAGTCCACATTGTTAGACCCACCTACTCCTGTCAACATTGTTGAACCCATCTACCAGTCTACGTTGCTTTAAAAAATGTCTTTGCATAGTATGTTGTTTAATATAAATTCTGTTTATGTTTCTTTTTCAGACTAGCAATGTTATGGGTGTTAATTATCGGAACAGATATGGTTGAAGATTTGACATGTCTGTAAATTTAATTGTTTAATTTCCGGTGAATAAACAAGGAAAAAGTCTTTGAAACAGACAGATATAACAACAATCATGTTATCAAACTATAATTATAAATGTTGTTTGTTACCGTCACTGAACTGTAAATATAGTGTTGTAGATATATAAATGGCAACATTTTTAAAACGAAAAAATGTTAATAAAAATAATATATATGACATTAATACCGTGAAATTATGTCTAAGCGTTTTAGGTTTTTTTGTCCCCCGTCTGTCCGTCCGTCACACTTTTTGGGACACAATAACTCTCTCTAACTGAGCCAGAATGTTCAAACTTGGTGTAGGTGTTTATTAGGTCAATGCCTTGATGGAGTTCAAAGATGAGCATTTTCTGCTTAGTGTAAGCAGAGATAAGCAATTTGATTGGTTGATGCTTTGGGACACGATAACTTTAGTTCTAATTAAGTGAGAGTGATGAAACTTGGTGTATAGCTTCATTACATCAATACCTTGACTAAGTTCGATAATGAGCATTTTCTGCTTAGGGTAAGCAGAGCGATAAGCAATTTGATTGGCCGGGACTTTGGAACACAATAACTCCCCTTCTAATTGAGGTAGAATGTTCAAACTTGGTGTAGGTGTTAATTAGGTCAATGTCTTGATGGAGTTCGAACATGAGCATTTTGTGCTTAGGTTAAGCAGAGATAAGCAATTTGATTGGTCAAGATTTTGGAACACAATAACTCTCATTCTAGTTGAGTTAGAATGTTCACACTTGGCGTAGGTGTCTGATAGGTGAATGCCTTGATGGAGATTGAAGATGAGAATTTTCTGCTTAGGGTAAGCAGGGATAAGCAATTTGATTGGTTGATGCTTTGGGACACGATAACATTAGTTCGAATTAAGTGAGAGTGAGGACACTTGGTGTATAGCTTTATTACATCAATACCTTGACTTAGTTCGATAATGAATATTCTCTGCTGTCATGTCATGGCTGAGTTCAATGATTTACATTAGTCGATGCTTTGGGACAAGATAACTTTGATTCTATCTGATGGAGAGTGCTGAAACTTAGTGTATAGTTTGATTGCTCGATACTTTTGAAAAAAATAAATGTGCGATTAATAAATATGTGTCATCTATTTATTTTTGGATTTCGGCGGGGGACATCAGCCTCACTGTTGGCTTGTTTAAAAATAAATCGACTCTCAAACCTTGTGTATCTATCTGTCTTCTGGCCGTCCTAATAGCTAGCTTTGTGCAGGCTTTTTCTATTCTTTTTTTTTTTGTCTTACATAGCAAATAATGTGTGCAATATTTTAGTCACGGTTGTCCATCAGCTCTTCGATAATCCAGTTTGCTTTATCACAGAATAATCTTGATAACCATTCCTAAATTGATCCAAAGATTTGCCGAAAAGTTCAAAAGAGTGAACCCAATATATTTTCTTCCATTTCTGTTCTGACAAGACAGTTAAATCAATTTTGATCAAATTATTTTGTTACTCCATCGACAACATAATATATAGGAAGATGTTTTAAGAGTTACATACACTAGGAAGTTAGGCCTGTGCTTGTATTTTCAATAACTCTGGGAGTCTATGGTTATTATGAAAATGTTACATTTGTTTTCTTGATGAAAATCGTAATGCAAACTTTCTGATTCATTTACATGTACATAGAAAGAATTTCTTGTTCCATGTCAGGTAGATTAAAAATTTTATTCAATGAAGAGACCAACGTAGTTGCAGAACTTGCCAACATCCTGCCCTGGTCTAGAGAAATTAAATTTTTACCCAATAATGTTATATTTCATTAGTGAACAATGTCCATTAACATAGACTGATGTGATTAGGAGTGTGGTGTGCCATGGCTCACATTATCTGGAGATTAAGGTAGATTGACAGCATCATAATTCTAAATTCAAAAGACAAAAACAAAATATTAATACCAAACATACATAAATTTATTTAGTATAAATTGGAGCATACATACATACATACATATCACGAAAAGTGCTACCAGCACTTGCATATTGGGGCAGTTTTCATTCAATTAACGTAAAATAAGCAAAACAAAGCTTGTGAATAATTACACTTCAATTTTTCAAGGAAAATTCAATCCAACGTCAGAAAGAGATAACTGAAGAAAGGAACCTTGTTAAAAGAGAATTTACTGATTAATTCAATTTCTGCGCATGATTTTTATGTTCTCAAAACTCAGTTATCTGAATGGAAATAAAGATAATTTAGTGTTAGTAAATGTACTGGTATGTAATATAACAATTTCTAATATATGTATTGCTCTGCAATAACACTTGGAAGTTCTCCATCATTCAGTATTCCTCAATTCACTTATACAAAGTGTTATCTTAAACATGTTAAATAATAGCTTCATAAATTAACAAGACCATGTACAATGCCACTCTGAACGCGAACCATCTTGTCCCAAATTTTATCAACTGATCTTTTCTTCTGTTTATTTTTTAAAATAAACCTAACTCCCAAGATTGACTAATATGTATTAGGATTTTTGCACAGAAAAAAATACAAATTAGTGATTATGCTATTTATAGGCAATAATTCTCAAAAACATTGTATCTTATGGCATGTTAACTGACTCAGAAGTTGAATAATCTTTTTTAACAAGGTTCATAATTATGTTTCCTAACTTAACTAGGATGAAAAGAAGAGGGGAAAAGATGTTCCCTTTGTTAAAACATGATTGTCATATAATCTAAATCTCTACAGTCATCCATTATATATTAATGAAAGAAACAAACAAGAAATGGTATAAAAAATTGTTAAAAGTTTCTATTCAGTTTTCCAAGTTGTTAAAATGTTGGAAGGCTGGCAGGTAATTGCTTTGTAATATGTAAATGGCTTTTAAATTCTGGATTTCATGAGTTGATTTTCTACAATTCTACATGGTTGTATATTACGAACTATTTACATTATTTATGATTATTACATGATACATTGTACATGCTAATCAATGGCAGTGATCAGACCAATTCAAACAATGACAACAAAATTTTAAAAATTTATGATTATGACATGATTTAGAACAGATAACTGAAACATATGCTCACCACAGCTAAGCCATGCGAGCATTTATGAGTTGAACTGAAATTTTTTTTAACAATATCAAATCATAAATTGTTTTTTAAAAAAAAAATGAAATAACGCTGGTAGTTATTATAGAAATTTGCAGAAAATCATTATGGTCTTTATTTCAATAAGATACATGTAGATAAGCCATATCAATTTCAACAAGAAGACTCAGTGATCAACATCCCACAACTTTGCCCTTTGAACATGTTTTGGAAGGTACAGAGATAGACAATCTGTCTGTGTTATTAGTAATTAACAACAAACACAAAGAAATGTGACTGACAAACAAATCGACAGACGGGGGTGATGACATCATACACGACATTAAAAATTTTGGCATATAAAAAAACTGCCGAAGCTATTTCATGTGTTATTTGTTCATAAATGAATATACAGCACTTGTTTTTACTACATGTTTTTATGAACATTACTTTGGCTATATGCATAAAGCAGTATTGTCATAAGAATAGTAGCCTACTAAACTTAAGAAATTAATTATAAGTCTCATACAGTATTACTAGTCTAAATACTGCTTTATTAAGGGTGCCAAAATCTACTAGTAATAGCTTTTATAAGTAATTTTCAGTATTTCAGTCACCAATAACACTAAAGTAACCCTTTTACTACAGTGTATTTTCCAAAAGAGATTTATACAATTTGACTAGCAAACATCAGTGAAATGTCCATTAAAGGCCCAATCAACAAGGAACATTCTGTTACATGTAAGTCCAAGGCTTTATCTCAACAGATAGAATAAGACAACAAATTAGTGCATATTCCTGGAATCAAGTTTTTAAAAATTATACCAGGCATTTTATGACATTGTCAACTGATAGAATTGATAGGCTTCCACTGTACTAAAGTATTTGTACCAGTTTCCAAAGCGAAAGTGTGGTCACTTGCCATGGTAACTGAACAGAATTGCACTGTACACATACAGTGTACACATATTTCAAGACAATCATATCATACAATTATAATTAATTATATAAATTATAGTTTAAATAACACATAACAATCATTCACAGAATGTTATATCTAGACCATACATTTATACAAGTCAAACTCTTTGTTTATAATTTATTTCAAAGCCTGTCTGCCCCAGTTAAGACTTGATATTTAGTCCATATTATTGCACTTTGGATCAAAAGTAAAAGTTCAGAATTTTTTTCCCTGTACTAAACTCTAACATTAGAAAGTTTACTCAAATATTGATTCTGTGTAGTAGGTAATTTACAGCTGGTAAATAGGTTCTAAAAAAGTCATGCATTACATTTCTTTTAGTTTAAAGATGCATTATGTAAGGTTTAGGTAAAAAGATGGTCCTTCTTACTCAATTATAGGTAATGAAAAATGAATATACATGTATAGAAAATTTCATTCAAATTACTTTATTATGAGTAAAAATTTGAGTATTTGAAGTTTTGACAAGATCTAGTGTAGACTGTTCATTATCGTAATAACGGTTCTTGACAACAGAGACTTAGCCTTGATTATCCATTTTATTGTTAAAATTTTAAAATCTTGCTGGTGTTGTAATCTATTTAAATCTCAGCCAAACGATGGGCTAGAGCAGTGGTTCCCAACTATTTGTTGGTTGCGACCCTATTCCGGAAACTACCATCTAATTGTGACATCTTGAAAAACAGAGTCACCTTTTACTATGAAACATCATTTACAGATCAAAATGTTGTAATGAAACAAATCATGAGCATGAGAAAAGAAAGACGACTGGCAATGTGGCAAGATGTGAAAAGATCAGAGATTTATATGCTGTTCATGAAAACAGCATTTTTTTCAAAAGTTTCAGAGTTGTCCGCCACGACCCTACGAAAAGTGCTCCGCTACCCCGAGGTTGGAAACCCGAGTCTGGAGAGTTATATATAGGCTTTTTTGGTAAATAATTTATATAACATTTGAGATACCTAAAATAGGCAGATTAAGCTCTTAAATAATGCATCTTTAATGTTATAGTTCATGGGCTAATGAAATATAATGAAAATCGCAATGCATAATTTATAGAATACTTAACATTTGATCTTTAATTAGAAGTAATTATATTCTTAATAACAACAATCAACATATTTCATTAACCAAATAATTTAGGTTACACTGCTTTTTTTTTTATATTACTGACATTAAATATTGCAAATGAGATCAACAGAAATTACATCTGCTTATAAACTACATGTACTTTTACATAGAATATGTATGTACAGTCATATTACATTACTGATTATTACACTATTGCTACTACAGGTTATGAAGATGGTTTTTCACTAAAAAATAAAACAAAAAGTATTTTTTTGATAAGAAACACACACCTCCGATCAAAATTTACAATGTATAGCTATACATATTTAGCAACAGCTCAGCTCCAGATTTTTGTTCAGTTCACAAAAATATAAAGATACTGTATGTCCAATGTTCATTTTAGTATATTTAGCCAAATGTGCAAAGGAAGCAGTCAGAGGTAATATAGGCCTAGCTTGTTCATTAATTCTTTTCTGAGAATAAAATATTGTTAAAAAATTTTTTTTAAAAAAGCTGTCGTACATATATTGTCATTATAATTAATTTGACAAATTCTTTAAATACTGGTGCTGGTGAATGGTAAAACGGCATTAGACTGATTTTGAATTTTGAATATACATGTGTAATATATCAAAATTAATATTTGAACCCGTTTATACATATGTACTTGCAGTCCGAAAAATTCACTAGATAAACAAAATTAATGTTTATTTTTATTTATTTATTGAAGACTGCCATTATTGCAGTTAATGATTAAGCTGCCTGCAGTTTACATCTCCCAAAAGATACGAATATTACTGTGTAATCTTACTTACCGATACTATTAAACTTTTTAAATTCCCTTAACAATATTTTTCCATCTGCATATATTGTACATGTATTTCATTTTTATTTCAAATACAACTACTTAATGAAAAAAATTTAATCTGTTAGAAATTTTCTACATTTGTCCCATTATATTAATTTGGTCAGTTCAAGGTCATCAATTACTGGTAAATGAATAATATGCTACATTACAACACATGTAGTCTATGTAGATGAAAGGTCAATGATATTAATTAATTCAATAAGACACTGACAGTATAATAGCTGGTTAAATGTACACAAAACCATAAAAATTAATTCGCCCTCATAGTCATAACATATAAATTAATTCGCCCTCATAGTCATAGCATTTAAATTACTGGTACAGATAAAAAAAAAAAATTGAATTTAGAAAAAATAACCATTTTGGTTTAAAAGTCAACAGAATGCAGCATTATATAAAAAAGATTAATGTGTGGGTACATGTAGTTACAATTCATAAGACAAGTGTTCCTTTAACTTTTTGTTGATGAATGGAGTACCGGTACATGTAAAGTGTAGGTTACACGTAGGCCTACATTAACTTGTTCATGTGCACAAGTAAATTTTAGATTAATGAAAAATATCTAAAGAAATAAATAAAGCAATTCAAACAATGTATTGATAAAATATTTTATGTAACTGTCCAGGGCTCTATTTGGAATAACATTTTCGTCTGCAAATCAATTAAACACATTATTCTTAATACATTTAAGATTAACGTTATTATGCTCTTTAATTCTATGCATTTCATTTCACATTTTTCAATACCAGATAGGAAATTTTAAAAGATTAAAAAACTAAGATATTATGAACTGATACAGCAGGCCCTATTATATACACATTGTCTAAATGTCATAAAATTATACAGAGATGTTTAGATGATAAAAACACAGATCAGCACTATTTAAATGTAATTTTATAAATAAACCTGCCAAGGGTAAGTAATTCAAATTATAGCAACACACCACTCTCTTGCTTCAAAATGAAAGTAATCAGCTTAAATATAGTTTAACCAGAATTTAAAAACCATTTTCATTCAAAAGTCTTATTATGTTTAATATTGTTTTTCTTCAATCCATCCTTTGAGACTGGAAGGCAATGGTAATTGCTGTATATGATCGTATCGGGTATATTCACGAATAACAAATCGACACAAATATTGTAACGATCGCACTTGTGTGAATCTGGACACAGGTTTAGTCAGTCTCACAGGGAATGAAGGGGCACCTGGAGATCGTGAACGAGAATAGCAAAATATTCCAGTCTGTGAATCATTCATTGAATGTTCAATAAGATCTACGATCGACGGGTAACCCTCTGTATCTGGTTGGGCATAAAAACTAAACATGCCATTACAATGTTCAATACGAGTATGCAAAGTACGTCCATAAGAACGAAAACTTAAGCTTAACAAATATCGTTCGTCCGAACTGTCCCGCACTAAAAAAGCACCATCTGTTTGATTAGCTAGTTTATCTTCGGCTTCATTGCGAGTTATAGGACCCCAATACCAGCCAAATTTAGAAAGTCTGAAAAGCTCATGAGTTAAACTCCAAGTTTTGGGTTCTTCTCGCAGAGTATCTAAACCAAAGAACCCACACCTTTCAGCAACTTCATAACTGTCATAAATATCAGACTTAATAGAACTGTCACTATCCCTATTTATTTTATTTTGAGCACCATTTCCACAGCCTCTATTTCCATCTATTTTATTTAGTTTAGTTGAGACATCAAGATGAAATTTAGAAATGTCTTTTGCCCTACAACTAGATTTTTCCTTCTTTGAATCTAATTCACTGTTATCCGTGTTGGAATGCATCTCACTGATCTTAGTTGTAGTCAGTGTTTGAACATTTGCGTTCAGACTGTCACTACTCTGAGATGTTGGATTTGACCTTACTGACTTGTCACAAAAAACAAACAAATGTTTGCCTCTAGCTTTACTTTTCTTTGTGTCAATTATAATCTGTGAATTTGACTGTAAATGTGACGTTTGGCACTCTTCAATATGAGATTCACATTCAACAGTTTCTTCACTTTTTCGATGAACGGATTGAGTAAATTTACGCCTAAGATTTTTTAGCAATCCCATTTTTTCTCTTTTCCTCTTATTTAAATCTTCTGTCGTTGTCAGATTTCCAGCATAACTAAGTTGTGATAAAACCTGTGTGTGTGAGTCATTCCGTGCAGATTCTTCACGATTTTCGTCTTCCACTTCGGAATTAGTGGATGCTTTGGGTGAACTTTCGCGCGATCTCCTATCCGATGTAAGTCGTAAGCCTTTTAAGCTTATCTTCTTCATCATCGTGTTAACCCTAACACGACGATAGTTTGCATTGCAGTGGTAGTAAAACACGAACAATATCACAAAACAAAACTAAGTCCTCATCTTCCCGAGGGTAAAGGCTGCATTTCAGCTTTTGCGCAAGCGCACACATATCCTTCCGTATTTTGAGAAATAAGAAAATCGCATAGTTTAGAAAGCGATTGGTCAAAATAATGCCAGCTCCAGTTTTGGATCAAACCATTTATGCATGAATATGATTGATTGGAATTTATGCGATTTTTATTTTGAAAATAAGTTATCAAAATTTTATGCATGCGTATACAATTACTCAAAAATCAATTTTTGATTTTGCTGCGGATCTTAGAAAATGGCGCTGTCCATGAAGATGGACTCAGACGAAGAAGAATCGTTTGTTATCATCGGAAAACAAGTTGAACAACTTGAAGAAGGTAATCTAAAATGAATTTGATACGAAAAAGTAACACCCTAGATTAATCGTTGTTGCTGTCATTCTCTAATAATGAATGAAATGGACCAGTTTTCAAACTTGGAACAAGTAAATACAAGAAAAGAATAAATTTCAGTTTCAATAAAAATCTAAAAACAGCTTAACACGTATTTATTCATGGCTTGCATCCTTTAGACATTATAATGAGGCTCACAAGATGTTGGCAATTTTCTTGTTGGGTTATGAACATTAGATATAATTAGTTCTATATTTATTCCAAATGTCATTGTAATATGTAACAGGCCTTGCCTGAGTAGAGCGAAGCTAATGTGATTGTTGTCAAATAAAACCTTCATAATAAAGTTTCCCCAATTGAAAAAAGAACAAAAAGGTGTGAGGATTTTCATTGACGTCAAAATTATCTGACGTCATTTATTCGACGCGTCATAGAAATATTTCTCAGAGACCCAAAATCTCGCTTGGGCGAGATTTGGTAAGTTGACATGCGCTGACATGCGCATTGACAGACATGCGCATTGCCTGTTTTCCCCAGTGTATCCGGTTCCTGTCTGAATTTTTTTTTAATCAACAGTCTGTGGGTGACATTTTCAATTACGCTCCTGTGTTACCGGAAAAGAGCTTTGCTCAAGCACCGCGCTTCGCGCGATGCTTTAGAGCTTCGCTCTATATAAACACAAACACTTCTTTAACTTTAAGAAGTCATATTAAAAATCAGATTAAATTATTGTAACACCTCAAATGTAATCCAATTACTTTCCAATACAGAACAGATCATAATATAAACAATGAGCTACCTGAAGATTCTATTTCCAGCTCTTAGTATTAGCAATGATTTGATTTAATTATGCTTTGGCAGAGAAAGTTCATCAGGATTTTCCGGTATGGTTTCCCCTTGTCAGTGGTGTAGGATGGAGGGCTTGACAAGGACAGCTGTCTAGTCATTCGGATGGTACAAAAAACCAAGGTCCCGTATATACATTGGTGTGCACATAAAAGATCCTTTGGCAGTTGGAATTTGATATAAGAGTAGGCCATAGTGCCGCTGCCCAGGCAAAATTTTCCCCATAGCACACTGTATGGTATATGCCCGTCTTCATTAGCCCAGTCGGAGCAGAACAGTAGGACGTTAAGCCCCATTTCATTTCATTTAATTACATGTAATTAGTAAAACACATTGCTGTTTAGTGTTTGGCTGATAGTAAATTTATGTTGATGTTCATTGTCTGGTAATTAAATATTGATATTTTAGAATTTTCAAATCAATTTGATCATGGCTTGATAAAATTACTGTTTTCTCTTGTGTATTTTTTCTTGTTGATAATATCTGTAACGTTATCACACACACAATTAATATGTTGTTAAAATCCAATTGAAATCTAACTGATTAGGCTTACATTTTATCTTCAAATTTTAGATGAAGCTCGAAAGAAACCAGTGTCAGTACATGACCTACCTTTTAAAGATAGTAAAGGCAGACAAAGATTTCATGGAGCATTTACTGGAGGTTTCTCAGCTGGTTACTTTAATTCAGTAGGAACCAAAGAAGGTACAGTATATTAATATTTTCTGATCAGTGTATTATTAAAGTTGATGAACAGGATAAATCAATCATTGTCTTTCTTTGTTATTAATTGCTATTGTCTCCTTTTTTTGTGTCTATCTGTCTGTCACACTTTTTGGAACACAGTAACTCTGCTTCTAATTTGAGGTAGAATGTTCTAACTTGGTGTAGATGTTCATGCGATGATGAGACTTTCCCACTAAGAGTAATCAGTGAAAAGCAATTTGATTTGTTAGTGCTTTCAGATTCTAATTGCCTGAGAGCAATGAAACTTGGTCTGGTTTAGTCTTGTTAAGCAGTTTGATCACTCCATACTTTATAAAAAGATGAATGTGCAAGTAATGAATGATTGTCATCATTTTGTGATTCGGAAGATGGCTTGTTTATTTTGAATTGTAAATTTGTCAAGTTTTCAGACTTATATGTAGATGTAATATAAAATTGAAAGATAAAATTTGTTTCAATGATATTGTTTTTGTTTATATTAATTGTGTTATGAATTTGTTTCTAGGATGGGCACCTTCTACATTTGTATCATCTAGAAGTTCTAGAAATGATCAAGTCAGTCAAAAAGCGGAAGATTTTATGGATGAAGATGTAAATATTATTGTGTTATATCCTAGAAATATTTAAGTTGCTCATTGGAAAATAAATCATAATGTTTTTGTATTGAAATTGTAAAATTGCCTTGGAAGTTAGAATGACAAAAAGAGTGACCTAATAGATTTGTATTGCTAGAAATACTTTATTAAATTTTTACTATTTGTTTAATAGTAATGTAGTAGGTAATGAATTCTTGAATATTAGATACTTAATAGTTTTTTTTTTACTTTTAAGGACTTTGGAGAACATGGCATAGCTCCAAGAAAAATAGCTACTGCTGAAACTTACACATCTGAAGAAAGACAGAGAAAAAGAAAGGCTTTAGCTTCAGCTGTAACTGGTGATGCTATTGGACAAAAGGATACAACTTTAATGGACTTAGTAGTACCTGACAGGTAATGACTAGTAATTGAATACAAGAATTAAAAGTTGTTAGTAAGATAATATTCTTTATACAAATAATATTTGTAACAGTACTGAAGCCCTAATATTCTATGTTAATGTTGGTATTGTAAATTAATATAATTTTTAAACGTAAATGTTTTGATTGATATAGTCTACCAATTGGTATTCGGTTGTTGAGAAAAATGGGATGGAAAGAGGGACAAGGTGTTGGACCCAGAATTTCTTCAAAAAATAGAAAGAAGAAGAAAAGTTCAAATGGTATTATATAAGTTATTTAAATTGTATATTAATTATTGTTTTGGATAATGTTTTGAATCCTAAGTTAACACCCAGTTTTATCAGTATCTTCATCCATCATACATTGTATGATTTAAATGAAAGTTGTAACATTTAATAATTGCAGAAGGAAAAGTTTATGGATGTATGATGCCAGATGTTCCAAATTCAAGTACTGAGGATGAGGTTAGTTTAAAATTGTTGTTCTACTAACAACTCTATAATCTTCTTTGAACATTATAGAGTTGTCTCCCCTCCTAAACCTAATTTCACTTTGCTAGTTTGTTTTATGTAGGGTGACCCACCATAAATAAATATCTCCATATATCTCGACAATTACGCCACAATATTTATATTCTGTATATGCCAAGCCTCAAATCAGTTTCACACAATTATAGTCACTAAAAAAACGATCATGTTGAACTTAATAAGCTATGACCATTAATCATGTATAAATAATAGACTGAAAACTGGTTCCAAGAGACGTCCATAACATCCAGACACTTTTGAGTAAAAGATAGGTTACGTGCCCTTGTTTTGAAATTAGTCTCGCTTAACCAGTCTATCGACCATTCTACGACTGATTGACAGGTCGGGATAATCAAGACTACTTTTTTACGAAACATAACAGAAAGCTAGAACAAGAAATTGAATTTAGAAATAAGCATGTTAGGTAGCTCAACAATCAATTTAAGAAGCTTGTAAGAGTAATATGAAACTACTGCTAGTATCATGCTCCTGTCTAACCCGAGTGATTCAGAGATATTATTTGTACTAAACCAAAAGAAGCCGTACAGTTAATGATAAAGCAATTTAAAAAATGAAACGAACGTAATTTCTAAATCTGCTGTAATAACCAAGAAGCTTAATTTTACTGCTATTCAAAATCGTCAACAATAAATTATTTACGGCTGTAATAGTTGATAGATTTGTAGAGAAATGCACGTGCCATGGGTATTTATAGTATCATACTGTCAGAAAGTTGGTCTCGGCAAGGCGAATGTGCACGCTTCAGTGGTAGTCTCGAACTATCAGTGGTGGACTGTGTTTCTGTGAGTACATGGGTCACCCTATTTTATGCAGTAGACAAATTTCTGAGGGGGTCTTGTCATCTTTATTTTGTTGCCTTCAAATTGCAGAATGTTTTCTGTGTTTTCTACCTGACTTTCACTTGACTGGAGATACTGTTTCTATATTTGTATCATAAATGAAATAAAATGAAATGGGGTTTAACGTCCTACTTATCAGTATTATAACTTCCAGATGTATACTTTTGATTGATCCCTGTTCTCTGGGTGTCTTTCAGGAATATTCTAAATGATCTAGTCAAACAATAATCAATCACAGTAAATCTTTTCACCCATACCCGTTACATAATGCAGTGTGGATATTTATTTAACAACATGTTTTGTCTCTCAATTAAATAACTTTCAAAATTATTGATAAACAATTATGTTTGATTTTTTGTCTTCAGGGTTCAGATGAAGAATATTTAAAGAATGTGACCTTTGCCCCAAAAGACAGTAACCCTATTTCATTTGATGCAAAAGATAATGTTCATGGTATAGGATATAGAGGTTTAAATCCGTCTGCTGCCTTGCCTTCTGCGCATATTAATCTGTTTGAACCACCACCTGTTAGATCTTCTAAAGGAAAAAGAGGGATTAGGGGAAAGGTATGTTGTTTAATGAATCAGTATTAGTGTGAATTTAAGCAGAAGTAAAAGTGTTTTTTGAAAAGTGTGTAATGTCATTCCAGCCCCCACCCTCTCAAAAAAAGGAGTAAGAAAATTAGTTATATTTCTCAAGAACAAAATTTGTTTACTTCAAACTTACGACATATAAAAAGTTGTGGCATATTCAACCTTTTATTATTGTTAGTTATGATGGCAGTGATAATATGCCACTGCTTACTGATAGAAAATACATATGTCCCAAGTGAGAATTAGATAATATTCAATACATTAATTACACAGCTACAAACTGGTTAACTTTTATTTGTATAAATATTTTAAAATGATCTTGAATGTAATAATATACTAAAAGAAATCCACTTACGCATAGTTGTGAAATATTTGTAGGGTTTTGGAGTAGGTGCATTAGAAGAAGATGATGATGATATATATGGGGTAGATCATCTGTCAAATTATGATATGTCCATGGATATAGAGGATGATAATCATCTTAGTGGATGGACAGCTCCTAAAGGACTGTCTAAAGGTAAATGGGAATTAATCTATTTCATAGGAAGGTGGAATATGCCTTACTAAAAATAAATTATGTACAGTTTCAAATTAAAAAACTAGCCAAGAACAAAGACAAGTTGCCACAGGGAAAGAATAACGTCTCACTGGAATATTTATTTTCCCCTTCATAAGCAACAGGTCTCAGTTTATATGCTGGTCAAAGAACTAGTCTAAAATTATATCTGAATATTAATATTTAAACAGTCTTTGAGTTCTTTTCAGAATTAATGACTTCTGTACACATAATTTCTAATAAATACTTTAATTAATAAATTATTATCACAAATTGTTAATTGCTGTAATATCTTTGTTTCTTAATAACAGATAGTGGTTCAACCCCTGTTGGATATGTGGGTAAATTATTAGCAGGTTTTACCTTATCAACCAAAACTCTAAAATCTAACAAAGTTTATCCACCACCAGTTTTACCTCAACATTTTAAGCCAGTCCACAGATTTAAAGGACCTGTAATAGAGGAGTCAGTCTCTAGATTAACAGCAAATTTAACAAAACCAGAATTGAAGAAAAGCCCCTTGACAGCTGTAGACAGAGCATTGGCTTTAGGAGAAGCACCAGTTCTAGTGGGTAAGCCAAGTTAGATAACTCCAGTAGTAGGTGCAATGTTACCTGATAAATCAGTTTTATAGATTATGATTTAATTTATAAATATTCTTCAAACGCAATTGAATGTTAATCGGATGTAACCAAATGATCAGTCAATTTAATAATTTCAACAGTATTCATATTGTTTTATTATGTGCTTAAATTTGTAGCAATAGAATTGTGTGATGCCACAATAGAGGGATTTTGAGATTTATTTATTGATGAATTAAGTTGACACTGTGATAGTTGAATCCTCTATGACCTATATTCAAGAAATTACAAAGATGATTAAAACTTTTATCGTAGGTTCTGTATTTGATTTGGTATCTGAAGAAGACAAAGATAAAATGAAAAAAGCAAAATCTGGAACATTATCTATAGAAGAATCCGAAAATTCTTCTCCTGTGTTTTTGAAACCTATTGAAAACAGTCCTGCACTGATGTCAACTAATAAAACCAAATCATCTAGATGGGACTTGACAGTTAGAAAAACAAATGAAATAGAATTGGAAAATACAAAAGAAAGGGTGGATGAACATAAAAATAATGTGGCATTTAGTCCATCCACAAGTTTTCAAGCTACTCCAAGTCACCAGTCAAGTCTGTCTGTTACATCAGTCGAATCAACTCCTCCTACTGTACCAACCAAACCGTTATTTGCTGGTAATTTGACAGCGTATAAGCCATTTGCTAAAACTCCTGATAAACAAGAACGCTATGAGAAATATTTATCTTTGGTGAATCAAGGCAAAAAAGGTAATAAAACATTCTTTAAAAATTTATTTACAGAAGTGTGACATGTTAGTAAAAAAATAACATTTGTAATTTCATATGGTTCACAGTACCATTATATCATTAAAAATTGTTCTGTATTTGCATTTTTATACGTCCACATTGAAAAGTATTCGTATATTCCAGGGCCACCGGTCAGTCCGGCGTCCACAAGCAATTGTGGCTAAAGTTAATATTCAACTGACTTTAAATTTATACACAGTGTTTAAGGTCATGAGATGAAGAGGCCTATTGATTTTCTACAATTTCTGAATATTACTGCCAGAGTTATGGTCCTTGATCACCTTTTAAAATCTTCTGGATGCTCTAAGTGGCTAAAGTTAATATCTGATAGACGTCAAATTTATACACAGTGTTTAAGGTTATGAGACAAAGACGCCTTTGCTTTTCAATGATTTCCAATAATTACTGCTAGAGTTATGGCCTTTGATCAATTGAGAAACTTTGTGGAATACGCTAGAGGCTAAAAATTAATATAAATTTGTACAAAGTGTTTAAGGTCATGAAACAAACAATTGAAACCAATTCTAATGATTTCTGATAATTACTTAATGGGTTGTTACTTGTAATCAGATTTTAGTGTGTTACGTGACAAAAGAAAAAATATGCGACAACCCTTGTTGACTGTCCGGACGACTTAGCTGCTGTGGGCATATGTTTTGTTACCTGGCAACCTATCTTTCCATTAGATCTCAAATGTAGATAGAATATGTTCAGAGTTGTTCTGTACATTTACCATGCTTGTTTATTCAGTTTTATCACAATTGTTATTGTAAACTGACTAAATGTTCAGTGCTAAAGAAAATTATTATTATTTAAGACAAGAAATTGATGACGAATATCTTCTCTATTTATCAATTCACACACGTAATAAACGCGAAAACATAATATGGAACCCTATTACTATTTTAATTAAAGTTACATTTCGTTGAGGGTTCTCTCAACATTACATGTATTTGCTTGATAACGTTGAGAGAACCCTTAATGAAACGTCACTTTAATTAAAATAATAATTGTGTTCCATTTTATGTTTTTGTGTTTACTAAGAAATTGATGCAAGCAAAATATTCATACGATTAAAAACAACTTCTTGCCTATCATTAATGAGCTTTTGTCAAACAGTGAAATAATGTGCTGAACAGATCCTGCTTTAAAATTTACAATCCTCAAAGCAATAAAATAACTAAGTGTGATTAATTACTAATTAGATGGTTATCCCTAAAATGATGTTATAAATAGTATAACTGTGATGTAATTACCTGATAATGGTGCTGTACTGCTTTGTTAAACTCAAAAGAAGACACTCAGCATTCATCTAAGAGGAGTATATGGAAGATTGTGTTTATTTCAGTATGCATTTATGTCGACCTCCTTATTGGTCCAGTTAACTTCAGAACGACAGAACACATTTTAATTAATTGTTTTCCAGTTCTTACAGCTGTTACAGGCACAAATTCAGACACGATCCCCCTGGTGCATGTCATTACATCTGGTACAATTTGATCTCTTTTCTATGTCATTATTGATATTTTAAATACATGTTTGACACAATTTAGAAAATGTCAAGGATTAGAGCATGGAAGTTTTGTACCTTTTTAATCACTGTTTCTGGGGCTGACTACTTTATCGTCTATTTCTGAGGCAGTCTGTGGACTTTGTTTAAAAAAGAGAGCAAAATCCTGCAACATAATACAATTGACCATCATCTTATCTTGTTTTATCATATGATATTAATTATAGATGCATATCTAGAAATTACAAGTGGACAGATGACAGAATGGGAGAGAGAACGAGAAAAAGATGAATTTATACGAGCTTCTAAATTATATAAACCATTATCTAATATGATGGCTTCCAGATTTACAACTGCTAGATTTGATGATGAAACAGAGACTGTAGACATACCAAAAGAAGGAGTAAGTATTAGATAAGTTTATTCACCAATCATCGAGTTTTTGGCATTCAGAAATTTGATAAAAGAAAGCTCTTCTAACTACTACAATGTGGATTTTAGGAATCAAAAATGAGACCATTTATTCATGAATACTGAAATCAAATATTCCTTTTTGCATATATATGTATTTTGAGTTTGGACCAATTTTATTAAAGATACATTATGTAAGATTTAGATAAAGAGCTAGCCATTCTTGCTATAATAGTTTGAAAATAGATAATGTAAAATGAATAATTTGAAAATTTCATACAAATTACTCTATTGCGAGTGAAGATATTAGCCTTTGAAGGTTTGACAAGACATGTGCAATAATTTCAACCACCGTTCTCGTTGTTCGAAGCTAATTCTCGCTCCTCCATTTTTAGCTTAAATCAAAATATGGCTGAACTGTTCTAATCTATTTAATATATTAGAGAAATCTGATGCCATCAAGAGTTGGTTATGGCCTGGATAAGTTAATCAATGTCTAATCAATAATTTAGAATACATTTCAGGCCTAAAGAAAGAACTGCAATAGGTAGATTTAGCTCTTGCATAATGTATGTTTAATATACAATCAAAACTCCTGGAGATGTATAAATATGTCAAACTATGTGCTATCATAATCAGATGACCAGTGCCCAAAAAGAAGATTGAATTTGCATGGGGTTATGTGAGATATGCTGCGATCGTGATAAAAAAAAGCTCAGATTTTGTACATCAATATAAATACTAATATATTTAGTCCATTCTTTTTCTTTAGAATGATAAATCTGACAAGGACAAGGCAGCAGAAATGAAGATGTTTGGTCAGTTAACACGTGATAATATAGAATGGCATCCAGATAAAGTTTTATGTAAACGATTCAATGTTCCAGATCCATATCCAGGGTAAGTACGGGATGCTTTCAAAATATTTCTGATAAGAGTTAGATAATGTTATTTACAACATTTCAGACCTTCTGTCTATTCATCAATTCTGTCGTGAGTTTTTCATGTGAAGGATTGCGGCAGCCTGCCTAACTTAATGGGTTTTCTCCCTGTTCTTGAATATTCTCCTCTGTTAAAAGAGTCATAATATTGTTGAGTGTGTGTTGTGTTGACTGACATCCGACTTTTTCAATGGAATCATCTTAAATGCAGTATTTACTGAATTCTAAAATTTAAATCAACTTAAGTGGTTCAGTAGTTGCTGAAAAAAATGGGATTTGATACCAAGGTGCTACGCCATTATAAGATCGATTGATACTGTCAAATATTAGATGAATGTCATAATAACTGACCCACACTACTGGTAATTCATGTTGAAAAGTTTATGTTTAACAGGATGTTAATATTACTGTTCGTCTTTGTTGCAGATCATCAATTACTGGTTTACCAACCATAAAAAGGGATAAATATTCAGTTTATAATTTTCTAAGTTTTCCCAGTCAAGAATTTGTATCCCAAGATACTATTAACACTCCACCTTTAGCTATTGAACCAAAAAAAGGTAACAAATGAGAATTAGATTTCTACATATAGATAGAAATAACCATAAAGTTTATTCCAACATTCAAAATTTTGATCATCCAATCAAAAACATAATATGGAACACAATTACTATCTTAATTAAAGCGATGTTTCATTGGGGGGTTCTCGAAACATTATCAAGCAACTATTGTTTTTATTATGTGTCGATCAAGGAAGAAACTGTTCGTAATGTAATTTTAATGTTTTTCTTCTCTCAGCAAAAACATAATATGGAACACAATTACTATTTTAATAAAAGTGATGTTTCATTGGGGGTTCTCGAAATGTTATCAAGCAAATATATTATGTTTTTGTGTTTATTTTGTGTCGATCAAAGAAGAAACTGTTCATAATGTAATTTTAATGATTTTCTTCTCTCAGCAAGTGGTCACAGATTATTATCTGGAATATTTTATAATATCTTTACCTCCCTGGCATCTGTTTTATATGTAGATGCAGTATTTTACTACAGATATTTTTGGGGTTGTGTTGAGCCACAATAATATTACTTTTGAATTTTTCTGAGTAAATTTTTAATGCATTGATAAAGTTTTTAGATTGTAAGTAACATTATTATTTTGCCCAAGAATTCCTCAATTTGGACAATATATATTATATATACTTATTTTATTTGAGAAATATAATATCGTGAACTTTCAGATTTAATCCCATCTGTGTACATTGCCAAATTATATTTTAATGGTTGTGTTTCATATTACAGATGAAGAGAATGTTTCCGAAACAAAAGATGATAAAAAAGAAACTTCTCGAGTATCTTTTAATATAAAGAAGAAAGTTTCAATCTTTAATGTGTTATTTGAAGACAATGCTTCCGTATCTGGTCAGAAAACAACAGATAACCAAGTAAAAACAGTAGATATCAAAAATATAACAACAGAAAACAAAAGGAGTGAAAGTACTTTAACAGAAACTAAGGTATTTTTACTTTTTACCAACATCATATACTGCCATGATGTTAATGTTTTAAACATATTTAACCATTTTGATAAGAGTCAACCTCAAAGCCTAACCACAATCTTCACCTCTGGATCCTTTTTTATATGCCCACATTTTCATGTGGACGTATTATGCCGTCGCCCCTGTCCGTCCGTCCACAATTTGTTTGTGGACACTCTAGAGGTCACAATTCTTATCCGATTTTGACGAAACTTGAAATATAGGTTTATCTCCAAAATATCTCGGCTGCTTTCGATATTAGCATGTATCGGATCGAAACTTCATGGATTATGGCCCCTGTTTGTATGAAAAATCACGTTTTTAGCTTGTGGACCCTATAGAGGTCACAATTTTTAACTAATTTTGTTGAAACTTGAAATGTAAGTTTATAACCGAAAGATCTCGGTTCCTTTCGATATTCGCGCATATCGGACCATAACTTCCTGAATTATGACCCCTGATTGTCCGAAAAATCGCGTTTTTAGCTTGTGGACCCTATATAAGTCATAATTTTTATCCAATTTAAAAACCCGTATTATTATATCACCATTACACCCTAAGGACGACTGAAAATCGACCCAAAATTGACAGACAAAATGGCCGACGTTCGTTCTCAAATAGCGTAAGAATATGGTATATCAAGGTTGTGGACCCTATAGAGGTCACAATTTTTATCTGATTTAAAAAACTATATTATTATATCACCGTTACACCCTAAGGACGACTGAGTTCAAATTTCGTGAAAATCGGCCCAAAATTGACAGACAAAATGGCCGCCGTTCGTTCTCAAATAGCGTAAAAATATGGTATATCAAGGTTGTGGACCCTATAGAGGTAACAATTTTTATCTGATTTTGTTGAAACTTGAAATATAAGTTTATAACCCAAGGATCTCGGTTCCTTTCGATATTCGCGCATATCGGACTGTAACTTCCTGAATTATGGCCCCTGATTGTACGAAAAATCGTGTTTTTAGCTTGTGGACCCTATAGAGGTCATAATTTTTATCCCATTTTAAAAAAACGTATTATTATATCACCGTTACACCCTAAGGATGGCTGAGTTCGAATTTTGTGAAAATAGGCCCAAAATTGACAGACAAAATGGCCGCCGTTCGTTCTCAAATAGCGTAAAAATATGGTATATCAAGCTCGTGGACCCCATAGAGGTCACAATTTTTATCCGATTTTGTTGAAACTTAAAATGTAAGTTTATAACCCAAAGATCTCGGTTCCTTTCGATATTCGCGCATATCGGACCGTAACTTCCTCAATTATGGCCCCTGATTGTACGAAAAATCGCGTTTTTAGCTTGTGGACCCTATAGAAGTCATAATTTTTATCCGATTTAAAAAAACGTATTATTATATCACCGTTACACCCTAAGGACGACTGAGTTCAAATTTCGGCCCAAAATTGACAGACAAAATGGCGGCCGTTCATTCTCAAATAGCGTAAAAATATGGTATATCAAGGTTGTGGACCCTATAGAGGTCACAATTTTTATCCAATTTTGTTGAAACTTGAAATGTAAGTTTATAACCCGAAGATCTCAGTTCCTTTCGATATTTGCGCATATTGAATTGTAATTTCCTGAATTATGGCCCTTGATAGTAGGAAAAATCACTTTCTTGTTAGCTTGTTCTCTATCCATCTCTCGAAAATGTGGGCGTATCCTGCCTGGCAGCCGCTGGTTTGTTAAATACTGACCTGGAATGTGACCACAAAATTTTTGCTGTATTTGAAATAGATATTAATTTCATAATCAAACAGATAGAATAAACTTTAATACAAGCATTAGGTGTTAACAGATATTGTAAGCCTTCTTTTAATTATAAAAATTACAAATGTAAAACATTGACTTCACAGGATAATGTTGCTGGTGAAAAAGAAACAACTAAAGCTCCTTCATTAGATTTATATCGGGCTATATTTAACAGTTCTGATTCAGATGAAAGTAGTTCTAGTAATGATGAGGAAGAAGAAAAGATACAGCCTGGTAATTTTCTATAATTTAAATATTCATCAGTAATGTTTTCATAGACTGGTTAATTATATAGAATTAAGATTTCTTAATCTTAATGTTTATTTCTTGACAAGGGTCCGAACGCCCATGTTGTTGCTAGAGTGACTCAAGCTGCAATCCATGGAGGTAATGATTAGGAAGTCAACATTGAGATGTTCAGTCCACCTTTTGTTCCATTTTTAGGTTTTTACTTTATTATACCATGATGAGCAATGGTGGGATTTATTGTTCAGATCTGATCTAAATGATTCCATTGGTTGATATTGTATTAATGACAAACGCGCATCTCTGATTCGAGTATAAGGTCCCTTTTATTAAAATGAAAATTTCATTGTTATTCAAAAAGAACATATCTAATTTGTTTTTGATTCTTAAAGAAAATTTCTTTTTTTCTTCAGAAAAAACAGTAGAACAACAAAAATTGAACTTTGCACTCAATGAAACAAAGCCACCAGACATATCACCTGCTACTTTAAAACCATCTGTGCCTATACCAAGTACATCTGGTTCCAGGTTGCCAGGAGACGATAGTATAATACAAACAATCGAAGAAAGGTTATCTCCATCAATTTCTAGTCACCATGATGCATCAATGGTCTCTTCTTCCACGAATGTATCTAAACACAGTGTCTCATCTAGTGACAGTGATGAAGAAATGTTTGGTCCAGCTTTACCCAAACCAAGTTCATCACATGGTAATAATATAACTAATTGTATCATTAACATGTTATGTCACTCTTAATTTCAGAATTGTGGACCGTAGCCTTCTTTAATCCGATTATCTGATCAAGTATAATCACACATTTCATGCATTTGAGCAGACTTCTGATTACCAGTATATGTATTGTTTATGTTAGTAATAAGATGGAAACTATCAAATTTTAATAATCTTTTAGAGGCATTTAGTAACTGGGTAGAGCAATACACAAAAACACATACTTATGGAAAAACAGCTACTTATTTATTTGGGCGACGTTTCGAAGAGTATTCTCTCAAGGTTATCAAGCTAATACAGAATACTCTTCGAAACGTCGCCCAAATAAATAAGTAGCTGTTTTTCCATAAGTATGTGTTTTTGTGTATCAAATTTTAATTATAGCATCCTGTAAATGCTCCCATTGTCTACAAAAGAATAAATATGTGAAAACTTTTATGAACTGCTTGAACAACTTGGCTGCTGTGAATGTATGTTTTGTTCTGGCAACCTATCTTTGTTGGAAAATATTGAAATTGAAAACTACTTGTATACATCATTAATGATTGCTGATAGTAAGGTCTACTCATATACTCCTGTAAAATCATTAAATATATATTTGTAATTACGATAATAATCATTTAATTGATTGTCAAAAATACATCTTTCCTTTGGGATATTTTTGGCAGAAAACAGATTACAACAAGCTCTCGATGATCATGGTAAAAGTTATAAACCTAAACATAAATATAAAAGTAAACGTAAAGAAAAATATGAAGAAAAACACAGAAATAGACACAAAGAAAAATCAAGAGAGAAATTAAAAAGTAAACATAAGATTAAAGACAAAAAAGTGAGTATTGGAAAATGTGTTGTGTAAATATTATACTTTAGTTTGTGTATTGAAAAATTTTGTCAAGACAGCAGTGTTAATTGTGTTTCTACCTACCAGAGTACATCGACATAGCTACTTTACCGTCCATCCACACACAATCAGGGTTTGAAATGAAATGTAAGACTTGGACTCTTGGTAAAGGAAGATGATTATGAAGAGTTATACAAAGTATTTATGAATGAAAAGTATTTATTCACATTCACTATGTTGTTGTGTTTTTTTTTCAGTCTAAACATAAAAAGAATAAAAATAAAAAATCTAAGAAACATAAGAAGAAAAAAAGTAAACATATGGAAAGTGAAAGTAGTGATGATAGTGACTGTATTATTGTATCTGAAGATGAGAAAAATGTAAAATCAATAGACCAAGAAATATTATCAAGGTTTGTAAGTTATGTCATTGTCTCTTGTTTATTTGTTATTTATAGTGATTTGTTTACTATAACTACATACACAGGTATGATTTATAAAGACACCTTTTCTAAAAGAATATTTATTAGATCTGCCTTTTCTCCTAAACAACTTTTTTATAGTGAAAACATTGAAATTGAGGAGGTGAGATAGAAATGTGGTTTAGAGTCCACTTTACACAAACTAGGTCATTTCGGGACCAACATGGTTCAATTTTATTTCAATAATTTGCATGCACGTAGGAATCTTTAGGTGTGGGAGATGACTAGAAATGGTTCCACTACTGATGTCTTCCGCCTTACTCCAGCCACAGTAGTGGCTTGTCCTACAGAGTTCCTTTGCCCAAGTTTTTTTTTATTGAAATCACTACAAAAAGGTTACTGGCCTATACCTCCCTTAATTTACACATAAACTGACCCAAAAAAGTACTGTACCTAGCTTAACATATAATAAATCAATTCCTATTGAAATAAATGTGAAGCCTTACCGCATAATTATATGATTTGATGAAACCCAACTGCTACGCAAAATTTCAACTGGCTGGTGTCATGGCGGCTTGTGTGTAATACGTCATTACAAGAAACATCACTATGCAAATGTAGAACGCATAACCACAAAGAAAAACTGTTCGGTAACTATTTTAGTGATCCAGTCTTCACTATTTGTCATAGAATTACTTATTCCAATACAAACTGTAATGATATGTGTTGACAATTGTGCGTTTGAACCTATTTGAACTTGCGTAAGGATTCTTAGACTGTATCAATTGTAACGTTAAACACACAGTTTAACGTTACAACGTTAAACACACAGTTTAACGTTACAACGTTAAACACACAGTTTAACGTTACAAGTATAGTAACTAGGAGATAACCAGAGTACCCGGAAAAAACCCACAAGGTTGGACAGGCAACCCTACTCCTTGTCACTTGACCCAATTTCAACCATTCGGCCACCCAACCCCCTTGAGGGAAAAAATTCATAATGGTAACAAAGCTAGTGGAAGGTGCATGTTTCAATACTAGACAGGGAATCTTTAATAATAACAATTATTAATTTCAGGTTAAGAGATGTCCCTGGTAAAAGACTGACAGCAGCTGATTTTATGTAATACATGAAAATTTTGGTTTACACTGTTTAACTTTTTAAATTATAAATCTGTGATAGTGAATTATGTGTTCGTGTATACTACATAAATATATATTTTATTACTATTTACTTGTATGTATTACTTTCACTATTAACTATAATGTTGAGTGATACAGAGCAGTGTGGAGAGAGTTTAGCAGAATGTACAAAAGAATATTTTCTACAATTTATTTAACTAATTTCGAAAGTTCACATAGCCAACAAATCGAGTATATTTTTGTAGACATGGGTAACATTTTTTAACTACATAATTCATACGTCAATGAGATCCAGAATCACGCTTCCATTTTACACATTTTCTGTTCCACAATAGAAATGTACAACACACACCAAATTTGGCTGAAACCAAACTATATTTAGAGGTCACCCCACTTTGACAATTTTGTGACATTAACATGAATCTGCTCATTCTGAGAGACAATAGCATAAGAGATAATGTTCCAAAAAGTTCCACAAAAACAGATGCAGTTATTTAGCCACATATAGAACCGTGTCTTTCACCACAAAGCTATCATTCTCCTTTCATTTTCTCCAATTATACTTACTAAGAAATGAAATGGGGTTTAATGTCCTACTGTTCAGCTCCGACTGGGCTAATGAACATGGGACCTTTCTTAGTAGGATAATAATTATAATGTACATTTATGATTGCGCATACACCCAACCATCCTGTATGCTCTAAGCACATGGATGATAATAGCTAATCATGATAATAAGTCACAAACAAATGGGTTTCGAGTTTGGATTTGAACACGGACATATTTGAGAACTCTCTATCTCCAGTGGTAAGTTATTCCTCAGTCACTGGAGGCTTTATCCCCATGGTTAAAGGGGCTTATTTTGTGAGTTAAGTGGTCAGTTTGGTTGATATGACTGAATGAGGTCCGTGAAGTCAGATGGGTAACATATAAACCAAGGTTGAAGTCTTGAAAGTTACTCGGGCTTGTGGGTAACTGATGTAGTGATTTTAAGAAAGAAATGAAATGGGTTTAATTTCCTACTGTTCGGCTCTGACTGGGCTAATGATGACGGAGTGATTTTAAGATGGGAGTCATGTTTGAGTTCTTTTGTGTTCTAGTTATTATTCTGGCAGCAGTGTTTTGAATTTCTTGTCGTTGTGCACATAGGTTTTGGGGAATTCCAATCAAAACACTGTTATAGTAATAGCGCCTTGAGAATACCAAGGAACACACAAGCAGCTTACAGGCCCCAACTGTTTAGGTGTCAAATATTGCCAATACATCAGAGATTGTAGTAACACATAAAACAACATTGTTCAGGCAGTTTCTCCGTGGTTAACCAGGAATGCAGTAGTACACCAAGATTCTTTACACATGATGAGAGCTGAATGTTAGTTTCACAGATTACCACACATGAATTTAGAGTAGACATAAGTCATTGAGTTGTCCCTATAAGCATGGCTTCCGTCTTGCAATCATTCAGTTCAAGCTTACTCTCGTTCATCCACGATTTTACAGATCTAAAGCAGAGTGCTCATTTTGATTAGTGTCATTGATGAATTAGGTGTCATCAGCATAGGAATAATGAGGCTTATTATATTACTTTAGCAGTCAACTTCGATAACAATAAGCCAAATCTTGATATTTACGGCAAAATACACTGTTTTCTAAAATTCCTGAGAAGTGATCAAGTGGGGCAACCTGAAGACATTAATGAAATTTTCCACACAAACTGGACAAAAATAAGCCATGTGGAGAGAATTTTCTATCATATTTTGCTATGGACTGGTGGACTGCCCAATTATTCAATTACAAAAACTGAATCACCTGATTACATTCTGTATTTAAAGCTCTGTTTTAAAGTATTTGTATTAATTTTTCAAATTTGATTATGCCCAACCATTTTCTTCAGAAAAAGTCGGAGTTGTAAAAAAAAAACAGTAATACATTTCAACACTTAATAAATGTTTATAAAATATTTTAATAAATATCTATATATAATAAGTACAAGCATGTAACACACACGTATAATATGATATACTTTATATATCACACCAAATCTAGAATCAATATAATAAAAACTTCATTCTTTTCAATAGATAAATATAAACACCCAATTATCTTCAAATTCCATCATGCATTTCGCCGATTAAAAATGCTCACCAATAAGTTATAACCTGTAGTGTATGTAATGATATTGTTATACTTTATTTTTATCAAAAGTATTTTTTTTTTTCAAAAACAATCTTTAAAGTTCAAATAAATTTTAAAAATCCCTGTCAAAGGTATACAAGTATTTATAAAGAATAACAATTTGCATATTTCCAAATCCAAAAACTTTTTACCCTCTATTTGAAAAGATAATTTTAAACAACTGATAAGAAAATACTTTACATGCATGGACAAACAATGATATTTATAGTATGATATTTAAGTCCATCTACTGATATACAAAATTGTGAGGGCACAGTGTGATCAATTTGCTTACATGTGATTTATTATTAAACTACAATACTCAAATAATTGTGACAAAAAACAGAACGATAGATATTGTTTATATCGAATACACACACACAATTTCATTTTATTTAGTTTTGATTATCATGTTGCTTAAAATGCAATATTAAATTTGTTTTTTATATCATCATGGTTCTTAAAGAGTATTCCTGCCTTTCCAAAACTGACATTTTATACCAGCAGATCTGGAATGTGCTGCAACATTCATTCTCTCTGGTTTGTCCTGCAATATTTAAAAGGTTGGCTGCTGTCAAAAGAACCACCAAGACAAATTACGGTATAACATAATGGATGGAATGAAAAAAGACATAATAATGATCACAGGCTCTGTTCATTGTAAACACTTGCTACCACTGTACTATTTAAGATCTGCCATCTTCTACTCCAGCTTGTGTCATTAAATCAGCAATATTTTTCTCTAAGTCATCAATACGGTGACCCATATCATCTAGTAAAACTATTAAGGAATACAATTATAACAGTACCATCGTTGCCAACAAGGGCGTTTCTGTAATCCATTTATATGGAATTTTCGGAGTGGTTTCCCCTTGTCAGTGGTGTAGCATAGTGGGCCTAAAAAGGGAGGTCCCTCCTACACATTGGTGTGCTCGTAAAGATCTTTGGCATTTGCATACCAATAGAGCACACTATATGACATATGCCAGTTATCATTAGCCTAGTGGGAGCAGAACAGCAGGAAATTAAACCCCATTTCATTTCCATTTATATTGGTTCCATAAGTTCTATCTTAGTGACAACAATGATCCAGCTCTGTTTGGCCACATGCCGAATCAATAGTATGGACCATAGTCATTGCCTAAAATTCTTGAACCAAACCCAAAAACTCCATTTGAAAATATAAATTTAAACAAATGACAAGAAAAAACTTTACATAATATACCCCCCCCCCCCACACCAATATATGTAAATGGAAAGTATAAAAGGTAAATGTATTCTATAGGAACAAAATACTACATAAAAGGATATTTCTTGTGATTATCTGATCTGACATCTGTTGAAATTTATCTTGCATCTGTTGAAGTAGAGTCTGGACCTTAAAAATAGCAAGATAGGGTTACAGTTACGGCAAGTGAAGAAATGGGCTTTAATAGTAAGTGCTAGTGCAGGTGGGCTGCATAACACACAAACAATAACACAAGACAAGTCAATGGACATGAGCTGGTATGGCTCTACTTGTAATAGTAGGTAATTTGGGGCAAAAGACTAGCAAATCTTGAATACTTGGCCTAAATTGTGACATTTTTACAAAAAAGATAAGCCAAAATTCAACAAAGTGTGAGTTCCACAGGTCTAGGAACAGGATAATGGTTTTACTAGAAGGCAAAGAAATACATTTAAGTGACTGAGCCAGAACTATGCGATTTGTACATGTATGTATGTCCATGCAGATCCAGTGCCCTACTAAATTATGTACATGTAATTGTTCAAGCTACCTACAATATTTTGTTGGGGTAAGTACATGACAATTTTTTTTTAACTGTTCTGTATATATCTGTGAAATATACATATCCTTAAGACAAGATCACCTATAGATTTCAATAAACTGATATTGACTCAGTAGTTAGTGAATAGTATTCTACTGATATTGATCACAAGAACCTTTTTTAATCATCTCTATTGTTACTGCAGGCATTGTTTATATCTGGTTACTAAGGACAGTATTGCTCTCTACAGCCATAAGCTTCTGATATTAATTAATCAATTAATCTCAACTACTGGTATGTTGGGGCAATATTTGTAAAGAGAAATATAGATGGTCACAGTGAGCGGAGCTTTTAATTTACTGTCGTGTACCATATTAGCATTATTAATCTAAAATTGCTATCTGTTTCCAAAAAATCACCCTTGTTAAATAATTACATCATTACTAACACTGCTTTCAAAACCAATTCCAAATATAAACAAATGACAATGGCCAGACTTGTAGTCAAAATAATTTGTTTTAAACCTGTGATTAGATGCAAGTATTCTAATGTGTTATTTTAATTTGACCAGGATCCTGTTGGTTGTAAATCAAGCCTTTGATGTAACTTTAGGTTTGACTATCAAAACTAAGTCTCATTATCTATTTTATCGATAAACTCTATAAGCGTATGTTGAAGGGGCATTATTTAAGATTATTTGAAGAGCTGACAGTGCTTGCTACAGTATAATAGTTCAAAAATAGATAATGAAAAGGGTGCATGTTGAAAATTTCAATCAAATTACTTCACTCTGACTGTTGAAAATATCCAGCATCCGATGGCATCAAGAGTTGATTATGGTCTTGATAAGTTAATTAATGTCTAATTAAAGAAAGACAGTCTGCAATAGGCAGATTTTGCTCTTGTAATGTATATTGCCTGTTTAATAAATTTTTAAATAATAATTTATATCACATATGAAGTCAGAAAAAAAGACCTGTAATAGGCAGATTTGCCTCTTACTTAAACATACACAAATCTACCTATTGCGGGTCTTTCTTTAGACCTGAAATGTTATCTAAATTATTAATTAGACATTAATTAACTTATCCAGATCATAATCAACTCTCGATGTCATCGCTAGCCTGCGATATTTACTGGATTATGA